GAGGGGGAGGGGGGTGGGGTGGCGTAGGCGAGGGAGGAGTACCGCGCGGCGAGGCAGAGGAGCGGCCAGGCGGGCAGGCGCAGCGCCGGCGGGGGCAGGCAGGGCGGGAGCTTGGAGTTGGCGTACAGCTCGACCTTGGCGAAACCTCCGGTGCCGGGAGCGCGCCTTTCGATGGCGGTGACGGCGACTTCTGGCGGCTGACTCTTGGAGGGGCGGCGGCGGTGGTGGTGGTGGTGGTTGGCGGCTGCGTGGGTGGCGGAGGCGGCTTGCTCGCGGTCGATGCGGGCGATGGCGTCGTCGAGGCGCGCGGCGACGGCGCCGTAAGCGTCCCGGACGGGGCGGCCGTCGGCCTGGTCGACGACGGAGTCGGCCCAGCGGACCCTGCTGGGCCGGGGCCGGGGGCGGTTGGTGGTGGTATTGGGCTCGGTTGGTGGTTTGCGTAGGGGAGCTGGTGATGAGGGTAGATGTAGAGCTGCTGCTGTGGTGGTGGTGGTGGTGGTGGTAGTGGTGAAGGTGCGGGATATTGGTATGGATACTGTGGTGGTTGTTGTGTTGGCAGCCGTTGGTGGTGATTCTGGTGATGCTGGTGATGCTGGTGATGGTGAGGCGACACCGCTGGGACGACGCTTCTGTACGCCGTCGGCGGGTCAAAGACGTTCCACCGCGACGACGACGATCTGGTCTTGTCCTTGTTCTTGCTGCTGCTAAACCAACCCATCGTGTTTCGCTCCCCGTTGCACAAGGGGAAGCTAGAGATGCTGGGTTTGGCGACAAAGGGGGGGAGAAGGCTGGAGCGAAAGGCTGACAGAGACGAGAGGGGTGATGCGGTCCATGGGTCGCACAAGGCTGGCGAGCTGAGACATGAACACATGACACTGCAGATACATGAGGTGATCGGCTGGGCAAACAGGCCACTTGGCGTTGTATATATACCCCTTATACCTGCGTCTAACTAACTATGCTGTTGACACTAACATTAAGCGTATTTTTTCTAGTTTTTACTTTGGCATCAGTTAGACTTACTTGTACATACTTTATCCGTCATGAAACAACGGTTGCCTATTTCGGTAACCGCTGCGGCCCACTGAAAAAGGTTACCGTTTCAGGCCGGGGGTACCGGAGATGTTCCGTTCCAGCCTGAGGATGATTGGATTGGACGAGAAAGAAAATTTATAAAGTTGATGCAATAATGATAATCTTGTTGAGCAGAGGAATCATCAATTTAGAGAATTTAGAGACTTTATCAATTTAGAGAAGTCATCAATTTACAGAAATCATCAATTTACAGAAATCATCAATTTTAGAGAAGCCATCAATTTATAGAACTCATCAATTACAGAAATCATTAATTTAGAGAAGCCATCAATTTACAGAAATCATCAATTTACAGAAATCATCAATTTTAGAGAAGCCATCAATTTATAGAACTCATCAATTACAGAAATCATTAATTTAGAGAAGCCATCAATTTACAGAAATCATCAATTTACAGAAATCATCAATTTTAGAGAAGCCATCAATTTATAGAACTCATCAATTACAGAAATCATTAATTTAGAGAAGCCATCAATTTACAGAAATCATCAATTTACAGAAATCATCAATTTTAGAGAAGCCATCAATTTATAGAACTCATCAATTACAGAAATCATTAATTTAGAGAAGCCATCAATTTACAGAAATCATCAATTTACAGAAATCATCAATTTTAGAGAAGCCATCAATTTATAGAACTCATCAATTACAGAAATCATTAATTTAGAGAAGCCATCAATTTACAGAAATCATCAATTTACAGAAATCATCAATTTTAGAGAAGCCATCAATTTACAGAACTCATCAATTACAGAAATCATCAACTTCACATAGCTGCCTTGCTCCCCACTACTCCAGTCAGTGATGCCCTCGATATACCAGCCACTCACTATCTCATGTTACCTGCCATACAAGATACCTGTGAACTCCCGTCCCATCCCAGCCTGCAATTCACCTCAACCACCCTCATCCAATCCATCGTTCAGTACCTCGTCAACGCCGGGCTGTCCTTGCTCGCCGGATACGAGAACTTCGTCTCCACAAACACCTTTTGCATCCCGTCCTTCTTCTCGTCGAACACGTGGTACACCTTGTCCAGGTCCTCCAGCCGCACCCGGTGCGACACCATCTGCATCGGGTCCAGCTTGCCTCTTTCGATGTCCTTGAGCAGATCCTTCCAGTACAGGTGCACCGGCGCCTGGCCGTTGCCGATGAGGCGGATGCCGCGCTGCATGAGCGAGCCAATGTTGAAGTGGTTGGTCTGTTGGTGTTAGTGTCGTCCATGGAAGAAGAAGAAAGAAGAGACATGTGAAGAAAAGAAGAGAAAAACAAGAAAGAAAAAAAAGTGGAAGCGAGGTACTCACAAATCCAGCGTAGATGCCCGTCACGCCGCAGCGGCCAAACGACCGCACGCTCTCAATCATCTCGTTGACCAGCTCGCTCGTGTCCGTCTCCAGTCCGACCGTCATCTCCAGCCGGTGCAGCCAGCCCTTGGCGTACTCGCCCGCCGCGCACTCGAGCGCCACGTCCGGCCCGCGCCCGCGGCACAGCTCCTTGAGCCGCCCGACCACCGTGCCCTTCTCATCGCCGGACGGCGCCTTGTAGTCGACCAGCTCCAGCCTGTCCGCGGGGAACTTGCCGCGCATCGTCGACAGCCGCGGCTCCGTGTCCACGAAGATGAGCTTTTCGGCGCCCTTGTCGAGCGCGAAGACGCCGGCCATCTGCCCGATGGGGCCGGCGCCCCAGACGGCCACGCTGTCGCCGGCCTCGACGCCCGTGTCGACGACGCAGTGGTACGACGTGGCCAGCACGTCGGACAGGAAGAGGGCTGTTTTTTGGGGGGGTCATCAGTCGCGTCAGCAAAACCCAAAATCTTTTTCACCACCATCCTTTGGACACAGCGGAGAGTCAATCGTCTACTCACCCTTCTCGTCCGGCACGCCGTCCGGAATCTCGAGCAGGTTGACGTCGCCCAGCGGCACGCGCACGTACTCGGCCTGCCCGCCCGCGAAGCCGCCCGTCAGGTGCGCGTAGCCAAAGATGCCCGCCGTGCGGCCGCCGTACGCTTCCCGCTGGAGGGTGTTCGCGTTGGTGCGCTCGCACTGCGACGACAGCCGGCGCTCGCAGAACCAGCACTCGCCGCAGGCGATCTGGAACGAGGCCACGTAGCGCCGGCCGACCTCGACGTTGTGCACGGCCCGGCCCACGACGGCCGCCTCGCCGCAGAACTCGTGGCCCAGGATGTCGCCCTTCTTCATCTCCAGGATGGCGCCGTGGAGCAGGTGCAGGTCCGAGCCGCACACGGTGCTCCCGGTAACTTTGAGGATGACGTCGCGGTCCTCGACGAGCTTGGGCCGCGGGACGTCGGCTGCCGGAGAGACGAGGTATAGTTAGCTAGCTGGCATCAGGGGGTGTTGTGCGTGGTTTTGAGGGGGGCATGCCTATTTCGACGTGGTTCTTGCCCATCCAGACTAGGGCCTTCATCGTGTCGTCCTTGCCGCCCGAGGGGAATGTCGAGACATCTTGCTGGGTGATGGCGTTGTCGTCGTGGCCGGCAATCTTCTCCGCAATGTTTGCTGCCTGCGCGAGAGCCATTTGAAGACGTGGATTTGTAAAATAATATGATTAATCCAGCAATCAATTTGATGATATTATGGCCTAGAAAGATACAAGTCATAGACAAGACGGCGCTTTTATCCTCTCCATTCCGCGCTAGATGCCGCTCCTACCCTGACGAGATGATGACGCCGACTCAAGTACATGACGTGTACTCCCACATACCAACTAAATCGAGAACCAGTCGCAAAATGGCAACACGATGAGATTATCTTCCACCATGACGTACCATTTACATCGAGATTTATAAACAAAGCCGTTGGTGCGAGCATAGCAAAAACGGGAATAGACTCAGAAAAGAGTCCAAGACGGCTAGGCTAGTGGGAGTTGCGATGAATCGCCCAAGAACCCACTCGTTGTCATATTGACGCGTTTGGCGCTATTTTACTACCGTGGAACTGAAATGTACCGATGATGTCATTTGATTGGTTGTATGTTGCTTGCTGCCTCTGTCTGTCGAAACCGATTGCGAGCGCATGAAAGCAGGAAATCAATCATCAAACTACGAATACCCATCTTCAATTCAGGCTGATCCAAAAAATAAGCAATAAAATAAAAAATAAAATCATGAGAGCGACTTTCAGGTCCATAGACATAGTCATGTGTGACCTGTCCTGCTTTCTTCAAAATAGAGAGATACTGATTAAAAACGAAGGCATCTACCACTGGGTCTAGCTAACCAGGCGATGAGCACGGATGCACTTGCCAACTCCGAAGCGCTCAATTGATACTACCCTCTCTTTCCATCCTATCCTCTAGATTCTTAGCTTGGACCTGCCGATGGCCAGGCGATGCGGCACTCTCCAACCATTCCCGTTGACCATGCCACTCTTCAGCGTCTGCCTGCAACCGTCCCTGTCCTGCTCGCACAACCCATTGCCATTTACCCGAGACGTGCCCTCCATGCCTACCTTGTCCGTGAGTGATATGAAGCCAATGCCGCAAAGGTACTGGACGCTGCGTCGCACCGCTGCATCTACCTCACCCGGGCCGTCAAGAGGGGAGACGTGGGTTTGGACGCCCGCCTTGCCCTCGCCGTCGGAGCAGCTGCCGAGACTCGTCCCCAGATACGGCATGATGCTGGATAGAGGGTGACCGTCATCGTCATCCTCGATCTTTGCGTGCGCCTGCGCCAACCACAGACTCCGTTCTCTCGGCTCCAGAGACTGCCCAGTCTGCGCCTGCACGGCATGCCAGAACCGCTCTACCGTGAGGCCGCGATCTATGTCTTCGTGTGTCGGACCGCTGCGAGCCTCGCTGCTGTGAGCCCGGTCGGCGCCTACCCCGTTGACACGCCCTGGGCAACTGGTGCGCTCTGGCGGATTGGCGCGGAGAACGACACGCCGTGCCACATAGTCGACCTCTGCCACGTCCAGCCACGAATCCGCGGGATCGGATGGGTACGACCCCATGCGACTTGCCCCGGCGACCAGCTTCCAGATGAAGTCGTCCGTGTTTGAGATGCCGGAAGTCTGGTCGCCGATTATGTACCCTGGCTTCACAACGGAGAAGCTGCATCCTTGCTCGCCCATGTCAAACGCAGGGAATCTGCTCGTGTGGTTCTCGACAGACTGAAGTTGCAGCCGGCCCGCAGCTAGAGTCAACTGTTCAGCCACGTACTTGGACTGGCTATACCCCTCGGCATCGTCCAGCAATCTCAAAAACTGCGCCTCTGAGTGATTGGCTAGTTTCTTTGGACCACCTGACACATACACGAAGGACTGAATGGATGGAGAATGCAGAGCGACCTCAAGCAGCTGAAAGGTCGACTGGACGTTGACCGCCTCCAGGATGTCGTACTCGGCGCTGTAGTTGACAACCGCCCCGTTGTGGATGACGGCATCGACTTGGGAGACTTGCCTCCACTGATGCTCGTCGAGACCGAGCCCGGGCTTGGCCAAGTCCCCTGCCCAGACCGTGATGCGGTCGAACGCATCGTCCTGCCACCACCCAGCCGTTCTGGCAACCTCACGCAACCGCAGCTTCGCAGCCGCCGTGTCCGGATCTCTCGCTATGATAAGGATATTGGTCACGGAGTCGTTGCCGAGGAGCTCCTTCAGGATATGCGTCCCGAGATACCCCGTCGCTCCGGTGAGCAGCACGCGCCGGCCGCCGTGTCTCCCCGACCGGTCAACGCAGCCGGTCGGGACGCACGTCTTCAGCTTACCGATCCACGTCTCCAGTACCGAGGCCGTGTCTATGCGATGCATGGTATGATGCCGATCCGATAGCGGTCGCTGCATCAATTCGGCAATGAATCGAATCGTTGCCTCTCGTCGCAGCAGCCGCGGCACCGCGACCGACACCCCAAACTCCTTCACCAGCGCCTTGGCGAGTTTCATGGCAAGGAGCGAGTTCCCGCCGCATTCTAGGAAGCTCGATGTGACGGCGAGCTTGCCGACCTCGATCCCGAGAAGGCTTTGCCAGAGCCGCTGCACGGCAACCTCGGACTTGTTCTGCGGCGCGGCGGCGTCGACGGCGCGACCGACTATGGCGCGAAACGCGGAGAGCCTCTCCGCGGCAATCTCCGAGGACAGGGCTCGCAGGCGTTGTCGGTCAATCTTGCCGTTCACGGTGAAGGGCATGCGCGAGAGCTGCAGGTACAGTGTCGGCACCATGTGCGCGGGCAGCTTTTCCCGCAGCGCGGCGTCCACCTCGGACTGGATGCGCTGCAGTGGCGGGCTGGGCTCGCGAATCTCAACCGGCGGCGCATCCGGCTTGACCAAGCCCTTGAGTAATGGGGCATGCTCGTTTTTGGAGACTACCCCGTCGCCGACGACGGCGAAGCAGGCCACGCTCAGGTCGCCCTTGACGTCGATTGCCTCTACCACCAGGTCGACGGCTCCCACCTCGGAGGCCGTGTGCGTTTCGCGCAAAACGTCCCAGACAGACTGCTCGACGAGATGCGTGTCAACGCGCTGGCCGCAGATCTTGACCACGCTGTCCCTGCGCCCAACAAAGTCGAGCGTCCCGTCGCGGTTGTTCCTCACGAGGTCGCCAGTCCTGTACAGCCTGCCCCGACGACCGGCAACCCGTCCACTCCCGCGGCATAGCCATGCCGGGTCCACGCTGAAGGCTTCCTCGGTTCTGCGTTCCATGCCCAGGTATCCAGAGGTCAGCATCGCGCTCTCTACCAAGAGCTCGCCAACCTCGCCGAATCTGCAAAGGATGGTCGGATCGTCTGTGCTCTGCACCCAGCAGTTGCCGGGACGGCGGGAGCCTATCTGCGACGGCGCCCACGTCTCCCGCCGCAGCGGGCCGAGAGATACGACGGGGCACTCGGAGGCGCCGTACCAGCTAAACAGCCGCGCCGGGGTGTCGAACAGCGGCGTGATGCGCGAGGCTAGCGGCTCGCCAGTGAGCACAATGGTCGCGATGGACGAGGAGGGGATGGCATCGGCGAAGACGCTCATCATAACGGACGGGGTGGTGCAGATGAAGTTGGCGCCCATGGCGTTCATCGCCGCGATTGGGTTGTTGAGCCGTTCCGCCTCCGAGGGGATGCAGAGACAGCCGCCGGCCACTAAAGTCATGAACATCTCGTGTAGGCTGATGTCGAAAGAATAGGACGAGAATTGGAAGACGCGCGACGAGCTGGCCAGTTGCAAGATCTGCGAGCCGTAGACGGCCGCGGTCGAGACGCATTGCGAGTCGAGCGTCACGGCCTTGGAGGCCCCGGTGCTTGCTGAGGTGAAGACCACTGCGGTAATGTTGGTGGTCGATTTCGCTGTCCGTGGTCTTGGCTTGCTGGGCCAGTCGAGGAGTCCGAGCCGATCAACCACAAGTCTTGGGATCTCCACATTGACCGAGATCTCAATGTCGGACAGTGTCAGGATACAAGGCGGCTTCAGTCGTTCTAGTATTTCCGCCAGCTTGGCTGCCGACAGATTGGCGTCCAGAGGAACTGTCCCCCAGCCTCCCATCAACGCTCCCATCATGGCTACGGGCATCCAGCTGGACTTGTACATCAAGATGGGCAGCACCTGGCCGTGCTTCCGGCAGACCTTTCGATCCAGGTGGTCTGCTAGGTTCGACGCCCTCTGCACCAGCTGCTCGTAATTGTACGATCCGTCCCAGGACACGACGCAGGGCATGTCCCTCTGCACGTCGGCCCGCTGGGCGATGAGCTCCTGGATGGGCGTTGAGACGGCGACTGGCGGCGTGGCATTCTGCGTCCACAGCTCGTCGAGCTCAGCATCGGTGAGGGTCGGCATTTTTCAGATATGTGTGAGAAGAGTGTGAAAAGGATGAAGTTTTTAAGAGTGCTTAAATCTCGTTACATGAAAGAGCGTAACGGGGTTGTCGGATGACTTGAGCGTTGGTGCGCATGGGCACGATGGAAGATGTCATAGACAGCAGGCAGGCAGCGACAGCTGCAGTTTTGCTGCCGTTATCGGCGTGTGGTGTACTTTGTATGAACTTTGAATATCTGATGACGCATTTTACTCCTTCCCTTGCACATGAAATCTCGGTGGGATCAACCTGCCCGGCAGGCGTTCTGGAGAGCGCCACGCGCTCTACTCGTGCCACGCGGGTTTCACGGTCATTCATCAGCATGCGAGCAATTGGGAGGGGAAACATTTCTTTTCTTGGACTACGTCGCATAGCTCTCCTGGCTCTGCACGAGAATAGAGTGTACAATTGGCCAGAGCCTTTAGAGACGTCGTCTACTTGCGGCCATCTTTGCCGTCGCATCATCCGCAGCAGCGTACTACCAGGCAGCCAAACCTCATATTGACCTTTGCAACAATACTGAAGCTTCCAATCTGGATTGACCTTTAAAATTATACTAGACCTTTCGACTTTGCAATATCCGAGCTGCCATGACGGAGAAACCCCTGCTTCTGGAGCTCACCACTCCCAATGGCCATACCTACGAGCAGCGCCTAGGGCTCTTCATCAACACCGAGTTCGGACAGGGCACCGGGGCTCCCATCACGGCGATGGATCCAGCGTACGTGGTACTCAGCTTGCAATGGATCCACCACATAGTTAACAAAGGCAGCACCGAAATTGAGATTGCAAGTGTCGCAGCGGCATCCCTAGATGATGTAGACCGTGCCGTGAAATGCGCCAGGAAGGCATTGCAGAGTGATGCCTGGAAGTTGCTTCCCGGCTTCGAGCGAGGGAAGCTTCTTCTCAAGCTTGCAGACCTGATGGAGCATCACAAGGAGGTCCTCGCATCCGTCGTGTCGTTGGGAAAACGGCAAGTGGCAGACCGAACAATCGCGGAAAAGTCCGCTCCGCATGCTAACCGTCGCAGGCCTCCCGTACACATCCGCCCTCGGAGAGGACGTCCCCGGCGGCATCGACGCCATCCGCTACTTCGCCGGATGGGCGGACAAGATGCAAGGCCAGGCGCTCTACCCGACTCCCCAGCAGCTCGCCTACACCCTTCGGCAGCCCATCGCGGTCGTCGCGCAGATCATCCACTGGAACAGCCCCATCATGATGGCCGGCTGGAAGCTCGGCCCGGCGCTAGCCTACGGCAACGCCGTCGTACTCAAGGCCGCCGAGCAGACCCCGCTGAGTATCCTGCTCCTCGCGCGGCTCGTCCGGGAGGCAGGCCTCCCGCCTAGCGTTGTCGACCTCCTCAACGGGCGCGGCGCCGAGGCCGGCGCGGGCCACGTCGAGCACCCGCTGGTGGACAGGGTCACCTTCACCGGGTCGGCGGCCACGGCGCGCAACGGTCATGACCGCGGCGGCGCGCACGCTCAAGGACGTCACGCTGGAGACGGGCGGCAAGTCGCCGCTGCTCGTCTTCGCCGACGCGGACCTGGAGCAGGCGGCCAAGTCGGCGCAGGTCGGCGCCATGGCGTACTCGGGCCAGATCTGTACGTCGACGAGTCGTATCCTCGTCGACCGGAAGGTGTACCCCGCGTTCCTGGCCGTCCCTCCAAAAGACCGCCGAGGAGACATGCATGGTCGGGCGACCAGTGGCGGCCGGAGACCTTCCAGGGGGCCCGCAGGTGTCCAAGGCGCAGCTTGACCGCGTCGTGGCCGGCCTACATGCAACGCGGGACCCGAGGAGGGCGCCCAGATGCTCGCCGGCGGCTCAGCATGCCCCGTCGACGGGAAGGGCTACTTCCTCCAGCCGACCGTCCTCGTCGACGTCGAGCCGTCCATGGCCATCTACCGGGATGAGATCTCCGGGCCCGTCGGCGGTGGTCTGCTCGTTCGACGCCGAGGCGGACGGCGCTCGCGGCGGCCAGCGACACGCACCACGGGCTCGGCGCGGCCGTCTTCCCGCGGGACCTGGAGCGCGCGCACCGCGTGGCGGCGGCGATCGAGGCGGGCATGGTCTGGGTCAATAGTAGCCAGGACTGCGACTTTCGCGTGCCCTTTCGGGGGCGTCAAGCAGAGCGGCGGCATCGGGCGCGAGTTGGGCGAGGCCGGGCTGGAGGCGTATACGCAGGTCAAGGCTGTTCACGTCAACATGGGGATGATGTTGTAAAATGAGAGGTTATTATGGAAACGATACTTTTTTCTATTTTTTTTGGAAGTTCTCTTTGATGGCTGTAGGCTGCGATTGCAGTGTCCATGTCGAAAGCGCAGCTATCTGGCGCGCAACGGTGCGTCGGTAGTTTCCAAATCATTCATCTTTTCTACTTTAGAAAAATTGTATTTTTCTAGTCTAAATTATCCCGCGCTAATCGATTCCCGCAATTCCGTCAATAAGCTCAAATCGTGCTGCTGGACAGCGCTTCCTGCCCTCCATGCCCATTAGCCTGGACAGCCGCTTCCTGTCCGCCATGTTCGTTGGCCTGGGCGGCCTCTTCTTCCCCGTTATGCCCGTTGGCCTCGGCCTCTTTCTTCAACGGGCACGTAATCCGCTCCAGCTCCTCACACAGCTCCCGCACCTCGCTCACCGAGTTGTAGTGCACGAAGCTGACCCGGATAATGCCGTCACTACTCGGCCTCAAGTTGTCAAACGTCGGCCTTGGCGCCCAGCAGTCCCCCCAAGTAATCCGGAAGCGATCCCTCACATGCACCTGCATGACCACCTCGCTCGACTGCCGCCCGCGCACCTCGAAAATCACAATCGACACGCGCCGCTCCGGATCCGGCGTGCGCCGCCCAAACACGCGATAGACCCCCGGCCGCGCCAGCAGGTACTCCAAGAACACTCTCGTCAGGAGCGTCTCCTGCGCGACGATGGCGTCCCAGCCCAGCGCGCCGAGATACCGCGTGATCGGCGCGCACATGACCTCGAGCTCGTAGCACGCCGCGCCGAGGTGCATCTTGCCGTCGAGCGTGGCCGGGTCGAACCAGAAGTGGTTGATGCTGCTCAGGCAGCGCTGCTGCGCGCCGCGGGCCGCGTAGAGCTGCGCGAGGTGCGGCCCAAACACCTTGTACCAGCTGAAGCAGTAAAAGTCGGCGTCGAGCGCCTGGACGTCCACGGGGCGGTGGGGGGTCCAGGCGACGCCGTCGACGGCGAGCAGGCAACCCGGGATCGTGTGCACGAGGTCGGCGAGCTCCCGGATGGGGTGGATGGTGCCGACCACGTTGGAGACGTGGTTGCAGGTTACCAGGCGCGTCTTGGGGGTGAGTAGAGGCCGCAGCGAGTCGGGCGTCAGGCACGGGCTGTCCTCGTCCTCGAGCGCGGGCGTCCACCACCTGATGGTGATGCCGAGGCTGCGCGCGAGATGGATCCAGGCGCTGGCGGATGCCTCGTGGCAGAGCGTGGAGCACACCATCTCCGAGTCCGGCTGTAGATAGCTCCGGAGGGACTGCCCGAGCAGCCGCAGCAGGGCGGTGGTTGACTGTCCGAAAACTGTGACCGGCTTGTTAGTGGAGAGGTTAGTGGACGGCTTCCGGGGCAGGACTGACCAATCTCGGACGGGTCGGCGTTGATGAAGCCGGCGCACTGGTTGATGACGCTTGCGTACTCGGCCTGCGCGGCGTTGCTTCGCGGATCGCCATCGCCGTGGTCGATGGGCATGTCGTACATGAGCTTGCTCGCCCTGTCGGAGTCAGCATCGCGGGGTTGAGTTGGGAGAGAGACTCAGGACTAACGCCTCCACGGCCTCCTTGAGCACGACAGTTCCGGCAGCATTGTTGAACGGCACCGTTGTTCCTTGCTTGAGGATGGGAAAATGGGATCGGACTTCCTCCATGTCTAGGACATCGCGAGGAGCTTCTTTTGCACAGAGTGTACACCGCGGAGCTTCATCCTGAGAGACTCCATTCTGGTGGTAGCCGTTGGTCGCCGGAGTAGATTCTTCCATTTTTGTGCGCGAAATGAGATGGTACGAGACCCAGCGTGTTGATAAATGTAATCAATTGAATCTGTTGTTGTGAAGGAGGAAGTCGACTCGGTGAAATTCGGCCTCAGTGTGTACTCGCTACGTCGCCGAGCAAGGCCTTCATAGCAACTTGATCCAGATGATGAGCGGTCTCCGCATTTGGTTATCTTACACCCACTGCCAGTATAAGTATTCTCCATGCAATGCAGTACCCCCGTGGATAGCATGCAGCCCAACCAACTCCGCGGTGGCGACCAGGTAAGGCAGTCGTTCGGTTGCCGAGTGCCGCTGGGGATTTCAAGAGATGATTACATCGGAGGTGACTTTATTACCTTGCCACTTGCTCATACGCAGCTTAACACAGCGAATGCCTCCTCGCCACCATCAAGATCCGCAATCATGACCGCCAACGGGACTTCAGCACCAGAACCGGGGCCGATGCTCGCACCTATCGTCCAGGAGCTGCAGCTCATGATAGAAAACAACGATGAGCTGATGAAACTATTCGAGAAGGCCTTTCAAGAAATACCAGAGAACTTCCAAGAAGCCCCGGATGCCTTTGGATTCCCGAGAATCCGCGACCATCGCGGCTTCATCCAGGCCATCGATCGCGGCCTCAAGAGCGTGCCGCCGTGGACGTCGACGTCGCGCTCCGACTGCGTCATCGGCTGTCCCATCAACGAAGCCTTGGTATGCCTTTTCCAACCTACGCGATCCCATCTCGTCAAAAAAGTCTAATATCCCTAGATCTGGTTCATGAATACGAGAACGGGAGCGGAGATCCTCGGCCGCCCGGACGTCAACACCCTGCTCGGCGAGGTCCTCAAGCAGTGGGCCGTCTTCCTGTCCAGCGGCGACTCTCTGTCCACCCTGACCGAGGACGAGGGCAACTGGCTGTCCGTCGCCGCGATAGAAGAACTCCTGCACTCCGTCAACACCGCGCACAACGCGCCCTTTGCCGTGCCCTCCCTCGAGCAGGCCTTCATCTGCGACCCTTCACTCCCCGCCTACGGGTTCCCCTCCTGGGACGCCTTCTTCACGCGCCTCTTCGCGCCCGGCCTGCGCCCCGTCGCCTCCGCCTCCGACGTCTCCGTCATCGTCAACCCCTGCGAGTCGCACCCCTTCGCCCTCGCCACCGCCGTCCCCGCCGAGCAGCCCTTCAGCCTCAAAGGCACCACCTACCCCTTCCGCGCCATGCTCGGTGGCCACGACGATGACGCCGTCGCCGCGCGCTTCCACCGCGGCACCGTCCTCCAGGGCTGGCTCTCGCTGCTCAACTACCACCGGTGGCACGCGCCCGTCGCCGGCACCGTCGTCAAGGTCGCCCACGTCGACGGCACCTACTTCGTCGCCGACCCGGCCCACGGCTTCGAGCACCGCGACGAGGCCACGGGCGACCCGAGTCCCGACCGGCAAGCGCCGGACGCGTCGCAGCGGCTGATCAGCTCCATCGCCACGCGCGAGGTCGTGGTCATCGAGGCGGACGACGCGCGCATCGGGTGCGTCGGGTTCGTCGCGATCGGCATGGCGGACGTGTCCGGCTGCGTGGCGAGCGTGCGCGAGGGGGAGCGCGTCGAGAAGGGCCAGGAGATTGGGTGCTTCCACTACGGCGGCAGCTCGTACTGCCTGCTCTTCGAGGAGAAGGCGCCCATACGCTTCTCGCCCCTGGTGTACGCGGCGCTGGAAGGGCAGGCTGAGATTACGGAGAGGTGCATCGCGGTGAATAGCGAAATCGCCAGAGTGCTGTAGATGTTTAGAAAGAATTCTAAAGTTGTTCTTAGTGAATCCTCCTTACCTTGATAATAACGTTCTCGCAAAGAGATAATGTCGTGATTGAAAACTGCTTCAAATAAACATCGTCCCAGGCGGGGCTTCTACCTCAGGCCGTCAGGAGGCATGGGTAGGCATCACAGAGCGCCCAACTTTTCGATTCTATTCCTCTATCGCCATTGACTACTAAATCTCTTCCATCACCGACATCATTTTCGTAACTCGGTCAAGGCCATCGTCTCTCTTTGCGGCACCCCGCCCACAAACCAACAAACACATCGTGCCTCTCAAAGCTCCGTTCGCACATTCTCACGCGCCTTCTCCTTCGGCGCCTTCTCCTCCTCGTGCATCACCATCATCGAGATGGCCTCGTACGCCAGGTTGGCAGCCGCAAACGCCGTGTCGCCGCCGGCACTATCATACGCCGGCGTCACCTCCACCACGTCCACGCCCACCACGTCGAGCCTGCCCAGCACCGTCATGATCCGGATCAGCTCGCGCGACGTCCAGCCGCCCGTCTCCGGCGCGCCCGTGCCCGGCGCGAACGCCGGGTCCAGCACGTCAATGTCTATGCTCACGTAGACGGGCACGTCCGGGCCAATCACCTCGTAGATCCTATCCGCAATGGCGTCGGCGCCCACGTCGTCCATCTCCTCGACGCTGATGCGCAGGAACCCCATGCCGTCGTCCGACCCCAGGTCCGCCGCGCCCGTGACGCGCCCGTGGATGCCCGCGTGCACCAGCCGCCGAGGAATCAGCAGCCCCTCCTGCACGGCGTGCCAGAAGACGGTCCCGTGGTGCACCTCGGACGCCTTGGACTTCCAGGCCTTGCGCGGGTACGCGTCCGGCGCCAGGGTGTCCATGTGCGCGTCAAAGTGCAGCAGCGCGACCGGCTCGCCGCGCACCGTCTTGAGCGCTCGTAGCATCGGCAGTACAACGGAGTGGTCGCCGCCGAGCAGCACGAGCCGCGGGTGCGACCAGCGGTCGGTCGTGGTCGGGTGCGAGAGCAGGTTGGCGAGCCCGTCCTCCATCTGCTCCATGGCCAGCACCGGGTCGTTGGGAATGATGGGCACGTCACCGCAATCGAGGACCGACGCCCACGACTCGTACGGGTTGAAGCCTAGTTTGGTGTGGAAGCTGCGCGTGGAGAGGTGCCGTCCGGATGCCCAGCGGATGGCCTTAGGACCTTCCCGAGCACCTGTGTTCTGTCATCAGTCACTGCCAAGGTGTTTGCGAGTGCGGGGACTGGCCTCACCGGATCGATAGGTTGTAAGCGCGTCAAAGGGGAGCCCGACGACGGCAATGTCAAACGCAAGAGACTGGTTCACCAGACATTTCGAATGCGGAAGATGATTGAAGGTCGATATCCCGGAGATCGCCCACTAGTCACCATCAGTCAGTCTCGGTCAATATTCATGCTCGGATAGGCTGGGGACGCGTACGTCAGAGCCCCATTTCTCTTCCAGTTCAGCAGTCGTCTCTGTCTTGACGGCCCAAGAAGCGTCTACGAGCCAGAGGACCAGCGCAGCCAGCGCCAAGACGCGCGCAAAGAGTGATCGAAGAGCCATCCTATAACGGGTCCGCAATGAATGCTCTTTGTAGCAAGCTCCTCCGGGCATTGCGTCTCGGTCTCCCCTATTTCAAGAAGCTGTAGTCCTCTCGGAGACAGGAAACGGCGACGCAACTCGTCCCGCGGCAGGCTTTACCGCTTCGCAAAGAGCCACTTCATTCCGCACAACGAGGGTCCCCGGCCTGCCTCCTCTGGCTCTCAACGCATGGGGACGCCATCCTGTTGTCTGTGCTGACAAGATTCCACGACGTGCGGCCTGGATAGCTTATCGTTTATCTTTCGTTGTGATTTTGGACAAGGGGCGAACGGTACTGCGCGCTGACGCTCTATTTATTTGTTATGCATAAATGATTTCGTATCGAATAATGGTGTAGGGGGGTTCGACCCACGCTGCACGCAGATCTTCACTGCACCGAGTTGCTGTGCAGCGTCTTTCATCCCCTTCGTCATCGACCGCTGGTGTCGCCGCAGTCGAGGAGGTGACTTCGATCTCGATTCTGTAGCCCAGCTGTGCCAATCCCAGCTGTCTGCTGCGGCCTTCGGCAAGCGTCAGAGCGCCGTCGGCCTTGTTCTCACGCGGCTCACCGGCCACTTGCACATGACGGTATCGTGTCTAACCCTGAATGTATTAAACCCCTAACAACTCTTGATGTCTATGCTATTACAAAACCTGATCTAGCGAAGCAATACCGTGTCGCCCGTACGAGGCAGTCGACCCCCCTGCCGGTGGCGAATATTCCAGCTCGCTGAAGAGCCGCTCTGGTTGCGGCTGCCTCAGCTGAACTATCCACATTTTAGCAGCGTACAATGCGCGATATCAGCAGACAAGTATTACCATCCGCATTGCCGTTCCACGTCATGAAACTGTCCATCATGGCTGAGTTGACTGAGTTGACAAATGGTGTGCTAGGAGCGTGCTGGTCTTGCATCCAAGTCCGGACTAGGGCAGAGTCATTGTTGCCGAACAACAAGGCAGCTTGATCTTCTGAACCAGCTGCCACTGGTTCAGAAAAAGCCGTGCCAATCCTCTCGCTGCCCGGAGCAGTGCTGCTCCCTGCTGAGAGCGTCATACGCAGAGTTTTCCGTGAGATTGGGTCCAGCTGCTCTGCTTCCAAGGGGTGAGTTAGCACGATGCAAAGCGACTCGGTGTCCAATCGGTTGCCTTCGGTGCCCACCTTGAGGACGATTTCGCTTCTTGGAAGTCATGTTTTTGAGCGTTGCTGCAATGAATAGACCCAGGTTCGTGAGGTTCAGATCCATTACAAGTTGGTTTATGCCGAGTTCCATCAGTTTTGCACTGGCAGTAGCCATTTGCTCTTTTGTGCATCTGGATGTGTATCTGGATTATCCGTTCGTTAGCAGTCATTTTTTTGCATGTCAAGGGCGGAGACGTACGCTGAGTGAGGCACATCTACCGGCAACGCAATTAGATAGCCCAGGTCAGAGCAAACCCCGAAAGCCTTTGTCCACTCATGATACTTATGACCTTGGTCTATCCAATTCAGGCATTTATTCGTCGTCTTTTTGTTTGGGAAGCGCTCGGGATACTTTTGGCAAAGTGTCTTGACGAGCTCCAGGCGGCTTTCCCGTATCCAGTGCTCGCCCGTATGGAGGCCTGCCTCGACAACATGGCGGTAGATGTTGTAGCACTCGAACCTGTGGAGCACTCTCAATACGTCACGCGAGTCGGCATTGTGCTTCTTGGTAGCTATCGCAGCCTCCCAGCCTTGTCCCGTTGGCAAGGCCACCTTGGCGGCCTGCACAGAGCGGAAGAACTCAGCAGGGTTCAACTTGCAGTCGCGCAGAAGCTTTTCCGTGTCTGGCGCAAATTGAACCTGGCTGATGGCAGCTAGGTGCACTCCGGGCTGAGCATGGCAAATGGCATCGGTGGGTGGTGTCGCCGTCTTCGCACACGAAGCACCTGGGGCGGGGAGCTGACGGCTAGTGTCTTGAGCTCTGAAGCCTCCAGCACGAGGGTTCCAAGGCAGAAGAAACACATCGCTTGACTGACGGCCGGTGGACGAGGTTGGCGCTGGTGAGGGCGAGGCTTGGCCGTGTCCGGTAACAAGACGAGGAGTCGCAGCGCTTTCTAGCTGATGCCCTGGATGTGCTACCGGATCCGCGGGTTGTGAGCTCCAAGTCGTATCCAAGTCGTCTGCTGCCAACCGCCTTGTTTCGCGGTCACCATTCGCCAGCTGGATGCGATGTAAGCCTCCCTCTGCTAGTGGCCGTGGGCTTGTATGGGTGTCATCTCTGCGTTGGTGGTGTCGTAGATCCAATTCGGTGGGCTGTTTGTTGCTAGAGTGGTCAGCCAATGCCGTCGGAGTGTAGGATGGTCATGATAATAATGATAAGTACGATAAGGATAATACAGATGATAAGGATGATGGGGGTGACAGAAATGACAAGAATGACAAGAATAATCACAATGATAATTATGACAATAATGATGATGATGATAATAAAAAGAAGCAAACCTGGCAGTGATACAAAATGACAAATAGCCGCTTCAGGGTAGTCAATTCGCCGTCGGCTAGTTGCCTAAGGCAATTTGACACATCTGCAGCCGTGATTTGGCTCTCATTGGCCATGAAATAGCGAGCCAGCCGTGTCAGCAAATCCTGGAGTTCTGTGCTGCTCCATCTCGGCCTTGCCCACATCTCGAGAATGAAGGGAGCGAGCGAGCGCGGCAGAGCAGGTCCCATGGCGCATTCTACTCGTGGGAGCTCGGTATGCGTATAAATCATCTCTTGTATCGTGTGGCAAAGTGAGATTTGCATTTCTTGGTCATGCATATGCAGACTCCCTTATCCGGATCAACCAGCCACTCAACCGCTTCGTGGAGACCCAATTGCATTTTGCTGCACCTGCTTCCATCGCCTACTGTATGTCGCCTCATAGCCAATGGTGTAAGGTCATGGCCGAATTACAGCTGCAATATATCTGCAGCGTCCACTTAGGCACGAATACCATAAAGACTTCAGAAGAAACTGGAACATTGGAACGCAAGAGGACGGAGTATGCAGGCCGATCTGCTTGCATCAGAAGGGGAGGGGATCAGCGGTGGAAGAGGTCAGCGGTGGAAGAGGTCAGCGGTGGAAGAGATCAGCAGTGGAGGGGGCTGTCGCCCAAGAAAAGCCATACCTGCAAGGTGCAGTTTCTTGCTACCTACTTGAGCACAACTCTATGAACTGTATCTGTAGTTAGCTCGCTTGTTGATGGTACGAATGCATCTTGGATACTGTTGAGGCGACATGGAAAGCTGCCAAAGACAGGTATGTGTAGGTGGTGGTACAGGGTATTTCATGCGTGAGCTTGGCAAGGTGAGAAAGAGGCCGGATCGAGCTTGCCGGCTTAGTTGCCGATTCATGGTCTGAAACTTACAGGTTCAGATCTTGCCTCTTGCGACGGCGACTGTCAGCCGGAAGCAATCCCCCAAGCACAGCGCTTTATATCGCTCAGACCCTAAGTGTGATATTATATATATATATATATGTAGAGTGCGTATGTGGCGATCATCGCCATAGCGTCCGATGAATATGCTGGGCAGAGCCAAACAACCCAACCCACCCACCCACCTAGGGTTACTACGTGTCACCAGAATCCGAAGCAGTACAAATCATGACGCATACAGCACGTTTTGTTTATTAATTATTCTCCAAAGTCAGGAGTTACAAATGCAGATCCTCATTGTGATCTGCGGTTAGTTGGCCGCTGCAGCTTGCCTAGGGCGGTAACATGTCTTGGGCTCGGATGTGCAGCTTCGTTACATAGAGCGTGGACTGGCAGCAGAAACTATTGCGTAGCTTCTCGCTATCCATCAGCATGGTCAAAATTACTTGAACACCTTTACTACCGCAGTAGATGGTGGATGATGCAACTTCACTTTGGCAGCACAACATACCTACCCTACACCCGGGAGCCGAAGCCAAGCCAAGCCAAACCTTTTCAGCCCTCGATCGGCTCGAGCTCACGGAATGAAATCTACATCCAAGAGAATTGAACAACAAAGTGCTGGTCTCTTTGCAAGCGTGCCAATTGCAAACCCACACCGAAATATCGGGGTTTCGTCCGCTGGATCCTTCCGATGTACCTTTCATGGATGCGGCAAGACCTATTCCCAGGCCGGCCATTTATACCGTCACCGGTTGAACCGTGCGCAACCCCCCCTTCTAAACTCAAAAGCTGATTCAAAAACTGAATGAGTGATTAAAGACGCACCGAAGCACATCTATGTCTGTGACTTTCGTGGCTGTTACAGGTCCTTCGTGAGAAGAGACCTCCTTGATCGACATAAGGCTCGCCACAAAAGTCGACAAGCCAGCCTTGGCAAGTGCGCGCATTCGCCACAAACTACTTGCAGCACGGGTGATCCATCTGTCGAGGCCGCATTCTCAGACCTGCTGTTTGGGCAGATATCCACGGCAGGACTTGGTTATGACCGGTCACTCAACCTGGTCACCAGGTCATGCACGAAGCCATCAGTAGTAGTGCACTCATCAACATCATTTGCATCATCGAAGCCGCACATTTCTCCATTACAACACAAAAATATCTCCTCAGGCTACTCTCCGGGGCAGCAGACTGAAGATGAGCTTTCGTGCGCTCAAGAGGCAAACCAGCCCAATCTGCAGGATGGCGCGGGTGAGACAACCTGTCGACAGAATGCTGGTGCCGACGTTTGCAGATTCCAGTTCACTCAGGACTTCTCTTATAAGGAGGTCAATGTTGGCTTCGACTCTGATGGCGCCTACTTGGATGACTTTCTGGACTTTTCCGACCCATTTCACGACCCGGGAGCCATCTTACCCACGACCTTGGACGAAGCCATAGGAGGGCCTCCCACCACCATCCCTCCATTCAGCGCCGAATCAGCAAATGATTTCCACGACTTCACATTTGACCCTGCTTCACTTCCATCAGATTTAGGTTCATCGTTATTCACAGGCGCATCTACCTCATCTGTGATGTTAGCCGGGTCCGTCTTTAACGGCTGCCAGCTCGACCGGCCCTCCTCCGGGAGTGGTGATGAATTTACCGCCTGGCTTTTTAACGAAGCTTCTACAGTCTCCTCTGCCAGTTAAAACAGCGTCGTTGATTTGGTAGATGATGTTCTTGGATTGAATCCGGGTCAAACCCCGCCGACAATTGCAGGTATATCAGAGTACCTAATGAACTGCATGGGGGAGCAGGCACAGGGAGACAAAAGCAGCGTTCTTTCGCAAAGAAAACGACAAGAGGTGCTAAAAATACTCAAGAATAAGTTGAGACCACACAAAGTCCAGAGAGGCGACAGCGGGATGCAGCAGTCGTTGAGGGCAACGTCGATGACGGTGACCATGTCCTCAGTCTTACAATGATGAATTCATACATCCACTCATACTGGCACTATTTCCACCAATAGCTTCCTATTATACACTATCCAACATATTGTGTAGAAACTTCGCCCAACGTCCTTTTTCTCGCCATCATGGCGATCGGGGCGTCAGCATTGAACCGCATTCATGGTCCATCAACGACGCGAGCCATGGCTCATCTGTCGCACCTCATCATACAGGGTCTCCGCTGGCAAATATTCATGGACCAAGATTTCTTTCAGCTAGATAAGCCCACAGAGCTTTGGGTATTACAAGCACTTGTGCTTATCACTGTGTATAGGGGTTCCGCTCCGGCTCCATGGGCATCGGCAAATAGTCCTCGGTGGTCACAGTGTTGCGGTGCACATCTATGGCAGCGTCGATGCGCGCGGCGAAGATGTGCTGGTGGTTTTGCGCGAGGACGCCGGGTCCGACGATGGTGCCGTACGGGGACGTCTTGCCGGGATCGATGCTGACCCGGCGACATGATACCCGTCGGGCGTGTCTCGAGGTGAATACCTTCCGCGAATCAAGATGGTAAGAAGAAATGTATTCGTAGTTGCCTAGGGTAATGATGAATTGAATGATCAGCTTTCGGTCGCGCACGACAACTGCGCGCCCTGTCATGAGATTGTTGTGCTTCCACAGAATACCATCGTCCTGCTCATGGATACAGATGACATTCTTGACAGTGCTCGGTTCGCCATCCGGCTTTACCAGAGTAGCGTCCAGGTATTTAATCGCGCCGAGGCAATCGCAGCCCAGGCCGAGCTGGTTGGCCGTCCAGCCAGCGCCCACGTCGCCAAAGTCAAATGCCTGCTTGCGATGATGGGGCGGTCTGGGATCACAGTACGGGACGGTAAGCTCGCTAAAGGAAAGTCTGTGTATCAAGCTGCGGTTGTTAAAGTGTATGTCGTGAAGCACGGCGCGTTCCTGCGGCGTGAAGGAGATGCGGAAGCGCTACTTCTGCCACTCGACGAGGCCGCCGTCCGTCACAGTAAAGAACACGCCATGTTTCCGAATCACGTCCAATGGCTTAAAGTCCATGCGGTCCGGCTTGTCCAGCATTTCTGGGATGTACTCAGAATGCCTCTGATGCTCAGTCGGCTTCTGCGGTACAGGATAATCTTCCCCTACCAACTACACGGCGAAGTCGGCCTCAAGATCTTCATGGCCACCGGTAGCCGTCCGTTCGACGCGCAGGACCTCCATGGTGGCAGTGTCCATAACGACGCAGAAGGGAAGCGGGAACGGGTAGTGGTTCACGTCGTCGTTGTTCTTGGTCATGCCCCGCGCAAAGAAGAAGAGTTGTGTGAGGCGACGGGTGTTGCCCGGTTCAACATCGGAGCCTCCGAACGGCCAGGGATCGATGTAAACCTGCCAATGGGGCGGGAGCTGCAGCTCCTCGACCACGCGCTGGAAGACGGGGCTGGCGAGCGCGCTGTCAATGAACTCTTGGAACTCGTCGACGGTGAAGGACGTGTGCTGGTGCTGCTCCAGGAGCCGGGTTTCCGTCTCCTTGCCTGTTGCGACGTCCACGGTCGATTCCATGTAGGAGCGGCTGCCGTCTTCTTCGATCATGTCGTACTGCGCGCGCGCTCGACGCGGGGGCGGTGTGGAGGCGGCGGGATCAGGGAAGCCGGCTCGTTCGGCGTCGAGATACGGCAGCATTTCCCGTTTGGGCGGCTCGAGATTGAAGACATTCCGGAGGAAGAGGGGCCGCTTTCGGGCATGGCGGATGATGCTGCTGACGAGGCGGATCTCGTCGCTCGAGAGAGCAGCAAGTGAGTGTGTATGAGGGCAAGACATTGAAACAAGGGCAGTTAAGGAGCGCAAAATCGGTGAGTAGATTAACACCAACAAGTTTGAATTGTAAACATGGTTCGTATTCAGTTGCATGCTGTAGGCCAGGTAGTAATAGCGGAAAGTTGGGCGGTGCGGCTTCCGAGCCACGCAACCCACGGGTATTCCTTTCCTTGGCATCCTTCACATCCCTCCCTGTGCGTGGGCTGCTTCGCAGGACTTTTGCAGGACGCTTGAGATGCGTACGATGCTTTGTCCGGTCACATGCTCGCAGCCTGACTATGAGAGCACCAGGTCGGCGGACCGCCTCTGCTCACCTCATCATGAAACGATACACATAGCCTCTATCGTTATGAAGATGGCAACATCAGAGTTAGAACGTCAACTTCAGGCCACAGAGGAATGGCAGAAGGCACAGCAGGGACTGGGCTACAACGGCAACATCCCCGAGATGATCGCGGCCAGAGCCCGCTGCGCGATTGCGTGCGACGCGCTCAACGACTCTAGGGACTATTCCCGCCGCAATCAAGTCGAGCTGTGGAGGAGGTGAGCCGTCTCACAAGGTCCCAAAAAGAGTTGCCCAGCTGACACGAACGCGACCAGACTCACCCTGGACGAGCGAGCCCTGCCGCCGCGCGCGGCGACCGAGGCCGAAGACGAGGCCCTGCTGGAGCGCGAGCCCTTCGTCTGCGCACCCGTGCGCGCCGAGTACGGCTTCAACATCCGCCTCGGTGAGTCGACCTGGGTCAACTGGAACACGACCTTCCACGACACGGTGCCGGTGACCATCGGGGCGCGGTCGCTGGTCGGGCCCAACTGCGCCTTCTACTGCGGTGCGCACCACGTGGACCCGGCGCTGCGCGATGGCGACCGCGGGCTGTGGTTCGAGCGGCCGATTATCGTCGGCGAGGACTGCTGGATTGGTGGCAACGTGGTGGTGCTGGGCGGCGTGACGATCGGGAGGGGGTGCACCATCGGCGCGGGGAGTGTGGTGACGAGGGATGTTCCCGCGTTTCACGTGGCGACGGGGAACCCGGCGAGGATCTTGCGGAAGATTGAGACGGCCATGGACGGTGGCGGTGAGGAGGAGGCGGTTCAAGAAAGGTGATGGATGCTGTTTGTTGGTTTCATGGAGTGAAGGTGTCAGGGGAATTGTGTGGAGCAACAAACAGCTGCTCCGTTTGCTCCTCGGACACGTTGTTCTAGCACCATCATCATCATTGAAGCCGGAGCACATATATTAATTGTATCTATTTCCTCTCCTTCCTCGAATACCAGTAAAAAAATCAGCGAAAACTAGATGGCTTGCAACGTGCGCCCTGAATCCCCACTCTTGTTTGGTGCCAAAATTGGCCTTCCGTGCTGAGCTTCACTCCTGCTTGCGAAACCTGACCCAGCAGTCGTGCTCCTACATAGTCATGGTTAACACGGGTCCAGCTCACTTTCGCGTCTCGCGTGATACAACTTACCTTCATATGCTGCTTTCCCTCGTCGTAAAAGAGCTCGAATCTCGACGTGATGACCGGACCCAGTTGCTCAGACCTGGGCTCGACGGCCGTCGTGTAGCCGCGATAGATGGCCGCCACCAGTGTCGTAATCTCCGCCATGGCGAGGATGTTGCCCAGGCACTGCCTGCCGTGTGTGCCCTGCGAGTTGGAGGAAAGAAAAGCCAGAACCAGGCGGTTTTACGAAAAGAAGAGGGCGGCCGAGTAGGCGGCCCGGCTAGATCCAGGCTGCCGCGACTACGGAAAGCCAGTGTAACTTGGCATTAAAGGTCAGCGTCCGAAGAGATGTGCACCGTGCCGCCTGGCAAAGGACAGAGCCAAAGGTTGGAGAAACTACAACAAAAACCGAAAAGTCGTCAAAATGAGAGACGCCGATTGAGAGCGGCAATGGATGGAACTACGAAGCCATGCCAAGATTCTCCGCTTTATTACGAGAAAATACTGTTTACTAAAATTGAGTCTAGAGAAATGCTGTTTCTCTTTTGTGGCGGTTTGTATCAGAGGATTGTTACTAAATTGGCCTGTGTTATCTACATTGAGAGGATGACGGGTAGAGATACTAGTAACAAATGCTAGGGATGTTTGCTCCGAGTTGTTAACCTGACGCACTCGCCTGTCACAGGAGTACTTTATATTCCAATATAGCTTATTTTTTCTTAATTCTTTTTTGGAGTGCTAAAAATGATCCCTTTGACGTGATATAGCTGTGCATCCGTACTCAAGACACGCACTGACGCTTGATCTTTCATAATCTGCCACTATCCGTTTTGCCTTGCTCGCACGGCCATTGCCGCTGAGAAATATCTTTTGCGTCCTCGTGCGTGGGCACCGACGCTTCTAGAGTACTTCTTTCGGTTATGGGAGGAGAATCTTGATCTCGTTGTGCTCACCACTCGTATGCTCCTTTCCTCCTGCCCGAGCTGAAGGAATTGTCGGTTCCGTTGGGGAAGGACTGAACGTGGACAAGGCCCAAGTCTAATAAACCATGTGTGCCCCAAACGCCTTGGATGTATAGCCGGCACCTTTTCTAATGTAACCCTTTCTAACGTGCCAGTGCTTCTCCCTGGTCTCCACGTTCAGTCATAGTAAATTGAGACACTGTATCCCGAATTTTACTACCTTCCAGCTGAAGCAATCTTCATACCCATCTGCCTCGCATGCTGAGCCATAAGGGCGTCCGCGATCGTTAGAGCGGCCATAGCCTCAACGATAGGTACTGCGCGAGGGACAACATTAGGGTCGTGACGGCCCTTAGCGGCTAGGACGCCCTCACCGGAAGCATCATAGCGCGCGGTAGTCTGGTCCTGGGAGATTGTAGCGGGGGGCTTGAACGCAACACGGAAGAAGATGGGCATGCCGTTAGAGATGCCACCCTGGATGCCACCCGAGTGGTTCGTCTTAGTGTATAGGCGGGAGGGAGGGATGCCAACGCTAGCGCCTGGTGTCGTAGCCTTAGCGGCGGCGGGGGTGGATACGAAGGGGTCGTTGTGGACGGATCCGCGCATCTCGGCGCCATGGAAGCCAGAGCCAATTTCAAAGCCCTTGGTCGCAGGAATTGACATGATGGCGTGCGCGAGGAGAGCCTCAAGCTTGTCAAAGCACGGCTCGCCGAGGCCGGACGGGCACCCGCGGATAATACAGGTGACTGTGCCGCCGATGGAGTCGTGCTTGTCGCGGAGCTCGGCAATCATGTCCTCCATACGCTTCATAATAGCAGTATCAGGGCACCGCACCGGCAGAAACTCGTCAACCTTGTCGCGGGTGAGGGTGTCGACGAGCTCGAGGAACTTGGGGTCGCTGCTGAGGGAGTCGATGTCGTCGAAGAGCTTGATCTTGCCGACCGAGGACACAAAGGCGACAATCTCGACGCCGTAGGCCTCGCGCAGCCACTTCTCAGCGACGGCGCCGGCGGCGACGCGGGCGATGGTCTCGCGGGCGCTGCTCCGGCCGCCCCCGGAGGAGGCCTTAATTCCGTACTTCTCGAGATAGGTCCAGTCGGCGTGGGAGGGACGCGGGTAGACATCTGTCGTTTTTGCTGCGTAGTCCTTCGGGCGTTGATCTTCGTTCATTACTGAGAGCGTTATGGGGGAGCCCAAGCTCATGGGATGTTAGTATCGTGATATTTTGACTCTCCGTGGGGTGGTCTCACGTGCGCCCGAACTCGCATCCAGATCCTATCGTCACGCGGTCCTTCTCGTCGCGCGGGGTAGTAATGGCCGACTGGCCTGGACGTCGACGGTTGAGCTGCGGCTGGATGTCATCCTCAGTGAGGGCAAGGCCTGGCGGGCAGTTCTCGATGATGCAGGAGACACACTTGCCGTGGGACTCCCCCGCGCTGTGAACAATGAGAGGTCAGTACGCCTGTTGTGCTGCGCCCGTGGTAGGTTAGTTGACAAAACTCACGTCGTCACGCGAAAGTAGTTGCCAAAGCTCGACATAGCGTCTATATCTGTTCTATATAGTCCAGTGAGCGAAGTAAGTTGAAAGCAAAAGGGAGGTGTTGACGCAGAGATATTTTTACCTCTGCGGTGACTAATCCGAGGTCGGAGCGTGGGCGGGCAGGCGCTGTCACGTGCATGAGAGATGCGGGTCCAGCGCTTGCTGGCTCCAAAGAAAGTTGCATGATCGCCTTCATTCAGCAAGCTTTCCGCCAACGTAGTCTGTACCGACACCCCCCAAATAAAAAAAAAAAAAAAAAACGACGACGGCCCGGCCCGCCGTCTTGAACACATTACGGCTGCTCGCCGAGGCAGTCTGCTTCTTCTGCCGGGGAGCCCGGCAGCAGGCCAGAGAGCTTGCGTCGGGCAACGACGTCGCTGCCGATGCATACGATGCGCGAGCACTAGTTACAACAACAAGAAACAGGACCGTCATGTATGCATAAACTGGAATTTGCTCAATTGGCCTGTCGATGCGGCGGTGGCAATGGGCGTGGCGAGGAGAGGGACGTGAGCTAATAGCTGCGGCTGCTCTGGCGCTGCTGTTCAGCAAGATGAAGGTATGTCCATACGCTGCGAGAATCATATCCAAACCATTTCTCCGATCTGTAAAAGTTGCGCAAAGCAAGTTTTGACCATTTGAATGCTGTTTAGCGGTCTCTAGCAGTGCGAAATATCTTGACAACTCCTTTGTGTTTGGTAATCACAGCGAAATCAGTGGCTGACCACCCAGCTGTCCTTGGCGTAGATGTTGGCGCCCTTGGCGATACGTGTCCTGACCATGGCTTCGTTGCCAGCTATCACTGCACAATGCAATGGCGTCCACCCAATTGTAAAGTCTCGAATCTTCAAAACGCGGCGGCTCAGCGAATCATGGATTCCGACAGTATGACCAGCCTCGTGTGTGTTTCCGCGCCGAAGCCGACCACACAAGGCCAGCTCTCGATGAGCACCAGCCCACTCGTGAGCGCTCCTCTGATGACTTGATCAGCAATTCGAGGACGACGATTTCCCCGCTCATGGCTGCGCAATGCAGGGGAGTCCAGCCGACCTTGGAATCTTTAGCGCGTATACCCGCACCTAGGTTAAGCAATAGCTTCACAATCGGTACATCTGCGTTCATCGTCGGGGTGTGGAGAGGGGTTATGCCATTTCGTCCCCTCGCGTCAACATCGAACCTCCCTACTTTAATGAATGATTTCCGGGCCCGTATTGCATTTTTCCGAGCTTGAATTAGTTCGTGGATGTGTACGACAACGCTCAACGATCCCGCCTTAGCCGCTCTGTCTAACCGGCGTTGCCAAACTCGTCGACGTCGCTGAGCTTACAGTCACGTCTAAATGCCAGCTTAAAATCCCTCACTAGCTCTCCTGGAGGCATGAAGTCTAAGATGCGGCCGCCTCAGTACATCCCGTTCATTCATGCCAGATGTTCTAAACGTTGTCCTGAGTTCTTGCTTTTATCCTTTTTTGACGCATTCTTCCGGCGTTTTCCTGACCTTGCTAAGTTTGGTTGTCTTTGTTGTAAAGCACGTCTTTTTCCACTGCATGTGTTTTTCTCCCTGCCTTGAGGCCCATGATCCGGTGTTTCGCCCATGGTCGTTTCTACCTCTGCGGGTTTCTTAAGGGAGCCAATGGCTAATAATGGTGGCTGAAATGCCAAGGAACCAATAAACTGGCATCGTATAGCACGGCTACCCGACTCAGTTACCCTGATAAGAATGCCTCTTTCGACTTCCTCAACTTAAGGGCTTTTTGTCGGGGGTAGAAGCAAACGGCAGCGGCCAACATTAGCTGGCTGCAGAGCGTCGCGTACCCATTCTTCAACCAATTCATGCGCACAGCCCCAGACGCACCTGTCTACTAATGTTTCGGCAGAAAATACCCTCCAAATTCCAACTAATCCTCCATCCCTAGTGAACTTCAGGCACCAGGAGCCTATTTCGTGCTCATGAATCTGCTGCGGCGGTGCTCGTGACAAGTCAAAGATGTTTGTGGGACACTAAGAAAAATTGCCCGGCATAGTAGTCGACGTGTGGAAGAGATACTCGTGGGGTATGCTTTGAACTGTTTTGAGAATGCTCTGGTACGTATCTCTCTGGCTTGTGTCTCCTTGACACCCTTTCATTTCGACTCCCACGAGTAACCCTGCAGTTGTAGCTCGATCCTTAAGCCAAGACGTGTGGCAGGGCACCAGCAACGATTGCATGGCTGCTGGTCAAATCAACCGGTCGCCAGGAATGATAGCAACGTGCGTCTCGGCTCTCAGCCACGGCGGTTGGTGGTGGTGGTGTGCCTCACTCACGCTCGGCATGTGTGCTGGTAACACGCGCAGATTACAGCAAAATGCGGCAGAGAGGGATGGCTGCGTTAATGGTTGACGTAAGGCAGTTTGGTGTTACAAGTGGTAAAAATTTAGAGACGAGTAAAATCCTGGTTTTATTTATTTAAACTTGATGCACAGAAGGTCAATATACCATCGTAGAATCAGCGTTCTATAAGGACTGTAAAAAAAAAGCAAGTAGTGATATTGAAAACAGTAGCTCAAGTTACAGGAACCGGGCTCACTTGCAGTCACACAGCAAAAATCCCCAGTATCAATCCCTACATATGTCTGCCTGTTGAAGGTATCCTATCCTGTCTCTGTCCGCCCAGTCAATGTCTACGGCTTGGAAGCCTTGCCCCCGGCCCGCCCTCTTAGCAGATCCTGCATGGCGAGCACCATCTTCTCATCCGTCACCAGCTTGAGGTACGACAGCGACTCGCCCCCCTTGGGCACCTTCTCGACCTCTTCCTCGCTGAGCCCCGTGATCTTCGCCAACCACTCCACCGAACCGAGATCGTTCTGCTTCACCAGCGGCGGGATGTCCGGGTGCGCCGCCCCCTGCTTCTGCTCCTCCTCGTAGAGGTGCCCGAACTTGATCGCGATCAGCAGCTGCAGCGGGCGCGCGTCCTTGATGTCCGACTTCCACGGGTTGCGCAGCTCGTCCTCGGTCCTCTTGAGCTCGCCGCGCAACAGCATCGCCACCTCGAGCGCGTGGAAGACGACGAAGAAGTTGATGCGGTCCTCGGAGAGGTTGGAGCCGGGCAGCTCGCGCAGGTAGTCGCGCGGGGAGAGCACCGCGGGGTCAAGCCCCTGCAGGCCCTTGGACTGGCCGAGCATGTACGCGAGGTTGAAGGACGGCGGCAGCACCGGGGGCTTGCTCTGGAGGTACGTGGCGATCTTTTGCAGCTTCTCGCGGACCTCGGCCAGGTTGTTGCTCTCCGTGCCGGACACGCCGGGCACTGGGGTGACCTTCTTGTAGTGCTCGGCCATCTCCGGCGATTTGAGGCGGTCCACGTACTCCTTGTTGAGGTTGTCAGCCATGGACTTCAGCGAGGCCGCGGCGCCGTCGCGGAGCATGTCGGGCAGCGCGAGGAGGTGGTTGCGCTGCTGGCGCAAGGTCTCGTTCCAAACGCCCGCCCGGATGCCCTCGGTTGCCTTGCTCAGTGTCTGCTCGATGCCCGCCTTGTCGCCGCCATCCTTGCTCGCACCCAGCGACTTTTGCGCGACCGCGTTCGCGACGCCGATGTTCTTGGCTCCCTCGGAGACGACGGCCAGGCCGTGCATGGCCAGTGTGCCGCCCAGTTTCGTACGGAACGGCTGCTCCTTCGACGTAGAGTTGTCGTTAACCTTTGAGTAGATGTAGGCGTAGACGTAGTCGGCCAGGAACTTGTTCCACTGGTCGTCTCGGGTCTTGAGCAGGTCCTCCTGCTTAGGCACCGGCGGCGGGTCAAACGCCTTGATGATGCCGCGGATAGCGTGGATGGCGAGGCCGATCGGCGCGGCGGGCGACAGCATCAGCCCGTCGCCAAGGCCGCAGAGCACGGTGTCGAGCATGTCAAAGTTGTCCTTGAAGGCCTCGGAGACGGCGTTGGCGGTGCAGCCGATGATGGGCACGATGGAGGTCACGGCCTTGGCCTTGTCGAAGATGTTGACGTCCTTCTCGAACGCCTCGGTGACACCGTTGATGTACGAGCCGACGGCAATTCTCTCGAAGGGAAGATTGGCCAGCTTTCCGGCGGCGAGCTCGAACCGCGACGACTCGAGGGTGAGGGGTTTGTAGCCCAGGAGTTTGCTGCGCGCGTCTTGGATCGAGAGGGAGAATGCGTCCTTGATGGACTTGGACATTCCGCCGCGAGCGGCGAGTTCGGCGAACTCCCTTTGCGAGATTTCTTCGGCTATCTTGACCGACTCGGCGCTCTCGATAGGAGTCGCGCCTTCTTCAAGCGGAGTGGTATGTTCGGTAAGCTTCCCTTCCTCTTCCGCCGGCTCGGCCGTCTTGCCCTCCTCTTCCGTTGGCTCAGTCGTCTTCCCATCCTCTTTGGTGTTGTTCAGGCCAGTCTCCTCCTCTTCCTCCCCCAAAATGCAGTCACCGGTTCCATCTCGCTTGCATTTCGGTGCTGGATAAAGCTTTCTCTGAGCAATTGGCGCGTCGATGTCAGATCCATCTTCGATATACACGAATCTATTTCCGTCATAAACGACATTGTACGCTCCCGCATCCGCTCCTGTCGAGTCACAAGGGCATTAGCAAAACCTGTCTCATCAACGCCTCTAAGGTATTGTTCAACATGCTGCAACTTACCACCAAGAGCCGTGATCTTGGACCTCCACTTTCCATTTGAGGTCTTCGTCTTTGTCTGGCTCACCATAGCTGCCGCAATGTCCTTGCGGGCGAATCGCGCCCCATTGGTGCCAGTCACGATATCCGGCATCGGTGGGTCAGTGAGGTAGAAACCATCGGAAACTTTTTGCTTGACATCGTAGAAGGCTCGGACGTTGTTGTTCTCTACATGTTCCGTAATTCCGATGAAGTTTCGATTGCTGGTAGTGATGGCTCGGTATTTCCCTCGGGACGTTGCTGCATTTCGTATGAGACTCGTTGACGAACACGCGACACTGAGCTTGGGACCACCACTTACACTTGGTCAAGTCGTACTCGAGCAGCTTTGATTTTCCGACCTCAAACAGGCCGCCAGTCTTGGGCTGCCATCTGCCGCCTTTAAACTCCAAGCCGTTGTTTCCGAACGGTTTGGAGGATTTGCCAGGTGCAATGGCGTCAACAATCTCCTGCCGAGTCCACTTGTCGTTTCCGAGCTGAATTCCGTCGGGAATTCTGTCGTTTCCAGTGGGCTCGGCCAGTCCTCTTCTGGAAATGTAGCCATCAGAAGGCACATGACCGTGGGCTCGTGAGGCGACCAGGTTGGCAGCTGCCAAACCAAAGAGTAGGGCACGCTTAAGGATGAGCATTGTGAAAGATGGAAATGAACCCGAGGCAATCTAGTGAATCAGTGGATGAGGATCGTGCTTTGAACCATGTCGAGGAAAAAGTCTCGTCTGGCGCAGACTTGTTCATCTTATATACACCGAGTGTTTGTATGTATTGTAAGAATCTCAGCAACGCGGCCGAGTACATTCTTGCTGGCGTGCACGCAACGAGCGTGCAATGCGGATTTCCTCTACACAGCCGCCGTCATGTAGTGCATATCTAGTTCCTGTATAATGGCAGGAGAATTATGTTAATATTCTATGATTCCTTCATGCAGCGATCGCCATATGGTGCGTGGCTATGCAAATGCTCAATCCTGTTTTATAGCGGCCCTACTTCTTTACGCTAGTTAGTAGTTGCCTACCCTATGCACTTCTAATAACAAGCATGCTAATTTTAGAAAATTTTCCATTATAGACCTGCATATTCTTTTGCAGACTAATCGTAACGTGGTCCAGGAAACAACCAGGCACCTCTTTCCTTATTACCGCTATAAGACACTTTTTTCGTAGGGGAATTAAACACTATCAGCTTGATTTTAGAATCTGAAGAGCCTGGACATGCTTCCTGAGTTTGTGACAACTCTTAGAGATATGCTGAAGTCGCTGAAGCTGGTGCTGGGGGACCACAGCTTCGCACCTCTAATCACGTAACAAATCAGGGAAACGCCGTGGGAAAGACAACTAGTTTCAAATTCATGATATGGCACATTAAATAGCACTACACCCTAATGATTAATGCTCCATCCTAGTCAGTCGCCATGCCCGGAAATCCTCGGTCGGTATGAGGTTTCGACTCCTTGTATTTGAGTCAGGTTCACGCTACTTGGACTTGCATTGACGTTATAGTTAGTGGGCAGTTGGCAGGATGCTGTCGGGAACGAGCGAACAGAAAATTGACCAACGTGATGTGCGACGAAAGATTTGGCGGTTTTGTGGTTTTAAAGAAAAAAAAAACCAAAAAAAGAAGAAAAACAAAAGAAAAAAGAAAGGCCATGTCCAACGAAGAGGAACAACGTATCAATACGTACTGGCCAGGTGCACCCGCAGACAGGCCAGCGGCTAGTAAATAATAGATAGAGCATGAGTTATGCATAATAAACTAGCGAATAAACGACAGAGAAGGGACGGTAGACAATAGAAGATGGACGTCAGTATGTTAGACCACCAATGCAAAGGCAGGTGTGCTGACTCGACTTATTACTGCCGCAGCAGAATTCCGACTTCACCACTCCAACCAGAAGAATATGAGACTCGACTAAAAAGAAAAAAGTGACCACCCCTTGCTCGCACTCAGGACCTTTGTAGCAACATGGGACAGCTCAGAGGAGGAGTTTTAGGTGTTCTCTGTGGATCCATAGTTACCTAATCGAGGGCTCTGCTGATTCACTTCATGGGCTCGTCGGGGTTTGTTTTTTTGCCCTTATATAGCGACGCATTGAATATCCGCATAATAACAGGCGGGACCATTACGCACCCCTCGGAATCAGGTACCAAGTTTCTCGAACCGGCAGGCACGCATCAACCCCTCAACTTACGCGTCCAGCAGCCCTAGACGACACCTGACACCCGCTACGGCACGTTCCGAGTTGGTGGTGTGGCCCCCGTTCGCTGACAGGACGAACGGCGCCGGCCGCGCTTCTTGGCGAGCAGGACAACCATCGCTCCAGCAGTCAGCCCACCCCATGTCCGGAGAAGAAGAGACGCGGCCGCTGCTTGACCGGCCTCGAGACGAAATGGCCAACCCGCCGACGTCCAACCCAGGTGTTGCGGATGAAAGCGCCGGCGATGACGCGGCTGCCGTCGCACGACGCGTTCTGCGCAAGATCGACCGCGCCATCATCCCGCTGCTCTTCATCACGTACATGCTCAACTTCATGGACAAGGTGATTCTCTCCAGCGCCGCCGTATTCGGCCTCAAAGAAGACACCGTCAGTCCCCCCTCTCCCCCCGCCCCGCGCGCGCTGCTCATCTCCGCGAACAAACAGCACCTCCACGGCCAGCAATACAGCTGGGTCGCCAGCGTCTTCTACCTCGGCTACCTCACCTGGTCGTACCCGGCCGCGCTTGTTGTCGCCCGCCTGCCCGTCGGCAAGTACCTCGCCGCCAACACGGCCTTATGGGGCGCCGCCGTCGCCGCCACCGCCGCCTGCACGTCCTTCGGCGGCCTGCTGGCCGTCCGCATCCTGCTGGGCGTCGCCGAGGCGAGCATCGCCCCGGGCTTCATGTTCGTCACCTCGACGTGGTACACCCGCGACGAGATGCCCGCGCGCGTCGGCGTCTGGTTCGCGGGCAACTCGGTCGGCGGCCTAGTCTCGAGCCTGCTCGCGTTCGCCGTCGGCCACGTTCACGACGAAGTGCACCCGTGGCGCTGGATGTACATCATCCTCGGCGCGGCGACGTTTCTCTGGACGGTCCCCACGTTCTTCCTACTCCCTGATTCCATTTCTACAGCAAAGTTCCTTACTACCGAGGAGCGCGAGGTCGCGACCCGCCGCACCGTCGTCGCCGGCACGGGAAGCACAGAGGGCGCCCGCTTCTCGCGGGAGCAGGTCCGCGAGTGCCTGGTCGACCCCAAGACCTGGCTCATCGTCTGCATCGCCGCCCTCGGTCAGATCCCCAACAGCGGCACGCAGAGCTTCGCCAACATCATCGTCAAGTCGTTCCACTTCACCAGCCTGCAGTCCACCCTCGTCAACATCCCCTACTCGCTCCTCTCCGCGGCCATCATCGCCGGCACGGGCTGGCTCGCCGGCCGCCACCGCACGCTCAACTGCATCCTCATCGTCGCCGTGGTCCTCCCGTGCGTCGCCGGCGCGGCCGTCATCTACCGTCGCCGGCAGGTCCCCTCGCGCGGCGCGCAGCTCCTCGCCTACTTCCTACTGTCGCCGGGGCCCGCGTCGATGCCGCTGAACATGGCGCTGGTGCAGTCCAACTTCAAGGGCGTGACCAAGAAGATGACCATGACGGCGCTGCTGTTCGTCGCGTACTGCGCGGGCAACGTTGCCGGGCCCCAGTTCTTCCGCGAGAGCGAGGCGCCCACGTACGACACGGCGTTTCAGACCATCATGATCTGCTACTCGCTCGTCATCGTCCTGGCTATCGTGCTGCGCATGTACTTGCAGTGGTTCAACGCGCTCAGGTCCAAGATGGAGGGCGTTCAGGGCAGCTTGGCTACGGCGGGCGCGTTGCCCGATGCCAAGCTGGGCAGCGACGCGGGTGCCACCGCGGTGCAGCTACAACCCGCAGCGTTCGAGGACATCACCGATTGGAAGACTGTTGGGTTCAGGTATCGATTATAATCTTTATATCACAACTTCCAAGGTTATTACATGGCTCTCAGAAATTGAACAAACGAAAGCAGGCCAGACAATGTGGCCGCGCTCGTCTCCGCTCCTCATCCCACCCAGTCAAGCTGAAACCTTGACTGCACACTTTCCATGATGCCCCAGTTTCACTGCGCCTTGTCCAAGTCCTCGAGTATCATGGCCGCCCCCTTTTCGGCGATGGCATACACTGTTGCCTGCAGGTGCGCACTGATCTGCAACGGCATGACGCTGGCATCAATGACACGAAGGTTTTCGACGCCGTACACCTGCAGCCGTTCGTTGACGACGCCGCCCTCCACGCCCGCATCGCCGCCCATCGCGCACGTTCCCACCGGGTGCCAATCCGTTATGGTGTTTTCCGCTATCCAATTGCACATTCGGCCGTCGTCCTGGAAATCCTCGGTCGTCGGAGCAACGGGACGGTGAATGATGTTCGCCAGCGGCTCCGTCTCAACAATCTTCCGGAGGAAGCGGGTGCCCTTTTGCATGATCTCGGCGTCAAGCTGGCCGTGTTTGCCGTGGTAATACCCCGGGTCGATGTGCAGCTCCTTTGCACCTTCGGAGCTCGCGCGATACGGCCGTAGGTGAATGGATCCGACAGAAAACGGATATTGTAGTATCTGCAGCATCGTGCCGTATTTTTTTCCCGCTTCACCTTTGAAGTATGGACTCCAGTTGCCGAGATCAAAGATGTACTCCATGTGGCCCAGCTCCGTGTCGTTTCCAAGTCGATCTATGACGATGGCGGTCTTCTCCGCACCATAGGCAGAGTGAAGCTGCGCGCGAGCCTTGATGTCGGCGAGCACGGGCTGAGGAAGGATGTCCTTGAGCGGGACGTAGCAAATAGAGCAGGGGAGAACAGTCAGCGGCCCGCGCCGCGCCGCATTGTATTCTTCTCGCGCTCGCGCCGCGTAGACGTCGTCGGAGAGATCATCCGGGTTTGCGAGCGTCGGGTCTACCTCAAAAATCGTGGCAAGCACTGGACGGAATTAGCCCTTTTTCCCCTCGTGCTGTGGCCAGAGGCGAGTGTCAGGAAGAGGAAACTTACTGATATGCTCCTGCAGGTTTTCTCCAACCATCGGACTTTTGACTCTGACCGGCACACCTACCTGGTCCAGTACATCAGGGTTGCCGATGCCGGAAGACTCGAGGATCTGGGGAGACTGGACGGTGCCAGCGGAAACAATGATCTCTTGCCGTGCGGATACCTCAAATTCCTGCCCGCCACACTCAAAAAGAACCCCTCTCGCAGCGATGCGTGTACCATCTGCGTCAAGGACAACTCGTTTGACATGTGCGCCGGTGAGAACGTGAAGGTTGGGTCGCTTGGGCTCCGAATCAAGATAGCTAGTCGCGTATGACCGCTTTGCAGTCCTTGGATCCACGCTGTTAATGTTTGTCCATACGCCGACGTTGGAGCCCGCGGTGTGAGCGACGTTGGTCGGGATGCCCACGGCATTTAGCGTGCGATGCCAGAGGCTGTGTGACGCGGAGTACTCGCTGTTGTAGGAAATTTGTATAGGTCCGCATGTACCAAGAGAAGTCGGATCGTGCCTAACATCAAATTTTGCCGCGAGACTCTCGCTCGGTGGGTGAAAGGTTTCCGATTTCTTGAAGAAAGGGCTGGCTGCCACAGTAAGCTTGGTGCCCTCTCCCAGTTGAAGCTCCATGAGGTGAGACTCACAGTAGGCTATCCCATCCCCAGCCTGGATTCCCAAGCTCCTCCCACGCATCGTAGTCCTGGCGACTTGCGCGCACCCAGGTCATGAAGTTGAGCGCGCTCGTGCCTCCCAGGGTCTTCCCTCGCGGCCAGGGGAGCGTCCTCCCGGCGAGGCCGTCCTGAGGCGCCGTCCGGTGGCACCAGTCATTCTCTCCTTGCAGCGAGCGGCCGTAGAACGCCGGAACTTGCACGTTGTCGTCGCCTTCGACGGACCGGCCGGCCTCGAGAACTCCGACCTGCAGGTGCGTGCGCTCAGCTAGGCGGGAGGCGACGGCAAGCCCAGCCGTTCCTCCGCCGATCACAATGTAGTCAAATCGGCGCTTGACGAAAGCATCGGAAGATGTCTGGTACTCGGAGCGCATATTATGAGATATTTTACTTTCGCAAGTAGAAAGCCGAAGTGAATGTGAGTGTGAGTGTGAGTGGTTTTGGTTGCTCGCCGTTTGTACAGCGGGGAAGCTTAGGTCGTTGCAAGGCTCTTGGTGGGAACTTGGCATGCTGCTAGAGCCACATGCTGGTGTTACTATACATGTGTAATGCGAATGGCAAAGATTCTAAGTAGATCAAAGTGAGTTAATACTACTCCATAATTGCGGTCACTAGGTGGAAGGTCTCGCAAATTCGAATTGCCGTATCCGTATGGCATTGGTCTATCAAGGACATTTTCTCCCGCAACCAGCGTGATGCGCTGTGGCTGAACGGCACTGGGAAATGGAATTAAAAAGGAATTAAAAAAAAAAAAAAAAAAAAAAAAAAAGGGAGCGTCGAATTTAAAGGCACTCTTACCCCATGTTCGTCTTGAATGCAACCCTACAGCGAAAGAAAGTGTCCGAGTCGTACACACCCCGGCAGCCCACCTCGTTTATACCATAGTTCTACTAACTTTTAGCTCAGGATACCACAACAAGGCTGTCAGGGAGTAGTATCCAAGGAGGAGACTACGAAAATCATTACCATTGATCATGTAGACTGAATTGTGAGAAAAATTGCAGCTCGTCGCTCAACTTGGAATCTACACAGTGTCTCACTCATCCATCCTCTTACACTACAGCGCTGAGTGCGACCAGCCTACTACCGCCCGGCATGTCCGACTTTCCCAAACACGACGAAGAGCATGCCTTGCAAAACTTGGCACCAGACGCCACCACCAGCAAGCCCCAGCATCGCAACCATCGCTCGCGCATCGCCTCCCGGCTCGCGCGATGCAGCGCGTGGGTGGAAGGCCTCGCCGGCTTCGAGGCGCGCGGCATCCGGCGCGTGGCGCCCGACGAGCGCCACGCCCCGTCGCTCTCCCACGATGTGCAGGTGTTCCTGCTCTGGCTCAGCGCCAACCTGTCGCTCAACAACCTGGGCGCCGGCCTGCTCGGGCCGATGCTGCTGGGGCTCGGCTTCCGCGACGCGGCCGCGTGCGCGGTGCTCGGCGCCTTCTTCGGTAGTCTTTCCACGGCGTACATGTGCACCTTTGGCCCGCAAAGCGGCAACCGTACCATGGTAATAAGCAAAGCGGGGAGAAATTTTGGGCTGGGGCTAACGCGGAGGATAGGTCGCGTTGCGTTTCCTCATGGGATATTGGCCGGCAAAGATTCCGTGCCTGCTCAACATCATCCTGATGATAGGGTACTGCACCATCGACGCCATCATAGCGGGCCAGGTGCTGTCCGCGGTCAGCGGCAACGGCATGAGCATCGCCGTCGGCGTCGTGGTCATAAGCGCCGTGTGCTGGATGATTGCCGCGTTTGGCATGTACCCTTTCCAAATCTACGAGCGGTAAGTCCACAAGACCAACCATTACAGCGATGGCTAGAAAACATCCGGCTCATACAAGCTCCTGTGCAGATACGCTTGGCTTCCCCAGGTTATCGTCCTGGCCGTTCTGATCGGCTGCGCGGGGCCGTACTTTGACGCTGCGGCGCCCAACACCGTTTCCGGCACGAAGCTGGCTGCCGCGCGTCTGACGTACTTCAGCCTGTGCTCGTACGTGCCCAACTCGTGGTCCGCCGCGGCGGCCGACTTTTACGTCTACTACCCTGAGCGGACACCACGGCGGCGGATTTTCCTCCTGACGCTGGCCGGCCTCTGGATCTCGTTCAGTCTCGTCTACATGGTCGCCATCGGGCTGGCCACCGGCACCGCGCACCGGCCGGCATGGGCGCAGGCCAACGACATCAGCACCGGCGCGCTGGTCGTCGCCGCCTTCGCGCCGCTCGGGGGCTTCGGCAGCGTGTGCTCCGTGGTCATGGCCCTCGGCGTGGTGGCCAACAGCGTGCCCGGGACGTACTCCAGCAGTCTCGGGTGCCAGACCCTCGGGCGCTACGGCAAGGCGGTGCCGCGATGGGTCTGGTCGTCCGTCTTGGTTTTGATACAGCTGGTTCTCGGACTGGCGGGTCGCCGGAGCCTGTTCGACATCTACTCCAACTTCGTGGCGCTGATGGGCTACTGGATCGAGTTCATGGTGTGCATCTGCCTGCAGGAGCAGCTCATCTTCCGCCGCGGCCGGGGCTGGGACTGGGCGCAGTGGGAGAACAAGGCGTACCTCCCTCAGGGATGGGCGGCGCTGGTCAGTTTCCTCGTCGGCTGGGTCGGGGCTGTCATCGGCATGTCGCAGGCGTGGTATGTTGGGCCGGTGTCGAAGTTGGCCGACGGCGCGGATTTGGGCATGTGGATTGGATTCGGCATGACTATGGTAACCTTCCCACCGTTACGATATCTCGAGCTAAAACATATTGGAAGATGAACGAGCTTTAGCAATTACAGCAGAAATTTCCAAGCTTCAAGAGGTGTTTTGTATTCGTAGTCTATGATGCAGAGACAACAAGGTGAGGAGATACAGAGTATACAGGGGACAGAGACGATGAAGAGGACGAAGAAGATAAAGTAGATGAAAATGGTTAAAAAGGACAAAGAAGATTAAAAAGATAAGCAGGATGAAATTAGTAACAGGGAGAGAGAAAATACAGAATATAAGTTATGCTGGCAATTCACCGATCCATCGATGTCGTTATATCAGTTCGTAGGCGTTTTTAGTCCTCAACGTGCACATTATGACTACACATGACAGATGGATATCATTATCAACCTGAAGAATAGCGATAGGGGTATATTTACTAATAATTGACAAATTTACTTCCACAAACAGGCCTTGGTGTAACTGTCGATTCGGAGCTTGGTAGCTGATTTAAAGACTGAAGAGTAGGTACACGGCGCGTATTCGTATTGCCGCCCATCAGGCTGCAGGCTGCAGGATGCCATCAGAGAAATTCCCCTATCCCCTCGTCTTCTACTCACCCAACAACTGCGTGCACAACTACTAACCTCGGTGCCATGGATCCAAAAGTCCGCAACCTCCCACACGCTTTGCCCGCAGGTTTTGTTGTGGACGGGCGAGACGATGAGACTGCATGCTTCCTTCACCCGTCGTATCCCTCGCCGCTGGACCTCCTCTTCACCTTGCCGTGCGTCGACCCAAGAAACGAGCGAGGCGCCCTCACGCTTCACCACAACACGGCGCTTCTGGCCTGCCAAATCGTCGCAGACAATGCATTCTCGGGGCGGCTCTTCTTCGATCGCGAAGGAACGAGTGCCGTAGAGGATAAAATACCCATCCATGGGCTCCTCCCTCCCGGCACGTACTTTTTCATGGTGAATTCCGACCGTACGTTCACAGAACCGCAAAGCTGCCATGTTGACAAGGCTGACTGTCAGCATGCTCGATAGCTACATATCGTTACCCGGTGGTCCCAACATTTCGTGATTGGCGCTTTCCCCATGGGCAGCTACCCGAAACATGGCCAAACTTCAAGAATCTAGGCTTCATCATCCCGCCGCCACGTTGCGCTGTTACAAACCATTATTTTGGCGTCACCACCGCCCATCTAGTGCCCAGGGAAGAAGAGGATTGGTTCATGCTAAATGGCATGGTCCGGTACTGTCTGGGCACACGCGATATAAACGATTTCGGGAATATAATTCGTCTACGGGCCGACATCCATCGTTGCTTCGATGACCGCATGTTCTCTATCGTACCAAAGCCCATGGCTGCCTCAAACGGGCCGGATTCTCCGAGCTCAGCCCGGGTAGAAACATATGTTTTACACGTCTTTAGCTCCAACGCAGAGGAATTTTCAGCCATGCATCATGATAAGCTCATCCGGTATCTGGGCACCACCTCCCGGGAATTGTTGTTTGCCCGCTTTGCTTGGACCGTCTTTGTCTTGGTGAAGCCTTTCGTGCTCGGGAGGATGGATCGCTCCGTGGCTATTGCTGCGCCTGGAGTGCAGTGGGTTAGGAAGGAATTGTCGGGTCTTGAGCTGTTGAGTCTCTATGGTGGTGACGGATCGCGGAGTGCTGGTCCTGGGAACAGCAGCAGGTGGCGTGATGAGCGACCTGACAGCCTGTCAGACCCTGATCGGTGGTATCGCAAAGCCGTTGAAGAAGACAGAGGACGGAAACGCACGCGTCGCGATGACCAACCTGGCATTCCTGGGTGATTCGGCGGAGTGTGCGAGTCAAGGGGTGAGATCGCGCCACAGCGTCGCATTAGCGCTGTAAGCAAGAGCTGGTGAAGCCATCGTGCCTATGTAAGCCTTCGTCCAGATTTTCCCGTCCAATCCCGGGCCAACGTTTCTCTTGGTGCCGACACACTTGGAGTTTGCGAAGCGAGATGTTCGTCTTGGCATTTGACCACAGAGGGACGGCGGATTTCTATTGAGTTTACCATGGCTACTGAGCGATACGTTGCATCGTGTGATAGCGCGCATGGTTGGGACCTGCGCCGCCGATCAACCTACACTGGCGGCGCATGCATGCAGTCTCGTCTGATGAAGACGCATCAATAATAGAGGGCCAAGAAACGTCGCAGTGGCCTCACGGTTTGTGGATAGTCGGGATATCAATTGGCTGGTTTTCTTTGCGGTAAAATTGTTTCTTGGGCGAGGCTGATGAAGAAAGGGCAGAACTTAATAGCTCCATAACTTAGTGTTTAGTAACGGATCAATGTACTCGACAGAGGTAACGCGGCTGTTCTTTCCGCGAATCAGATACTCTTCCCCACAGTCTATTCCTGCAATTTGCCATGGTAGCTCATCCAAACTCTACACCTACCAATCTACTGTTGACGTTGAATTAGGCGCATTCCTAATTTGGCTTCGCACCGAGGATGGAACGTTGAATTCCCCGCCAACTAGTCAACGGAGCTGCATACAACTACATCCCAGCGCCCGAGAGAATGCCCGAGAGGTTCCTCTTAGCCCAGGTCTGCAAATCTTCAAAGCCATCCGTGGGGCTTGGCGGCTCTCTCCGTCAGCCAGTTGATGCCGAAGCTTGACAAGAATTTGTCCCATTTTAGTAAGTCACCCAAGCGCTCATTGGTGGCCCTGAAAACGTGGGGGTCGTTTTGTTGCGCCATCAGCAAATAGTGAGTCTCGGCATTGGCGACTCGAAAGTGGTCTGGATGCCCCTGGCCGTCAGCATCGAGTCCCATTTGGGATGGGTCTTTCTGGGGGGGGGGGGTAGGTCGTGTAAGTCGGGCGTTGTAGACAGGGCGCCAGATATTACCTAGAGCTTAGCATGAAGCTTCCAAGATGAACTGGGAGTGTCATGTTGGAAGAAAGGCCGAGAAGAGGATGACTCCCGGAAGAATTATTTCCAAATTACAATGCAACGTAAATCTATATAAATCGTCAATAATCCCGTTCAGAACCTGTCGTTGTTCTTCAGCAGTCTTACAGCAAGCCCTGAGAAACTATCTACTCTCTTTCAACTCAATTCAACTAACTGTCTTTTACACCACGAAGCTCTGTGAGCCTCATCCACTTCTTTGTATATATCAATCCACCTAATCCTCCCGGTCCATTCATTCACCATGTACGCCAAACTCAGCGTCGCCATCACCGCCCTCGCCGCCGGCGTCTCCGCCGCGCCCTCCACCCTCGTCGCCCGCTACGGCGACTCCTATACCTTCTACACCGGCGACGGCTCCACCTCCCGCGGCTGGCCCGCCCAGTCCGCCTGGGGCTCCTTCGACCAGCTCTGGGCCTCCAACCTGCCGCTCATGCAGAAGTCGTGCGGCTGGAACGGCTGGGGCGCCGACAACTCCGGCGCCGAGATCGCCGCCCTCAAAAACGCCATCAACCAGGTCGCCGGCGAGACCGGCGTGGACAGGCGCTTCGTGCTCTCGGTGGTCATGCAGGAGAGCAAAGGGTGCGTGCGCGCGCCGGTCACGGACAACGGCGTGCGCAACCCGGGGCTGATGCAGTCGCACAACGGCGCGGGGTCGTGCGCGGGCAGGGACCCGTGCCCGGCGAGCGAGATCACGCTGATGATCCGCGACGGCACGGCGGGGACGGCGTCGGGGGATGGGCTGAAGCAGACGCTGGCGAAGGCGCAGAGCGCGACGGGGGATAGTGGAGGTCGCAAGTTCTACGCGGCGGCGAGGCTGTACAACAGCGGCTCGGCGGACTACGGAAACTTGAATGACGGCAAGGGCAGCACGCCGTGCTATGCCACGGATGTCGCCAATCGCCTGACCGGCTGGACTCTGGCTCCTTCCAAGTGCCGCGCCTAAGTGGCCAGCGTGAGCTGAGCGACTGATGGTTCATTTGTCCTCAATTTGGTATATATCGTTTACAAAACAGACAACAATGTGTTGGCTGCGCTTGTAAATAGCTGATTTGACACAATACAAGTGCTGATGAGAAAGAAATTACTTGCTCTCTCAAATGAAGGCTGAGATTGGAGGGTGGGCGAAATCAATGCTTACACTTGAACGTAGATGAATTGTTGGAATTTAATCGAGACCGCCGCGTATATCTAAAAGAGTAAATCAAGGACCGGCATCCACAACTGAGTCGCTGATCATAGATCGCCTCCTATATGTACTATCACAAAAACGCTTACATGATCCAGAAATCCCCGATCCTTCCTGGGCGGTTGCTGGAGCAAGTCGAATGCATTGGCTGTTTACCTCCAGTCATTGTTCCACCCGGCCTGCTCGACGACAAAGGCGAGCGCCAGCTCCGAGAAGCGCGCCATGTGCTATCACGTGTTAGTAACCTGCAGGTTGCTCAATGAAGAGTGATCGACCTACGTCTAGAGAGAACCTGCCGCTCTCGTCGTCGACATCCATGGTGTCGTGAATGCCGTGGATGTAGGGGTCAAACTCTCCGCTGATGGGGTCGCCTTCGGAGGCGAACGCGGCAGGGAAACCGACGTTGGTGAAGGACATGTAATCCGAGCCGGCGCCCCTGGAAAAGTCAGCAAAGCTTCGTCAGTCGGTGAATTGCACATACTCTTGCAATTTGTAGACAGCAGACTCGATCTCGCTGTACTCCTGGGCGAGGCCAAGAACCCAGTTGGTCAGAGGCTTGTCAGCAGAAGTCTCGATAATGCCAATGGACTCAGTGGCATTCTTGGCAACAAACGCCGTCATGTCCTAGACAAATTCAGCAAAATCACCGCATCACTTGATCCTTCTACACGTACAAATTCCAGCATGGCGCCGATGGTCACGCCAGATTCCTTCTTGTACTTGGCGATAGCCTGGCTGCCAAGAAGACCGCCCTCCTCGGCGGCGTACCAGTGGAACTCAACAGGCCCGTTGCGGGGGACGTAGCCGTTGTGGACGAGGACGCGGAAGGCCTCCAGGATGCTGACGGTGCCCGAGCAGTCGTCGTCGGCGCCGGGCGCGGGGAGCAGCGGGAAGAGGTAGTTCATGGAGTCCTGGTGGGCACCGAGGATGGTGACGGGCGCGGAAAAGTTGGCGACCTTGGGCTCGAAGCGGGCGATGATGGAGGGCTGCGGGAACGCATGGGGGAACACGTCAAGCGAGATGTGTGTGTGGAAAGGCGCCTCCTTGATGATCTGGCGAGCCGGTTAGTCACGGTAACTCGCAATTTGGAATGCAGGTGCGCTCGTACATCGGCGATGTGGTCACGGAGCCAGAGGGCGCTCTGCTCGCCGGTGACGCTTCCGAAATAGCGGGTGTAGAAGCTGGTCATGTGCTTCAGGACAAACTCCATGTTGTCCTTGGAGACCTGGGGAAACAGAGGCCTGACGAGTCTCTGCTGGGTAAGCTTGGGGAGGTCTGAAAGGGTCAGCGAAGTGCATATAAAAACCCCATGATAAAAACCCCAGGATTCATGAAAAAAAAATGAAAAAAAAAGAACAGGGGCTTTTCTTACGAGCTTTGCCAGACTGGGTGGACAGAGCATTCTGCTTGTAGAATTGCTCGTAGTCGGTGATGTCGGCGAACTTGCGGCCCTTGCGGCGGAGCCTCATCTTGTCGCCCTCAGTCATCCACCGCGGCTCCTTCTCGCCGGCGATGCGCAGCAGGCGCTTCTCGGCGAGCTTCTCGGCCTCCTCGGGGTGCAGTGCGACGTAGGCGTCGACGGGGTCCTTGTGTGCCTTGAGCGCGGCGAGGATGGCCGGGTCGACCTTGTGCAGCGAGTTGGCGTTGAGCGACAAGACGATCTGGCTGTCCTGGGCGGCAGCGCCGAAGCTGGCAAGGCCGAGCGACAGCAGAAGTAGCGCGCTTTTGCACGCCGAAGGGGGCATTGTGACGGGATGTCTGCTTAGGTGAATGAGTTGGTGATGTTGACGAAGAAAGGCAGTGAGAGTGAGTGTTTGCGAGCACCGAGCACGGATAGCGTCTGCTTATTAGGCGCTGAGACAGCGGACCGTTGGCCGGTCGCCATGGCGTCATCCAGCTTGGACAAGGCTGCTGCGGGTGGCGTACCCTGCACCAAGAGTCGCAGAATGAATTTGGCCCTCGCAATGTTCGCTCTTTGGAGTTTTCGCTTTCCATTTACTTTTAATAATTTTATCCATGTTTCCTTACTTGAACGCTTGCACAGCGACGATCAGGTAGCAGTATTCGTCAACAGTTGTGTTATTAATGGAGTTTAAGAGTGTGGGTATAGCGAGTCTATATGCGAGATTCACAAGATTCAAACAGAGCGGCGCATGTAATGTCACCTAATAAGTAATGGCCACCATCTTGTTCAGGTAAGCTGCGTCCATGTCCTGCACCAGGTTCCTCGCAATCCACTTGCCCGCATCCTCCCGCGAGATCGTGTAGCCAATCGCCTTGGACTCGTAGCCCGTCTTGGGATCCTCCACGCCCGCGCGCACCACCCTCTCCGACTCGCCGTTGGTCAGCAGGCTCGGCCGGACGATCGTGAACGCCTCGCCGCTCGCCAGCAGCTTCTCCTCCATCTTGACCTTGTCCGCGTGCGGGCCCTTGAGGCCCATGTACAACGGCACCATCAGCAGCGGGATGTCGCGGCCAAACTTGGACACGCCGGTGCTGCTGCAGGCGGTGATGTGCGGCGCGCCGGAGACGCCTTGCTTGCGCAGCGCGGCGAGCGCGGCGAGGATGGTGTCCATGCCGACCTCGCACACCTGCGGCTGGTCGATGCCCATCTTGGCGGCGGAGAACTTGCCGCCGATGGTGGTGATGATCTCGTCGACAAAGGTGCCGTTGGGGGCGACGAGGAGCTGACTGACGCTGTCCAGGTCGTGGGCGTTGCCCTGGATGATCTTCAGGTTGGGCGCTTGGAGGTCGTCTAGCTTCTTAGGCTCGCGGCAGAGGGCGACGCATTCGTGCCCGGCCTTGAGAGAGTGCTTGAGAGCGCCGAGGCCAACGCCGGTGGACGCGCCAAGGAAAGCAATGTTTCGGGAAGACATTTTGGGGGTTTGGTAGGGGCGTGGATACAAGTTGTAAGTTGGGTCTGGGGCTGTCGCTGTACTGTAGGGCTGAATTGGGATGAGTTGCTTGGCTGCGAAGATGTTGTAATGGGAATGATTTGGAGTGTTGGTTTTGATGATTAAAATCCATTCTTTCGAGGCCAGGTTCGTCAATATTTATAACTTTCTTTCTCGCTGGTATTTCGCCTCCTAGCTGCCGACAACTGACCGACCGGTACATCTCGATTTGCGGACACCACTTGCTAGCCTACTCAAGCGCAACTCTCTCGCGCAGTTCTCGCTCGGCCTTTTGCGTGTCTCTCTGCGTGGCTTAAGCCTCATGCCGGCCTGCTGAGAGCAGTCTAGCTCAGCCTTCTCTAGCTAAACCTGAAGCTGGTTGGCTGCCTAGGCTTCGTCGTCAGCACTGTGTCGGAGGGCGGGTCAGCTTTACCACGGCGTCCTTCATTTTCCTTTTGATGCTCTGTTCGCTTCAAGAACCATCTAGCACTGCAAGGCATATGGCTTTGGCGACGCGAAGCAGGAATACCCACCAACTTGCAGCGACCGCCGCCAGCCTTGCTCCATCAACTTAATAACGATGCCTCTTCCCGAGCCTGGAGAGAAGAATCCCGACGAGGCAGCAGGCCCCACACCCTCCGCGACCGTCTCGTCCGAGAGAGACGCGAGAGTTGGCCGAGCCGGCGCGGGAGGCGCAGGACCCAAGCCGCGCAGCTGCGTCACCTGTCGCTCCCGAAAAGTCCGCTGCGATAAGAAGACGCCATGCTCCAACTGTCGCCGAGCCCAGATCCAGTGCGTCCTCCCTTCGGATGACAAGCCTCCAAGATGGGCGAGGCGGCTGGATCGACTCACCCAAGCAGGCCCTGTCACAGCCGCACCCGCTGATGCTGGGTCCAACCAGGTGATGAGTCGGTTACAAAATTTGGAAAAATTGGTAAAAAGCCTAAGTGCCGAATTGCACCAAGCGCGAGCTACAGGGGTCGACAGCGCCCATACCACTGCGTCGTCACCGTCGACGCAGCCATGGCAGACCCAATCGCAGCCGGCCGAGTCACCAGCCTCTGCTGGCTCTGGCTCGCAATCACAGAAGAAACCTGGTCGCCTTATCCCCGGAAATTCTGGGCGGAACCAATATGTCGCAAGCGGTTTCTGGTCTCAAATCAGTGATGAGGTATGCTCTCCCGCCTCCGTCTGCGTGGATTAGTGTGGCTGATCAACTATGCAGCTCGATTCTCTCAAAATGGAGACAGAGCACCTGACAGGTGGCGATTCTGACTCTTCCGACGACGACATCTCGTCACCAGCGACTAATCCCTCTACTATGGAGATGGACCGAACCCCTGCACAACGTCACGCCTTTCTGTTTGGAAGCAACTTGCGCCCTCAAGCCAATACCCGGGACTGTTGCCCGCTCCCATCTCAAGTTCCGTTTCTTATTGACGTATTCGCCACAAATGTCAATATGATCGCGCAGGTTGCTCATGTCCCAACTGTCCGGAAGATGGTGCGGGATGTTCCTGGCGGCGACCTGTCGACCCTGAGCCCTGCCGACTCAGCACTCATGTTCGCGATTTACTATGCCGCCGTGACATCCATGGAAGAGACCGATGTAAGCCGAATGCGAAACGGCTCACCAGACACGTCTTTCTAAATTGTCTGATATAGGTTAGCCTGAATTTTGGGACGACAAAAGCGAAGCTGAACTTGAAGTTCCGCGTCGGCTTCGAGCAAGCGATGGCTATCGCCGACTTTCTCAACAACCCGACTCTTGTTCTGGTCCAGGCAATGACAATATTCCTGTTCCTTGCACGCCGACACGACAGCCCAAGATTCATCTGGATGATGGCAGGAATTGCGATTCGGATGGCTCAGGCTATTGGCCTTCACCGTGATGGCAGCCACTTTCCCAACTTGACACCGTATGAAGTTGAGATCCGTCGACGAGTCTGGTGGGCGCTCATCATGCTTGATGCTCGCGCATCGGGTGACCAAGGAACAGATCTCACCATTCTGCAAGATGGATTCGACACTCGAATGCCGCTCAACATCAACGACAGCGACATTAGTGTTGATACGAAAGTCATGCCGGAAGAGCGAGATGGCATTACAGACATGACGGTCACGCAAGTTTCTTGCGGCTTGGTAGACGTGGAGAGGAAAATGGTCGCGAAACAGAAAGAAAGCCCCGCATCACCGGATGCATCGAATGCAATATTCGAAGAATTATTCGCGAGACTGGATCACAGCTACTTGCGGTACTCTAATCCAAATGGTGACATCACGTACTGGGTGGGCGTGATTACTGCACGACTGGTTGCTGCCAAGATGACGCTTGTCCTGTATCTGCCAACAATCATCTCTGCGCCGCAAGAGCTCGAATCGAACCAGCAGAGGGACAAGCTTCTCGTTGCTGCCATTGAAGTGGCCGAATATAATCACGCGCTGAATTCGGAAGAAAGGTGCAAGCACTGGCGCTGGGTGTTCCAGACGTATACGCACACCTATGCCATCGTCTACATGCTTCTGTCCGCGACGCAAAGACCATGGTCTCCGCTGTTGGAGCGTGCGTGGCTCGCGTTGCAGAGCCAGTGGCTGATTCCCGCCCAGTACAAGGCTGACAAGGAGGTCAACATTTGGGTCCCCATCAGGAAGCTTACCGTCAAGGCTCGACGACACCGTGATGCAGAATTCGGGCGTCTACGCCAGGACCCGGCTGCGGTGCAGCGACTCGAAGAGGAGTACCAGCGCGTGACCCAGCCAGCCAGCCCTGGGCCATTTGCTGGTCAGGATAACGTCGAGTGCATTCGTTCGCGCTGGTTGGGCATCCTGTCGATGCACACGTATCCAGTTAGTACCAACGAACTGCCGGCTGCTCCTGGTGACAACTATAACAACCTGGGGCCTGGAAATGCAAACTCGTCTCCCTCTCAAGATGCACGCGCTGGAGGTCCAAGCGGCGTTTTCCAGAGCCATGTAACGGGAGACTCTTTGAGTGGCCTAGTGAGCACAGGATCATCTGCACAACCCATGAGTCTGGGATTTGAGCCTTGGGGATGGGATGGAACTGAGCCAGTATCTGGATTCTTTACCAATACGGGCGTCGATGATATGGATGCGCTTGAAATGGACCTAGATGTTGGCGTGGACTGGTCGAGCTTGCTAGCGACGGCGGAGCTGGACTAGCAGATGTATCAGCGTCACCTCGGACATGCTTTTTGTATTACTCTGAAAAAGGTCAATAATAGATGGACAAAAGTAAAGCACTGATTTCCCGGCGGAGATTTTAACCCAATAACTATTGCGCAGTGCACAAGGAGAATTCAGGACACGCCAAGTCAGCCTGGGCGCCTATCGGATAATAGTTGTTCCGGAGCGATCGCGTTGCTAAAAGTTGGCCACCCACGGCTGGCGTCGCCATCGCCTTCCTCAAACAATCTCGATTACCACCTTCCACGCGCTGAAAAAATGTCGTGGAGAAATCAAGGCATTACAGGATCGAACAACATCCCCCTCGGTAGCCGCCGGCGTTTCGGCGATGGCGACGGCGACGCGACACCCGACCGCGACCTGAAGCGTGGCCGCGACCCTGAACCTCGGGGTGCAGAACCGAGCGGCCCTCGCCAACGTAAAAAGCGCAACCGTTGGGGAGATGCGTCGGAGAATAAGGCCGCTGGTCTGATCAACCTCCCTACTGCGATCACGTCTGCCATGACTAGTGAACAGCTCGAAGCTTATACTCTTCATCTGCGTATCGAGGAAATCAGCCAGAAGCTACGAATCGACGATGTTGTCCCTGCCGACGGCGATAGGTATGTCGTTGAAGTCGGCTCTTCTGTGCGCGCATGCTAAAACTCCTCTTCTAGATCACCTTCGCCTCCGCCGCAGTACGATAACCAAGGTCGCCGTGTCAACACTCGCGAATACCGATACCGAAAGCGCCTCGAAGACGAACGCCACAAGCTCATCGAGAAGGCCATGAAGACAATCCCTAACTACCATCCACCACAGGACTATCGTAGACCTACCAAGACGCAGGAGAAGGTCTACGTGCCTGTTAACGACTATCCAGAGATTAACTTCAGTATGATTGCTAACCCTCCAACCCTAACCAAGACGATGCTCTGTCTCCTCCCTCCAACCCCTGCTTGAAGTTTGACCCCGCCCAGGCCATCGGTCCAGGCTTGGGACGTGTGCTCCTTCGTCGAAACGGGTTGACACTTGACATTGATACCTCTTGCGACTTGACCATGATACTAACACGTAGCTCTCCTCATCAAGTTGGCTTGCTTATTGGCCCTCGTGGCAACACTTTGAAGAAGATGGAGACTGAGTCTGGCGCCAAGATTGCCATTCGTGGCAAGGGTTCCGTCAAGGAAGGCAAGGGCCGCTCTGATGCTGCTCACTCTAGCAATCAGGAAGAGGATCTCCACTGCCTGGTCATGGCTGATAACGAGGAGAAGATCAACAAGGCCAAGCAGCTGATTCACAATGTCATCGAGACGGTACGTGCCCGTGTCCTTATCAAGACTATGGATTTGCAACTAACAAACTGCAGGCTGCCTCTACTCCAGAAAACCAGAATGAGCTCAAGCGCAACCAGCTTCGAGAGCTCGCTGCGCTGAACGGTACTCTGCGAGATGACGAAAACCAAGCCTGTCAGAACTGTGGTAAGATTGGCCATCGTAAATATGACTGCCCGGAGAAGCAAAACTACACGGCCAGCATCATTTGCAGAGTCTGTGGTAATGCAGGCCACATGGCCCGCGACTGCCCTGATAGACAGAGAGGTGCAAGTTGGCGCAACGACGGCGGCCGTCCTGCCGGTAGAGTCGGCGATGGTATGGACCGCGAGTATGAAGTAAGTTCACACCTTGAGCACTCTACAATATCCGCGAAGGTACTGACTAGGAACAGCAACTTATGCAAGAACTCGGCGGTGGTTCTGGCCTCCCTGCTCGTATCGAAGCTGGCCCTGGTGGCGGTGAGGACGGTGATGTCAAACCATGGCAGAGAGGATCGGGTGGCGGTGGAGGTGCTGCACCATGGCGAACCCGCCGCGACGATAGAGATGGCAGTAATGGCGCCTCGGGTGGCCCCGCGCCTTGGGCCCGTGATCGCAACCGTGGAAATGACAACCATGGCGACAGCTGGCACGACGGAGGTCGTGCCGGTCCAGCTGCGGCTGCTCCTTGGCAACAGCAGCAGCCCGCTGGTGGATACGGGCAGCCGGATGGCGGATACGGAGGCTACGGCGGATATGGCGGATATGGCGGCGGTGGCTACGGAGCTGCTCCCGGTATGGCTGCGCCTCCTGGGATACCGAACGGCGAGCATGGTCTCGACGCGCCGCCCGGCTTGGCCGGTCTTACCTCGTTGATTCAACAATACTCGGGCGGTGCTCCTCCCCCTCCGCCCCCTGGCGAAGGCCCGCCTCCGCCCCCCGGGCCACCGACTGATCAGCCGCCCCCTCCGCCTCCTCCTCCCGCGTGAAACAAAGGACCAAAAGAAATTACTGCAGCGTTGCAAAATTGAGATTGATAAGTTGGTGATCTTTGATGGCAGACTAACCATGGTTGTCGCAGCTTACGGGCAAAAAGAAATTTGAAACTTTTGGGCGAGGGCGTCGCGGAAGCCACTGACAAGAATGCTTGTATTGCTAACAGCAGGACGAACAGCAGCAATCCACGCGAAAAGCAAATTGTGTAATTCTAGTTTAGTAGAGTCGATTCGATAGTTTCCATTTACGCCATACAATAAAGGCGCGTTAGATGAACCTGCCAGCCAGCCATGTAGTGTTTCGCATTTGTTATTAACGAGCATTCACTGCAAAAGCTACCCCGCAGCGTTCTCAAGCTGTTGTGGGTTCGCTGGTGGAGTCCTGTTGCTGCTGGAATGACGGGCAGTTCAAACAAGCTCCGCACTCAGCCAAGACCGGCAATCCCGTTCGCATGTTTTGAGCGTCGCTTGCCTTCGACAACAGCACTCAGTACTGCCACGGGGAGCTGCACAATGTCTCTGGCGAATCACTAGAGATCCCACGTCGCCGAGTAACCTCCCTCCCACCCTTGCTCGACATCGAAGATATCAAGCGAAACCCCTCTTGGGAAACCCTGCCCTGCTGTGTAGCGCCATGGCCGGCTTCAACCCGTTCGCGTTTCGGCCCTGGCCTGTCTTCTTCTGGACCACGGCGACCTACCTCGCCATCCTCATCCCGCTCCTATACGTTCACGAGACGGTCCCCGCGATTCCCAAGGAGTCGGCGCTGCCCGCCGGCGTCGACTTGAAGTCCGCCTGGCTTCACCTGCAAGTCTTGACCGCGCACTTCCACCCCTACAACAGCCACGCCAACGATGAGGTCCGCGAGTTCCTCTTTTCATCCGCCAGGACCATCCTGGACCAAAGCCATATCCCATACACCGTGGAAAAGTCGGGCGGCCGTATCTGGAGCGCCGACTTCCAGGCCGTCGCGGATGAGCGCACCGCCACCACGACCACGGCGCCTGGCGTGACCCTGTTTGATGACAACATCTCCAACGCGACATTCATCACCGAAAACACAGTCAAGGGCCGCAACGCCGGCGCGCAATCCGGGCAGTACTTCGAGGGGACCAACTTTTATGCCTACATCCACGGCAAGGAGGACCCCGAAGGCGAATGGTGGAACTCCGAGGACGCCGCCGAGACCTTCCGAGGCAAGGGCGGCGTCCTTGTCAACTGCCACTATGACTCGTGAGTAGTGAACTACGACGCCGTTGACTTTGTGCTGAGAACCGGCTAATGCGAAAACAGTGTTGCGACGGGTTATGGCGCTACGGATGATGGCATGGCCTGCATCACGCTGCTCCAGCTGCTGAGCCATTACACGACCAAAGGCAATCAGCCGAAGCACGGCATCGTTCTGCTCTTCAACAACGCCGAAGAAGATGGCCTTCTCGGGGCCCTCGCCTTTGGGTACAGTCCGCTGCGACAGTTTTGCCACACATTCGTCAACCTCGAGGGCGCTGGAGCAGGCGGTCGCGCTATGCTGTTCCGTACCACTGACTTGGAAATCGCCAAGGCGTACGGGTCCAGCCCGCATCCCTTTGGATCTGTCATTGCCGCGGATGCCTTTGAAACAGGCGTTATCAAGAGCGGCACCGACTACCAGATTTTCGCCGACCATTACGGCCAGCGTGGCATGGACATCGCTTTCTATGAGCCCCGCTCGCGATACCACACGGAGGACGACGACGCTCGACATGCCTCGGTGAACAGCATATGGCATATGCTCTCCGCCGCTCTTTCGTCCACAAAGGCGCTCTCCGAGACCTCGGGCACGGTATTCCATGGCGACCGCCCGGATGGTCGACACGACCTTGTTCAGAATGGAAGCCCGACGCGTGGCGTTTGGTTCGACTTTTTCGGCAGTGCCTGGGCTACTCTTGCGCTTAGGGGCCTCTTTGCCTGGACCTTGACGCTTCTCATCGCCACGCCGTTCATTCTGTTCATCGTCACCGTCCTTCTTATCAAGCAAGACAAGTACTACTTCTTCGCCAGCAGCACCGAAGCAGACGCGGGGGTCGGCGACGGAGTTCGCGCTCTTAACGGCTGGCGTGGGCTGTTCCGCTACCCTCTTGCCCTGATCTTTGCATGTACTCTTACCTTTGGCTCTATCAGACTAGTTGGTAAAGTCAACCCGCTGATCATCTACAGCAGCAGCTATGCATTGTGAGTCTATCGTAAAAACGTCCGCAACAATTGCTAACACGTAGCAGCTGGGCCATGTCCATCTCGATCTTCTATTCCTCCTTCTGGCTCATCATGCGTGGGTCCAGCTATATGCGTCCGAGCGCACTGCACCGCGGCTACTCTCTCATGTGGCTCTTTGTGATTACTTGGGCCTTTCAGATTTTTGTTGCTGTCTGTGAGGACCGCTTCCAAATCGGTGCTTTTTACTTTGCCGCCTTTTTCCACACTGGCGTGTTCCTGGCGCTCCTCATCTCCCTACTTGAGCTCTTTGCCCTCCCGTCCAAGTCTGCCTTCGCCAGACAGGTGCAGGACGCGGAGCCACCAAGCAGCCACGTTGCTAACACCGACGAGGAGGGCGAGGAAGCCAACAGCGGAGAGGAGGAGGAGGAGGTCACAGAAACCACGCCGCTTAGGAACGAAGAAGGGGGCTATGGTGGGGCTGACACCGAGGACCAGACTACCTTTGCAACAACTTATAGAAGAAGATCTGCGCCAGCGCCAGGTGATGAGAGCGTCAGCAAGCCGACTCCTGCACCATCACCATACGCCAACGAGCAATCCTGGTCTAGTCGTCTGCCGAGTTGGGCTTGGTTCCTCCAGTTGCTCGTCCTCGCGCCAGTTCACTTGATCATTGTTGGCAACACGGCTCTTGTGCAGACCTCTTCCATGGGCCAGACGAGCGTTGATGGAAGTGATAAGCTCCTGCCCCTGTTGGCCGTTGGATCCCTGACCGTCATTCTGTTGCTGCCACTGACCCCGTTCATTCACCGTGTCAATCACCAGCTGCCGACTTTCCTGTTCTTGGCATTCATCGGCACGCTCATTTATAATCTTGTCGCCTTCCCGTTCTCCGGGAACTACCGGTTCAAGTACTTCTTCCAGCAAACTCTTGACATTGACCGCGACACAAACGAAGTGGCCATCTACGGCATCCCGGAGTACACTCGCGGGCTCATTGAGTCCATCCCTGGGGCCGGTACTGTAGATATAGAATGCACGACATCCGAATCTCGCGTTGGTGTCTGCGTCTATAACGCAGAGGCATCGCCCCCCGACCTGGCGCCCGGCTTTACGACCAAGGACTTGATGACGCTCTCCGCGTCAAAGTCTTCGGACGGCAAATCCGTGAACGTGCAGCTCGACGCCGTTGATACCAGGACTTGCACCATTAGCTTCTCGTCTCCCGTCGCCAGCTTCGCCGTGGACGGCGGCGTGCCGCTCGCGAAGCGGTCTCCGAGCGGCATTACTAACGTGCGCTTGTGGCGACGAAGGTGGCACGGCCCCTGGAACGTGACGCTGCAACTTGGTGGCGGCGGCCGCGGCACCGGCACCCATTTTGTGGAGGAAGAGGAAGAGGAAGAGGAGGAGGGCGTCGCGTCCGGTATGGAGGAACTCAAAGTCAGAGCGGACGAGGATTTCGAGGTGACGGCGAGCTGCAGCTGGAGCGACGCCAATGTGGCGACGACCATCCCGGCGTTTACGGAATACAAGCGGTACGCGCCACGATGGGCGGTGCTGTCCAAGTACGGCACCGGCCTGGTGGAGGTGAAGAAGAGGGTCAAGGTGTGAGGATTTGCAGCAGAGAGTGCGTCCCTGTATGACTGTGATTTCTGTCGTTGGCATCATGTGCCAGTCCCTAATAGTCCGATTCTTGTACTGTTAACTGTAGTTTCGCAATATCAGCATTTTTTAGATGGCATAAATTTCCAGTTTTATTTTTTTCGTCCATTATTGGTTTGTTATCGCCGTGTATTCGTGCATTTTGTGTAATCATTCCCGCAATTGCACTTGTTAGCGAAGATGGGATCCTTTCGTGCTTCACCGAGAGTTCGGCCCGGAACCACCGGCCCACCGGGCCGCTCACTTGAACGGCCGAAAAAAGATGTGCTTTCTCAAAATATCCAAAATTCAGATCAAACCCGGATTCTCCAGTGCAATATTGTTGAACGGACCCATGTAGTCCATCAACCGCAACGGCACGCCCTCCTTCCTCAGAATGCTATACGTCATGCCCAGGTAGAAGAACAGGTACGGCAGGACATGCGTCGAGACGAACCGGTGCACGCACACGCGCACCGTGCCGTACGTGCTCGTCTCCAGCGTCAGCGTCTCGCTCGCCCTACCGTTGACCACGCGCTCCTCCACCGCCTCCACGAGCGCCCTGGCGGCGGCCACGCGCGCCTGCAAGTCCCCCAGCGTGGCGGGCGGCGCGTCATCCGGCCACGCGGTCGACAGGTCCTGGTTGGTAGTGCGGGCGACGAGGTTGTGGACGATGTCGCAGACGTAATGGACCTGTGTGCTCAGCGGGCTCATGTCCTCGTAGAGCCGGGCGTCGGGGAGGTTGTGGTCGGCCGCGCTGGGGGTGTGGGCTTGGGCCTTGTCGAGGAGCGTGGTGAGGACGTCGAGGGCGGCTTTGGCGACGGGGTAGGAGGAGTCGTAGAGGTTGATGGGCGGGTTGGACATGATTGCGAAAGATGAACAGCGCGTGTGGTAAAGAGTATCTGATGGATGCTTTTTGGAAAGTTTGATGGCCTGGGTGTTGGTTTATATAGGTGGCGTCTCTGGCTTGGTTCATGGTGGCCGCCATGAATTACTTCGTGCCAACGAGTCACTCGTCACCACCCCAGTAAGCCAATGAGCGACAAATGCAGGTGCAGAGGTTAGCTTTTGGCCGAAAATGATGAGTTGTTGTTTTTCAAGGGGGATTTTAGAAGTTTTATGTGCGAGAGAGTGGTCTCATAGTGGCCAAGTGCGAGAAAAGCGCTTATATGGATGTGGGATGTTTTCCGACCCAAGTTTCCATTCGGTATCGAGGTGAGGCCAAACTATTATTTGGGTGAAAAAAAGGTAACAAAAAAAAATATCATATTCCAGTCCCGGTAGAGTCGTATCCTTCCCTTACCAATCCGTGCGCACCAATGAACTTCAGCCCGCTAGACGTTCGATGCCGGTAAATCGTTGACCGACCGAAACATCTTTATAAACGTGCTTCATAAAGTGTTCACAGTTGCATCCAGATCTAGTGTCCCCAAAATATTTCAAGTAACGGTTGACGAAGGCTATGAGATCGTTGGCCGAACACTCATCGGTCATCTTGCAGGCAGACAACCCTAGACGCTTTAGTTTATGCGACTACGCGGTTACCCAAGCGCGGGCGTGCTTGGGTTGGCTCTTCCAGGGGCCGACCGGCCAACCGCTGCCGGCGGGCATGTACTCGAACGAGAGGTAGAGGTAGGGTGGTGCCGTGTTGGAGGGATCTTGTTGATGGCACGAATCGTCTGGGACATACTCGAAGAGGAGAGTGTAGTGCTTCGAGCACTGATGTCCCATGCAGACCATCACAATTGCCGTGTGCCAACTGAGCTTGATTTATCCTATAATTTGTGATGTATCGCAGTGGATATGAGTCGTGTGGTGGCCGTGCTGCAAGTCGGCCTGTTGCACCAGAAACCCTTAAAACACCGACAATATCTGATGGACACAGGAAAAGCCGCCCTGCACAACATGTACAGCTATGACGTAGGAAATGCCTCACCAGTTGACATAACGACAACATGGCCTATGGTAGATTGGTCAGAGGGTCAGAGCAAGCTCCATCATCACAATCAATATTAGACGCACCACGTCATGCTTCAAAAGCGCCAAGTGTAGTACCATTTCATCTCTATCTGCTACTATTCTCTCGTCTATCAAACTTTGAGAGCCATCCTAGAAACGACGTCCTGCTCCCCCATCCTCAGAGGTTGACCTCCAGCTACTTGCCCAGTTTCTCGGGAGGGACCACGGGCCCCTTCCTTGGGTACAAGAACCGGAGTGCTCTTTCTCTCTCCTCGGGCGTGATGAGCTTTTGCATCCATAGCTTCATCAGGGTAGCATATACCCACGCCCTGCAGGCGAAAGTCGGTTCCTGGGATTCCAACAACTTGCAGCCGTTGATGGATGCGTCGGCGCCTTTCGCAACAGGAACGTCCATGAGTATTGCCTTAATGCGATGAATGCTCATGTCCGTGTTAAATACGCCCACTTGGTGTTCCGTGTCGGTTTTGTGCTCAGATTTGGACTGGTGAGGATTGTCATCCACCAGCACGGTGTACTTGTCGCGCTGGAAACCGGTGCAGGCTGCGAAAGAGTCCGTGGCAAGGCCCTCGTTGAAGAGCAAGCCGTAGTGCTGGTCGCAGTCAATATCCGGCCGGTTGCTTCGAGTTATCTTCAGAGTCCAGCGCTTCTCTTCCGTCGGCGTTGCCATGATGGATAGTGATGATGCCGTGATGGCGAAGTTGTTGTCGTTGTCGTTGTTGTCGTTATTCGGGCGACGTCCAGCATCTTCTTCTAGGAGCTGGAGCCCTTAAATACTTTTTCGGCCAGACATTATTAATCACAGAATTCCGCTGCGTCATTCTAGAACAACTGTTGGTTGCATTGCACAGTGCATCAAGAAGATGCTCAGGGCTGTGAAGGGAGCGTGCAGCCGCCGAGAGACTGCAATGGAAATAGATGAATGATGGTAGTGGATGGGTGAATCGGACCATAATCTCTGTCGCAGCGCTCGCAGCAGCGATTTTATTGTGCATCACAAGTCAAGGGCATGACTTGCTATTGTTAATTCTCCCACGAGAAGCTCGTACAGAGCGGGCCAGCAACCTGACAACCTTTTCAAGCTTGTAGTACACGTCGCAGCACTAAAAAAAGTCAGTGGCTAAATAAAGCACGAGATCTGCTGAAACAAAGGAAATAAGGATCGAGCTGTGCGATCTCGGGTAGAGATCGTCTGTCCACCCGGCGACACCTATACTGGGGCAAGGTGAATCTTCTTTCCTTACCTTTGGCACAGTGAGTTAGCACGTACAGTCTCAGTGATTTGTGTACTTAATTCCTTGATGATGTTGAGAATGTTTCAGACGACCATGATGATTGCCGTGTAGCGCCGGTGCTCCCTTCTGCCCGCCAAGCCACCCCATCGGATGTCACCTTGGGGAGCCGTCAATGGGCAAAAGCAGGTGTCAGCTTGCACGGTTTCGGTTTCAGTCATAGGAATCAACGAGAAGACAAGAATACTCTACATATCTATTATGATGTAAGCAGGCCAGTGCGCGAGACAAAACAGGCTGTTTGAGCAGAACCACTAAACACCCTCGCCAACAACGCCGACAATGCGGCCACTCTCGTCCAACTCTACATTCGTCTTTGCGATGCTCGCCTTGACCGGGTTCTTCGCCTCAAAAACATCTTTCAGCTGCTCCAGCGTCTTCCCGGCCGTCTCGACAAAGAAGAAGTATATGATGAGCATCTCCACGCAGATCCACCCTATATACACCAAGTACAGCTTCCACCCGAGCTGCTGCATGCCCACGCTGATGCCGTACGTGTTGACCACCATGGCTATGTTGAGGAACAAAAAGTTGAGCCCGGAGCCCTTGGCGCGCGTGCGGTTCTCCAGACACTCGACCGCGTACAGCGTCTGCAGCGGGGTGAAGCCCCAGGAGAAGAAGATGCCGAAGATGTAGATGGAGGCGATGACGCCGTAGGCGAGGCTGGCGTGGCGCTCGGCCTCGGCGGTGAAGGCGGTGAGCATGCAGTAGGAGGCGAGCGCGCCGACGAGTCCGGCGAGCATCATGGTGCGCCGGCCGAGACGGTCGAGCAGCGAGGCGCCGTACACGGCGCCGAGCATGCAGAAGATGGGGTTGATGGCGTTGAGGAGTAGCTGCTTGTTGGTGTCTGTGATGCCGGCCTGCACAATCATTTCCGGCTGTGACTGTCCGTCAGAAAGTTGTAATTCCGGCCCGGGATTGGAGAAACTCACCATAAAGTACGTGACGACGTTGTTGCCGCTCCACTGGCCGATAAAGGCCATGCCGACCACCATGCCCAGCCGGTACCGCGCCGCTCGCGTGTTCCACAGCTCGCGAAAGTCCCACCAGGGATTGTCGTCCTTGCCCAAGCGGTTCATCTCGACGATCTCGTTGTACTCGAGCGTCGGGATGGCCGAGTTGGCGTCGCCGTCGCCATGGTACTTGGCCAGGATGGCCAGCGCCTCCTCCGCGCGGTCGTTGGCGATGAGCCACCGCGGAGACTCCGGGAAGAACAGGATCAGCACCATGACCACGCCCGGGAGGCCCGCCTGGACGATCGTCGGGACCCTCCACGCCCACGACGACTGCAAATGTCTAGCCACCAGTCAGCCCTAGCTCACCGAGACGTTCTCTCTCGCCCACTTACTTGTTTGACGCGTAGCTCGTCCACCCGGCCAGGATGTTCCCCAGCCACCAAAAGTTGTTGTACATGCCGGCCATGAAGCCGCGGTATGCCGGGTGTGCCAGCTCGACCGTGTACGCCGGCCCCGCGGCGCTCGCGATGGCCGCGCCGAAGCCGAGCAGGAAGCGGCCGCCGACGAACTGGCCGAGCGAGTGGGCGGAGCCCTGGACGGCGGTGCCGGCGACGACGACGAGGCAGCCGACGAAGATGCACAGGCGGCGGCCGTAGCCGTCGGCGAGCAGGCCGCAGAAGGGGAAGGCGGCGATCTGGCCGAGGTTGTAGATGATGAAGATGATGCCGGTGGTGGAGCCGGCGCCGGCGAGGCCGAAGGACTCCTGGTAGGGCTTCATGGCGTTGATGCTTCCCATGAGGGAGCTGTCTGGGGGGGGTTGTTAGCCTCGCCGGGGCATCGATGGGATGTTGGCAGGGGAAGGGGAACATACCGAATCCATTCATGGTTGATACGAGGTACCCCACGCCCATGATGAGGTAGAGCTGTATCATGTTCTTGGATAGTAGCCGTGGTTTCTGGCTTGCCACGGCCGCTGCCAGGGCAACTGAGCCGGTGCCGATGGTCTTGACGTTGCCGGTCATCTTCTCATCCGCGATGCTCTCATCGTGGGCAATGTGTGCCTTTTGCTCATCGATTGCCATAATTATGTGACAACCAGTAATAAATACACCCGAGTCTCACAGCATGGGCGAGGTTGGCACGCGCCAGATGCCGGAGGGGGGCATCATCTCTATTATATGTGTGTGATTTTGTGAAGTCGCCGTCTCGGCTTGGACAATAAGTCGACACGGACTTGGTCTCCCCCAGATTCAGTCGCAAATAGTTGCAAGAGGAAAGTTGTCTAGTCTAAAGCCACCTCAGCCACCACAGGACTACTAGTCGGGGCTACGTAGGTGAGACTCCTGACAACCAACTGTGAAGGGATTGATGCGACAGGGGACGATTTTTTTTTTCTTTATTTATTCGGCTCGGCCGAGAATACGTTGCAAGTGTTAAATGTCTGGGGTATCGGGGCTTTTTTTCTTCAAGTACGGGGAATGTGGTTACATTGATACAGGTCGATGGACTCAGCCTTCAGACGCCGGTTCAGACGCCGGGGCCGAGGCTTTCATGCTCGGTAGCGAGAATGACAAAGTGACAAGTGACTTCTACAGTGAAATATGAGGCCTGTAAGATGACCGCAGCCAATTGCGACAACGTGACCCCCCCTGACCAGATGCTCGGTACGCATCCTTGCGTATTCATGCTGGCAAGAGGCTAGCTAGTTGCAGCCCTAGGCTTGTTTATTATTGCACGGATGTCGCTATTCCCCATTTTCAATTGCCGGTCTACCGGTATTAACTACTCCGTAAAATAATGACCTGACAGAATGGATGGAGCCCAACTGACAGCCAACAATGACTCGGTCGTAACACCTGGCGTCCCCAAGCCAAGACCCGTCGCAATTGCTACGGTGGCGGGATTCAGGCGGGATTTTCATATCCCTGATTGGCCTGGGTTGGTACGATGGCTTCCATCCAGCTCTCATCGTGTTGCAGGGATGCTGAAAGCGTCGCCTCGGAGATTCCCCGCAGACCAGACAGACCCCAGAGTTGTTTGAGGGCCTGCCACATTGCCCACATTTTAAACAAGAGTAAACAGAGCTGGCGCAGATGCAGGAGGCACTAATCTCCCCTGCGCATCTGCTGCATTGCGATCTCATTTGACCGGCATCGATACGACGCAGAGAGGCTTGGGGCAGCGCAACGAACTCATGCAGCTCGGGAGACGGCCACCGACACCACCTTGCATGGGCCGCCCTGGTCCGTCTGTTCCTGCAGTCCACCGGGCGCGATGAAACCCAAGTCGGCATGCGATACCTGCAGGTTAGTCTCTGGAGGCTGCCTCTAATGAAGCTCCGTCCGATGTATCCGTATTGTCTATCCGTTACTCACAGTAAGCAGGGACCGCCGCAGAAAGTGCATCCGCTCCCAGCAGGGCACCACCTGCGACTTCTGCGCCGAGAGGAACCTGCCCTGCAACCTGACCCGCGAGACCGTCTTCCAGGCGACCGGCTACGAGCCCATCGTCCCCTGGAGATCCCACGCCCTGACGCACAAGTGCAGGCTGCTCCCGCCGACCGAGCTGTGCCTCGAGGCGATCCACCTCTACTTCCGCTACGTCCACGTCTCCTTCCACGTCCTGTTCCACAAGCCGTCCTTCCTGCGGGCCTTCCGCGACGGCTCGCTGCCCAAGATCCTGCTCTTCGCCGTCATGGGCATGGCCGTCCGCCTCTCCAAGCACGAGAGCCAGGTCCACATACCGCCCAAGGAGCGCGGGAGGCCGTTCACCAAAGAGGCCGAGCGGCTGCTGGACCTGCACGACGTGTCCCTGACGACGATTCAGTCGTGTCTGCTGCTCGGCGCCTCGGCGGTGGTGGAGGGCGAGAGCGCGACCGAGTCGGTGTACTTTAGCATCGCCTGCCGGATGGCAGTGCTGCTGGACTTGCCTAATGTCAAGGTAACAACTCAAATCGAGCAGGAAGTCCACAGAAGAGGTAAACCTTGTGCCTGTGCACTCTTACAGTACTTTAGCTTTAGACTGTCAAGCTAATGGCAAGTAGTGTGGTGGAGTGTCTACGAGACCGACACATGGTCGTCCACCGCGGTAAGGCTGCCGAAGATGATGCCATTTCGCAATGTCCCGTTGCCCTTGGCCGAGGATGCCTTTCTCGCGCTTTCCTTCACCCAGCCCGCTGTACCCGGAACACCCACGCCGCAGCAGGGATCGCCGGGTCAGCCTCCACTACCAGTTCCATCCCCAGACTCCCTCATCGCACAGGCCATGAAGATCGGCCTCGCCCTTTCCAAAATCGACCAGATAAACTCCCTCGCGGCCTCGGGCACCGTCCACTACGTCGACCTGATCCCGCAAGTCGAGGCCACCTATCAGGAGCTGCACTCCTGGCAGCGCGGCCTCCCCGCCACCATGGCCAACACGGCCGACAACCTCGCGCACTGGACCGGCAAGGACCAGGGCCACATCTTCGTCTTCCTGCACATGAACTATCATCACCTCTGCCAGCTCCTGTTCTACCAGTTCATCCACCACAGCACCCACGACGAGGCCTGCCCCCCGCGCGCCGCCCAGTTCGCCGCGCTGTGCCGGGACTCGTCCTCGCAGTTGTGCGAGCTGATGCACCGCGCCGGCAAGTCCCCCGGCGCCGAGCTGCTCAACTCGCTTGTCGGTCACATCCTGGCCATCGCGTCCACGGTGCAGCTCCACGCGCTGCTGTTCGGCGAGGACGACACCGAGATGAGAAACGCGCGGCGGCTGCTAGAGCAGAATTTCGAGTTGCTGAAGCGGCTGGAGACGTACTGGCCGTGCATCGACATGTCTTTTGCCCGGTTCGAGGCGTTTCACAACGCATGCTTGCGCTTCCAGGACGGCTCGCAGTTCCGGATGGACAGGTGGATGCTGACGTTTCTGCTCGAGTTTGCGACGGCCATTTCCGAGAGCCGAACGGCCGAAGGCAGTAATAATAGCGGCGCTCCACAGTCATGGCGCAATATAATCAGCGGGCAGTAGTCTCATTTGTTGGTTCCCCATTGCATAGCTTGTTCGTCCTTGGTTGCACTGCCATGTTTCTCATGAATAAAGATTAGACACATGTTTCAAATCTCTACTGAACTCTATTGATGCTTAAACCCAACATATCTCTCGGTATTGAATCCCCGAGAACAAGCATTCGCCAAGATTGTAGACCGGCGTGGCGTCAACCCCAAGCTTTCACGCTCCCCACAACCCCGGGACGGGATGAGGCGGAGTGGAACAGCCGGCGGGATATGGGCGGGAAAAGACCGCGTATCATTGGTGCGGTAGATTCGCAGGGAGTTGTGCAGAGCGCGGGTCATCTTGATTGTGAATACCATTTCTGGGGTAATTCGGGGAAGGAAGGTCTTTTCCATTTAAAGAGCTACAATGTGTCAATACAGTCATCATTCACTCAAGTCTGTCATATTGTTGCGTTCTTGAGGGTCATTTATCTAGCTTCTTTCCGTTAAAATATACTTATCATCGATACAATGACAACTGAGAGCAGCACTGGTGGACACGATGAGACCGTCCAAGACGGCACGCCCGACTACGCCAACCAAGCAGTTTTTCGGCGCAACACGCTGCCGCCGCGCTCCTACTGGATCCCCGAAACCGCACTCTCCCTGAACGGCACCTGGAACTTTCACTACGCTGAAAGCCCGCTTCAAGCCCCGGAGATCCGCGACTGCAAGCCGGGAGACTGGCGCACGATCCCGGTGCCGGCGCACTGGCAGCTCGAAGGGTACGGCCGTCCGCAGTACACCAACATCGTGTATCCCTTCCCCGCGCAGCCGCCGCACGTACCCGACGAGAACCCCACGGGCACCTACGCGCGGTCGTTCTCGGTGCCGGCGGGGTGGGCGGCGGACGCGCAGCTCCGGCTGCGCTTCGACGGCGTGGACAGTGCGTACCACGTCTGGCTCAACGGGCAGTTTGTCGGGTACGCCCAGGGGAGCCGCAATGCATCCGAGTTTGACGTTTCGTCTGTCGCTCGCCGCGATGGCGTGAATGAGCTTCTGGTAAGGGTGTACCAGTGGTCGGACGGGTCGTACATCGAGGACCAGGACCAGTGGTGGCTGTCAGGTAAGCACGGCAAGGAGGAGGCATACTCTGATGTGAAGTAAATGCTAACAATTACAGGAATATTTCGCGACGTTCATCTGCTTGCGTTTTCGGCGTCTTGCAGAATCGAAGACTTTTTTATCCGCGGAGACCTAGACTCTGCATACCAACACGGCTTGTTGCGCGTCGAGGCAGGTGTACACTGCCCCCTCGGCGGCACCATCTCCGTCACACTTCGGGAGCGGGGAGGACAAGGCACGAAAATTGCTTGTCAAGAGGTGCAAGATATACTTCCACATGTTACAAACGCTCAATTCTCCATTCATGTCGAGGATCCGGCCAAGTGGACTGCCGAGACACCCCATCTGTACCACGTCGAGATCGTGCTGGCTTCGGGCACAGAGTCGACGACTGTGACCCATGATACCGGTTTCAGAAAGGTTGAGCTCAAGGACGGACTGATCAAAGTCAACGGAAAAGCTATCCGGTTCCGAGGCGTGAACCGCCACGATCACCACCCGCGATTTGGCCGCGCGGTGCCGATCGACTTCATCCGTCGAGACCTCCTCCTCATGAAGGAGCACAACATCAACGCACTGCGCTGCGCCCACTATCCCTCGCACCCTGCTCTGTATTCCATCGCCAACGAGATCGGCCTGTGGCTGATTGACGAGGCCGATCTGGAATGCCACGGGTTCGCCGAGGTCGTCGCCGACAACACCGCCGAGTGGGACGGCAGCGAGACCGCCTACCAGGAGCTCGTCACCACCATCTCCGGCGCCGCGCGCAAGTACCTGAGCGACAACGCCTCCTGGAAGGCCGCCTACCTCGACCGCATCACCCAGCTCGTCCACCGCGACAAGAACCACCCGAGCGTCATCATCTGGTCGCTGGGCAACGAGTCGTTTTGCGGCCAGAACCTGGTCGCCATGTACGACGAGTGCAGGCGGCTGGACCCCAGCCGCTTGATCCACTACGAAGGGGACACGGACATGGGCACGAGTGATATGCACTCGTACATGTACCCGGAGCTGGACGCCCTCGAGCGCAGGGCGCTGACTACGGGCGTGGCGGACGACGGGACGGCCGCGAAGCCCATCTTGCTCTGCGAGTACGCGCACGCCATGGGCAACGGCCCGGGGCTGCTGGAGGACTACGAGGACGTCTTTCGCAGACACCCGCGCGTCCAGGGCGGCTTCATCTGGGAGTGGGCGAACCACGGCCTGCAGACGAGCGACCAGGCCGGGCAGGGGTTCTACGCGTACGGGGGCGACTTTGGCGAGACGGTGCACGACGGGACGTTTGTCATGGACGGGCTGTGTAGCAGTGCGCACGAGCCGATGCCGGGACTGGAGGAGCTGAAGCATGCGTACTCGCCGGTGGCGTTTGAGCTTGTTGGTCGGAGCCTGAGGATTGAAAATAGGCATGACTTCGCGGACCTGGGCGGCTTCGTGCTTACAGTCGAGCTGCAGGAGCTCGGCGAGAGGTACGTTGCGACGTCTTGACAGGGCGCTCGGAAGACACATTCCGGAACTGATCTTTACTGACTTGGCGATTTGCCGCACCGTTAGTACCGCCAGAACCATCCTCACCAGCTCCAGCGCGCTGCCCCCCGCCTCTGCAGGTACCAAGACGAGCGTGGAACTCGACGATGCCATTTTCAACCAGACTTGCGACTCGGAGCTGCTTCTGACGGCAAGCTTGACGCTGTCCGCATCTACAAAAGGCCTGCCCGCCGGGCACGAAGTTGCCTTCTTCCAGCACCAAATCGCGCCCCCGGCACGTCTCACCCTCCGCCCGCAGCCCACCACCTCGTCCCCGCGCCCAGAGATTCGCCAGACGCGGGACACCCTGGCCATCACCACCGCCAAGTCCGTTCTGGAGTTCTCCCGCCTCCGCGGGCTGCTGCGCAGCTGGACGTCCACCTCCGGTGCGCAGCTGCTCGCCGAGCCAGGCCCGCACCGCGGCGCCCTCCTGCCTGGCTTCTGGCGCGCGCCGACGGACAACGACATCCGCGCGGCGCTGCCGCACTGGCGCGCGCTCGGCGTGGACCGGATGACGAGTCAGCTGCGCGGCATGAGCGTGGACGAAGCGGAGGGTTCCGGGGTGGTGACGCTGACGACGCGGACGTTCATCGGGCCGGCGTCGCTGGGCTGGGGATGGCACGCCACCACCGTGTACCAGATCCGGCCAGACGGCTCCGCCGTGTCGGTCTTCGTCTCCCTCAGCGCGCCGGTGGGGCCAGCAGTCCCGAAGAACCTCCCGCGGCTAGGCCTCGATCTCACCGTACCGCCGGGGCTGGACGCTGTCCGGTGGTGCGGGCGCGGCCCCGGAGAGTCGTACCCGGACAAGCGGCACGCGCAGCGCGTCGGCGTCTGGGCGGTGGAGAGCGTCGCGCAGCTGCAGACGACGTACGAGGTCCCGCAGGAGAACGGAAATCGCACGGATACTCGGTGGGTGGAGCTGGGCACGGCGGATAAGCAGACGACGCTCAGGGCGACGAGGATCGGGGACGCTTTCCCCCTCGGCCCGGGCGGGGAGGTTCCGGCACCGCGAGAGGATGACGCAAGGCGTGGGTTGTTTGACTTTACGGCCACGCGACATGCGGCCGAGACGCTGGAGAAGGCTACACATCCTCACAAGCTAGTACAGGAGGACGCGACGTTGCTACGTTTGGATGCAGCGGTCAGTGGCGTCGGGACGGCGGCGTGCGGGCCGGGACCACGGGGGAACCACCTGGTGGTGCCTGGAGAAGCCAGCTATGGATTTCTTCTGGAATCGGCTTGAGTACTCTGTATAGACGGAGGAATTGATAAACAAAATTTGAATATATTGACGGATTTTCTTTGTAATTCGCAGTTTCTGGCGATAGTCTTGGCGCGGGGCGAAACCACTTTAGGGTGCGACCTCACTCACCTAGGAAGCAGTGCACACAAGAGGCTGTAAATAAATGCACACGTCGATAAATCCCCAAATTTGAACTTGTCTCGGGTCGGGAGCTGATGTCGACGAGCCACAATATCACGATACACTTCAGCCGCCGGCAAGCAGCCGAAACATGTCTTGCTGTGAGCTCGGCCACGGAGCGCCCCCCTTTTCCCTCTAGCAACATCAGATAACCAACCGCACGCACCCGTTTGCACCCGCCATCTTCGTCCATGTCGCCATCGTAACCATCATGAAGGCCAGCCTGTCCCTCCCCTCGCCGTCGAGCGCCCGACGACGCGCCCTCATCTACTTCATCCCCGGCAACCCGGGCGTCGTCGAGTTCTACACCGACTTCCTGCGTTGCCTGCGCGCGCTGCTCGACAAGACGGAGAGCTCCACAGGGTACGACATCTACGGGCGCAACCTGCTCGGCTTCCGCGACGCCGACCACGCCCCGTTCGGTGCGCAGAACCCGCCGTACGACCTGGACGCGCAGGTCAACGGCGTCTGGGCCCACGTCGCCGCGCAGCGCGACGCGCAAGGTCAGCCGTACGACGCCGTCATCTTGGCCGGCCACTCCATCGGCGCCTACCTCGCCGTCGAGACCTTCCGCCGGCAGTCGCAGCACCCCAAACCCGGGCTGCGCCTGCGCCACGGCTTCCTGCTCTTCCCGACCATCAGCCACATCGCGCGCTCACCCAGCGGCCTACGCGTCACCGCGCTGCAGCGCAACCGCCTGCTCCCCGGCGTCGAGGCGAACCTGCACCGCATCGCCGCCGCGCTGCTGCTCCTCCTACCGCAGACCGCGCTGCGCTGGGTGTGGGCGCGGTACCTCGGCTTCAGCCCGGCGGCGGCGGCGACGCTCGCGGAGTGGCTAAAGAGCCGCGACGGCGTGTGGCAGGCCATCCACCTCGGGCGGTCGGAGCTGAGGCAGGTCCGCGAGGACACGTGGGAGGACGCGCTCTGGGACGCCGAGGCGGCGGAGGGTAGTGCCGGGGTGGCGCCGAGGTTCTTCTTCTTCTACGGCAAGCACGATCACTGGGTGGACAACGGGTTGCGCGACGAGTTCATCGCGAGGCACGAGGCGCGCGGGGATGCACAGGGGCGGCCGTCGATCGAGGTCGACACGGGCGATGTTGCGCATGCGTTTTGCACGAGAGAAGGTGAGTGCGGGCTTTTGGCAGTAAAGTGTTGGGAGGCGACATCGTACTAACTTGAGCAGATACGAGTCTCCAGGTCGCCGAGAAAGTCCACGGCTGGGTTCAAGCTATCGAGGAGCATCAAGAAACGTTGTAGCGAATATTTTTCTTGTTCTTTTTTTGATTCATTCACCAACTCCCGGCATCCAGGCTCTCAAGTCGGCGCCGTCGTGAGTTGGCGGCGAGGTGCTTGATAAGCCAGGCCAGGGATGCAATCATGTTCTAGCTGGGAAACGGCTTTCAATATGTCTTGGTCTTGAAATAAGCTTCTCTGAAATCGCGGCGCGGGTGACTGCCAGCGAACGTCACCCATAGCACATGTCAAGCGCCGCTACGGCAAGAGCCAGACATCACATATCCTTCCAGTCGCCATTGCCTTGTTGAAGAGATAGCGGCAATATAGAGCCATGGAATTTGGTCCATCTCCAATTTTCGTCCCAAGCCATCCATTCTATTGTTAATCCAACGACACTTTACTACCCCCGGAGGGCTTTCTCATCGCAATGGCCGATGCATTCTTATCATTATTACACTCGACACCAGCGGATCATTCTGACCGTGGGATCCTGTGGCCCTGGCTCCCACACGCTCACCGCCGGCTACCAGATGAGAACTTTCCTCCCCAAGTCTACAGAGACAAGATGCCCTTATTAAAACGAATTGCCGAACTATACGAGGAGCCTAGTAACGACCTCTTCCGGCGGGAATTCAATGGCTGGCAAAATGCTCTCTTCTATGCCATGCCGATTGTCTCGCTCTACTCTTTCTTCCCCATCCAAGACCGTGTCCATCGATACGGAGATCAAGCCAAGAGGCTCGGGCTGCTTTGTACGTCGCCACTCTTGGCTTCGCGGCACACCCTCCCCGACTGACCCCCCCTTGCCCTTTGCGCAGTTGTACATGGATCCAGCACGACTGATTCCCCGAGCGAAGCGGGAGGCACAACTCCCACCGCAGACAACAATCGTCCTCTCCGGCTCGCCCTCGCAGGGGTGCTCGAGCGAGATGCTAGAATATGTATCGTGATGAGCACGGCCGGGCCGACCGAGTACACGCGCATCGTGCCGCGCGCCGTGATCAACCTGGAGAAGCGGGCGTTGGATTCCATTCTTCGCCTCACAGGCCGCTTCGTCGACAAAAACTTTCGGTCGTACGTCCGGACCACCATTGAAATTCTGCAGTCGCTAGGCGATCGGCCGTGGAACTTCCTCACGCTGGGCAACGACATCTGCGAGCTCTTCCGCCGCGGCATGGTCGGCTTCAAGCCCTCACACGTGGCCGCCGAACGCGACAAGAACGGCCGGGTGACGACGTACCAGGCGGCCTTTTCCTTCCACTGGCTCGGGCGGAACTGTATTGAGGGAGATGACATGGCGACGCCGGACGACCACAGCTTCGACGAGATGCTGTCCCCGTGGGAGGGGTTCCCGGATGCTCGAGTGGACGGCCTTACTTGCAACATCAATGCGTGTCGAGCCCACGACGGCAGGCTCATATATCTCGCCTGCGACGGCAGGGACCAGGCCCAGATGATGCTGTCGATGCTGGCGCTTCGCTGGATCGCGGGTTCGGTTTGGTACTTGGCGGGCGCCTCGGGGCTGGCTCCCGGTGAAGTAACCGGGAGTGACGGTAGTAGCAGATACGACAGTGGCGGCAGTGGTTAGCAGAGTGGTGGAATGGAACACTCGCGCCAACCAAGGACATTTGGGATAGTGGGAAGATGTTGGATATCAGCGGTCACTATACATTGTCATTCTAGCATACAAACCAGGTATTACAGCGAATTTTACAAACAAAACGATGCTCTTTGCACACAAAAAACATGTATAATAAATTGTATCAAGCTCAACTCCTCATAGGAGCCGTGTCAGTATTTTGTCTTTTACTTGGCTCATGATGTGAGGTACCGGGTAGCTGGGTGACACCAAGACTGAATGCGTCCAAGATGACAGGACCTTCAGGCCATAGCTTTGCCTTGGGCAGTACGGGACAGATTGAGCAGATAATTGGCATGAGATAAAAGCATCTTTAAGATTAGGTCATTTGCCGCTCTCATGGTCTGCAGCGGCACGGTTAGTGACGGAGAGCTGCTACCAAGGTACAAGGAATGAACTGAGTGTATGACCGCAGGGCATCAATCTTTGAACTTTGTCTGTTGGACAGAATGACGAGGCAAATTATTTTGAGTTTTATCATGATTCACCCCGGTCATCTCCTCCCAATCCCCAATAATAGAGTGGACGTAAACAACCACAGGCTATAACTAACTTAAGGCCAGTGACATCCAACACTAACTAGCTTTTAGCAAGTCTACCAAAAAAGAGAACGATAAATCATACGACCGGACGTATCGAGGAGGAGTCCAATCAGCACCGAGGTACATGAAGCAGATGAAAATTTGAAACCATGAAATTTTACGCAGTCTATATGCCAAACAACTAGTTAACTAGTTGGCCGGCATACACAGGTGGGCGCCCAGTGTCTCGCAGCTGCACTCGGACGATTGCCTCGTTGGGCTGCCGGTGACGATCCGTAATTTCCTCCAGCCCACAGTGGCGCGGACGGCTTTCCCGTTCTCGCCATGTGGTGTGGGCGTTCTTCCCCCTTCCTCCTCTCCTTGTTCTGGCTCTCCCCGGACTACGAAAACAATGGGGGGAGGTTGGTTCATCTGACTCGGTTCTACCCCGGATTCTCATCGCCAAGGAATGTTGAACAGCGGGAGCAGAGCAGGGCAACCAGGTCGTACTCATCATGCCCACGAAAATTTTCCGACAGCGAAGAGGCAAGCCAGTGAGTGACTAGACTGTCTGCTTTTTTTTTTTTTCTTCTCCTTGGCCGTTCTTCCAGAACATCACCTTTCCTGAAGAAGAGCTGCGACGCCACTGGCGCCCAGGGCCTGCGCCATTCGTAGCTGCTGTCCGTCCGGTCTTGTTCTCTCTGCGAGAGCTAACTAACGAGGGTTGGGCTAACAAAGCTTGGTTTTTCGGACCAATTATACCTTGCCCGAGCCCGATCGAACCACAAAGGTATTGGGACACTAACATACAACGTAGCATAGTGGGCGAGCGAGCGATGGCCGAGTCCACTTGGTGCCTTTGTCTAAAATGCGCGCGGTTCGTGACTAGCAGCCACGTAACGCAGCAGGTATATTCCTAATTTCCGGCGCGCACGCCGAGGACGGGTTGTCCGGGTTGGCAGCGTCAAGTTGGCAGTTGGACCGACATGTTTTAAATTACTTGGGCTTTGGAGGTGTACGCGGTCTCTGAATACAATCACACAGCGCAACGAGAATCAAATTGTATAAACAGTAGAGTCAGACATTACTATTATCCAGACCTAAACTGGTTTATTAAGTTTCTGTAATTACACCCATTCTCTTACGAGGATGGTCTTGGCCCAATCCAAAAATGCCATTTTGAACGTTCCCACATAGCCACAGACATCCATCATCATGAAGTTCATAACATGGACAGCGGGATCCCCGACCACGAGCTCACAAGCACGCTTCCATCACAGAAGGGCTCGCTTACAGAGCAAGAGCGGCGAGGGCGATGGCGGCAACACCGACGGAGAGGCCGGCAGCACCGGCGACGGGGACGGTGGTGGAGGTGGGAGCGGTGCCGTTGCCGGGGTGAGTCTGCGAGGCCACGGTGGTGCTGTCGCAGGGGACGCTGGTCCAGGAGGTGGTCTTGGGAGCGGCGGTGGTGGTGGCCGGGGCGGACGAAGCCGGGGCGGAGGAGCTGGCGGGGGCCGAGCTGGCGGGAGCAGAGCTGGCGGGGGCCGAGCTGGAAGCGGGAGCAGAGCTGGAGGCGGGGGCAGAGCCCTGGGCCTTGCAGAGAGCCTGGACGGCGGGGAGGACCTTGCCTGGAGCGGTTTGTTAGGAAACGCTGGAGCCGGCACAGAGACAATCAACTCCTTGGGGATGACTTACTGACGGCAACGTCGGCACCGCAGGCGGCGATGACACAGCCGGTGGCGTCGCCCTGGAGCTGGGTCATGTGAGGGCAGATGCAGGCGTAGTCGGTGGTCGAGCAGGTGGTGTCCTTCTTGACGGCATCGTCGAGGCAGGTCTTGGCGCACGAGGGGATGTCGTCAGCGGACTGGGCGGCGGCCAGGGCGGCGAAGAGGGCGGCAACGACAGTGTACTTCATCTTGACGGTTGAAGGGTATGGATTGGACTTGTGTAAAAGTACAGATTAAGCGAATGTAAGTGTTTGGGATGGAGAAGGGGAAAGGGAGGGAATGGATGGAAGAGAAGGGGGGGGGGGCAGCTTTATATGCGGATGCGGAGGCTCATGAGAACGGAACATCCCAGCGAGTTATGCATGCCCCTGGTCGTTCTCTCCCCCAGGCAGGTACGGGAGCAGGAGCCATGTTGATTTCTTGCCTTCGTCGACATCGACTACCCCGGGATAGGACCGAGATTGGCAAGAGCAACTGACTGACTGAGAAGGGGGGGTGTGGGCACAATTGTCCGGGGTGGGCGTGGCGAAAGTTCCCACAGCCAACCGGTACGGAGCGCGCGACGAGCATCCCGCTCATCCTCTGGTCCGAGCTTGCCAAACCAGAAAAGCTTGTGAATGTTATTGGTAACTCGTCAGCAGTTGGGATCAACATGAGCGGGCGGGACCGTGCAGTGGCAAGTTGGACGCTATCTGCCGCCAACTCGGTGGCGGCGGCGCCTTTGAACGAATGGGCGGCGGCGAACGAATGGGCAGCGCCGCTCGAAAGAAACAACAAAAAAATAAAATAAAATAAAAAATAGGACGGCGCCGTCATCTGGTTCCCTCTCCCCACGAAGCCAAAACTTCAACTTCGGGTTAGACCCGGTCGATACGTCCAGAGCTGGGTTGGCACCGGGTTGTCGGACTCCACCGCGGTTGTTCGCCGAGTACCCGGTCAAGAGCAGCGCAGCGCGTGATGACGGCTGCTGGGGGGGACAAGGCCGCAGTGCTGCGGCGTTGCCTTGGCTAACAAGCCGCTCGCTTGAAAATAGTGAAACTTGCTGTTGCGAGCAGGAGTGCGAGGCATGCTGTTGACAAGTGCTGCATTGGACGCGGCTTGTCGTGTTAAGCTGGGTGCCCGGGTGTGCAACCACCGCGGCAGCGCCGTCGTATCATTCGTGACCGTTTGCAGCTCGATCGGAATTTGCTCAGCTAACCGCATACTTGTTGGTTCCGTGACATGTTTTCACCGACCAAGTTCACTGAGCCAAGTGTCGCTTCGCTTCCTCTGCAGGCCAAAGCCTGGCACAGAAAGGTACATGCCAGCGTCAATCCAGCAGGTCGAGGAAGGGAATGTTCAACAGGCACAGGCTTTGCTGCCCTGGAGAGGAGAGCTCTACCGAGTAGACAGCTGTCAGATGGCTTATACTTGCCAGTACGTATAGCGGCCTCACAGGGATAGGTAGACCCATTGTCCCGCCGTCCCACCGTTGACATGCGCGTATGACCTTTTATCACAAGTTCTTATTAATATCGACGGGAGCAAATAATTTGTTGGAATAAACAGATTGAACCCGAGAGCGCTAGTCGTAGGCGTACAGAACACCATGATTGGCTCTTGACGCGGTTGCGTCGTCGAATTACAAGGCCTGACCTCTTAATGAAGTCGGTTTTTTTTTTGGTTTGCGGGCTATCGATTGGATCAACCATCAACCTGCTACAGCCCGCTACCCCAGGTAATTTGCCGAGCTGAGACACCGGCTCCTTTTCCACCTCTGCCTCGAACTTCATCAGCAAGCGTGGCAGCCTGGTGTGCCTGGGTGGCACGGAAAGTACCTTTGGTCATGACCCGACGATCTTTGCCAACAACCCAGCCATTCGATCTACAAGTGCGCTCGATGACGGATAGTGCGGCGCGTTGCTGCAAGGCCGACGGCAAATTTTTTTTTCTTTCTTTCTTTCTTTCTGCTTCCCACCCTTTCCGAGGTTTCCATTGTCTCTGGCAGAAGCTGCCACACATTCCTGTATCCCTAATCGTGATCCAAGTTCAGGCGAGCATCCCCCGGCCAAGGGCATCAATGCGGGGGACACGAATATTAGAGTTTTCGCGCGTGTCACGTTGCTGTCTCTGATTCAATTCAACGATTCAATGCTTGTAAACGCGAAACATGTGAACGGACGGTCCTGTCGACGTCGATGCAGGCTGGCGGCCAACCAGGGGTGTTGTTTGAGCCTCCGCCTCCGCGCCACACGGGAACAGGGAACACGGCCGATGCAGATCTTGTTTGCTTTCTCCTGTTCTGTACTTTACACATCCCAGGCGCCCAGCAGCACAATGAGCAATAGCAGCCCGCCGCAGCCATTCACATGCCAACTGATACCAATCACTGCGAAAACGCAGCTCCTCCCAGCCTTCTTCGGCCGGTGGCTTGCCTGGGCGGGCCGGCCATGAAATAACGAGGAGGAGGAGGAGACTGTGGAAACAGAAACATCTCGGGCTCTCGCTCGCTACTCCGCTTTCCCTGTCAAAATCAGCCGCCCCCAGAATCGCTTATGTGATTGATCCGCTGGGGAATACCCAGTGCTGGTTATTATTAGGGGGGGCACGCGCCAGGACTGCTCAGGAGAACGAGACCCGGCTGTCAGAACCCCCCAGTACGTAATAATAACCCCCCCTGTTGCTTGAGTCGTGAACCTGCAAATACACAACCCATTCCCCGCCTCTCGATGGAGATTCGCTGTCTATATCGCCCTTCTTGTTATGAAGGAAGTCAGCCTGTCCCCCCTCGTACGGTTGTAGCAGGCCAAGTGCCTCTTCCGGCTGTCGATCGAAACCAACTTTTTTTTTTCATCTCGAGCTGAACTTTTACAACCTTGTTCTGGCTTGGCAAAAACATCTTCCTTTCAGCCTTGATTGGCAGTTAGCGTGGCCGCCACCAGCGTCCATCACTACCCAGATTCGTAGCCTCCTCCGTTCCTCGTCCGCGAATGGCGTCGCCCACTTTCCTCGGTGGCCTGACTGCGGTCCCCCCCTGGTCTTCATTTATTGGCAGGGGTGATGCAGGCATGTGAACCAATCCATCGTCGGCTCTCCTTCATTCCCTCTCTCACCAAAGTCCGTGGTCAGCAGTGCTGTTCGGCGTCGATACAACCCACATATAAACATATAAACCGTGCGCCCGCGTAAATCGACGTCGAACAGACACCCCTTTTTGGCGACGCACCTGAAAGCGCCAGTGAGGCTCTGCGAACGCGCAGCCAATCTAATGCGTTCTTTCAATAGTCCCAGCGTAGACGAAATCTAAGCAATTCATCCGCCAACCTCCGTCACCCCCGGAGTCGAACTCGCCTCCCAAGAGCCTCGTCTCTTTTTTTCCTTCTCCAAGATGGCCGACTTTGCAAGAACAACTAATAACTAGTCCATGGCGACGGGTCAGGCCGACGCAGGTACAAGTGCATCCCCCAGCCCATAATAATAATAAGCCTGAGCTACCTATTATAGCTCTGGCGTTGTCGCTCCTTCGGCCGCCTCTTTCCGTTACTTCTCACCATTAGCAGCTGGAGGAATTGCGTTCTGGAACCGGTAACCAATCTCGCCAGATCCGGTCTAATGTATCCGTACGCAGTAATAGCGCATCCATCGATGGTTAGGCTAGTAGCTGGTTATCAATTCGAAGAGCTCCAAATCCGCCACACAACCAGACTTGGGGCAACTTTGCGGGACGGCTGAACCGGCACTGCTAACAACGAAATCATCACCAACTTGCGCACCTCGGTGGGCGCTGGCGGGTCCCTGCTGCTGCTGGCCGCTTTCACTCGCCGTCCACTGAACCCCATCCGCCCATCAGCAAGGTAGCCTCCAGTAATATTTCCACGGCGCGGCTACTGCACCAGCGGAGATTACCTTGTCTCTCTCTTGGCTCAGGCAGCTATAGCTTGGTTATTGACAAGGGCCACTTCATTGACCACTTTTACGTGCACGCCCCCGTTTCCCATCGCGGAGCTGCGAGAAGACGGACCGAGGACAATGTGGTGGTGGCTCTCGGCGGTAGGACCGTAAATCATAATCACCCTCCTGGTGGTCAAGTTGTTGGAGACGGAGCTGGGAACGGCTCGCCGTTTCTTCCATCACGCAAATGACTGGCGGTTCAAATTGCCCATCCGAGGCAAAAACCATTGTTATCAAGCAGGCCTTGTCACGGTGCTGGCACGCTAAAGACTTGAGGTGGGAGCTTTCGCAACTGCCTGCGCGTTTCGAGAAAACTCAGAGATCCGCTGGCTTGGAGTCTTTCAGATACTCTCAGTGCCTCACTGAAGTATTGAAATGCAGAGAATTGCAAGGCCCTGTGGAGTTAAATTCGCACAAGGCACAACTGACGACAGAACACCATTGTGCCAGCCAACAAGGCGGGAGAGCGATTTGGCTGCCGTGTTCAACGACAGTTTGCCTCTTCAAATCCAGCACCGACACTTGATGCAACGGCAAAGGAACAGCGTCTACGAACCGATCGAATGGCACGATACATGACATCTATGGAACATGAACAACGTGGGAATCGTATCAATTCTTGATAAATTGGTATAACTATCTTGGCATAAATTCATGGCATTACTTTACAGACGAGGCTTGCTGGCGACCTTGACGTCGAAACGGTCCAGGTTCATGACCTTGTCCCAAGCAGCGACAAAGTCCTTGGCAAACTTCTGGGCATTGTCGGCCTGGGCATAGACCTCGCCAAGAGCGCGGAGCTCAGCGTGCGAACCGAAGATAAGATCGACACGGGTGGCAGTCCACTTCTGCTGCCCAGACTTGCGGTCACTACCCTTGTAAACACCAGACTCGGGCTGGATGGGCTCCCAGACAGTGTTCATGTCGAGGAGGTTGGTGAAGAAGTCATTGCTCAGAGTACCAGGGCGCGAGGTGAGGACACCGTTGGAGGAGCCGTCGTAGTTGACGTTGATGGTGCGGAGGCCGCCAATGAGCACGGCAAGCTCGGGAGGAGTGAGAGTGAGCAGCTGAGCGCGGTCCACGACCCAGTGCTCCAGGCGGTCGATGGCAGCGCGACCGGCGTAGTTGCGGAAACCGTCGGCAATGGGCTCGAGGTAGTTGTTGGACTCAACGTCAGTCTGCTCCGCAGTGGCGTCCATGCGACCAGGAGTGAAGGGGACGGTGATGTCGACACCAGCGCCCTTGGCCGCCTGCTCGACACCAGCAGCACCACCAAGAACGATAAGATCGGCAATCGAGACACGCTTGCCGCCGCTCTGGGAGTCGTTGAACTTCTTCTGGATACCCTCGAGCTGCTTGAGAACCTCGGCGAGCTGACCGGGGTTGTTGACCTCCCAGTCCTTCATGGGGGCGAGACGGATGCGGGAACCGTTGGCACCACCACGCTTGTCGCTACCACGGAAAGTAGAGGCAGAAGCCCAAGCAGTGGAGACGAGCTTGGAGGTGCTGAGGCCAGTGTCGAGAATAGCCTTCTTGAGAGCAGCAACATCGTTGTTGTCGACAACAGGGTGGTTCAGAGCAGGGATAGGGTCCTGCCAGAGGAGATCCTCAGAGGGAATCTCGGGTCCGATGTAGAGAGCCTTAGGACCCAGATCGCGATGCAGCAGCTTGAACCAAGCGCGGGCAAACGCATCCGCGAACTGATCGGGGTTCTCGAGGAAGCGGCGAGAGATCTTCTCGTAAGCGGGATCCATGCGGAGCGACAGATCAGTTGTCAGCATCTTGGGGAGGTGCTTCTTGCTGGGGTCGAAAGCATCAGGGATGAAAGGCTCCGCGTTCTTGGCAACCCACTGGGGAGCGCCAGCAGGGCTCTTGGTGAGCTCCCACTCGAACTTGAAGAGGTACTCGAAGAACTGGTTGCTCCACTTTGTAGGGGTCTTGGTCCAGGTAACCTCAAGGCCAGAGGTGATGGCATCAGGGCCCTTGCCAGAGTTGTGGGCGTTCTTCCATCCAAAGCCTTGAGCCTCGATGCCGGCGCCAGCCGGCTCGGCACCGACGTTGCTGTCGGGAGCAGCACCGTGGGTCTTGCCAAAGGTGTGGCCACCAGCAATGAGAGCGACAGTCTCCTCGTCGTTCATGGCCATGCGGCCAAAGGTGGTGCGGATGTCGTGAGCAGCAACGACGGGGTCCTCAACACCAGGGTTGACGTAGATGAGACCTGGGTTGCTGTTAGTGTGCTGCAAAGCTTGACGTATTGCGGTACATGAAGGAGACTTACCCATGATCTGAGCACCAAGAGGCTTCTCAAGGCTCTCGGGGTCACGCTTGCCACTAGAGTCCTTGCCGTAGCGGTGGCTGTCGGTCATCCACTCAGGCTCGGAGCCCCAGTAGACGGCCTCGTCAGACTCCCAGGTGTCGGCACGGCCACCGGCGAAGCCAAAGGTCTTGAAGCCCATGGACTCAAGAGCCACGTTACCGGCGAGAACAAGCAGATCAGCCCAGCTGATCTTGTTGCCATACTTCTGCTTGATGGGCCAGAGGAGACGACGGGCCTTGTCAAGGTTACCGTTGTCGGGCCAGCTAAAGGTACCGTTAGTGAAACGTAGCTGATAAAGTACAGTTGAGTAATTGGTGTCTTACCTGTTGAGGGGAGCAAAACGCTGCTGGCCCTCGCCACCGCCACCACGGCCATCAAAGACGCGGTAAGTGCCGGCGGCGTGCCAGCTCATGCGAATGAACAGACCGCCATAGTGACCGAAATCGGCCGGCCACCAGTCCTGGGAGTCAGTCATGAGAGCATGGAGATCTTTCTTGAGGCCATTGTAGTCGAGGGACTTAAACGCAGCGGCGTAGTCGAAGTCGGGGCCGTACGGGTTGCTGGAGGGGTTGTGCTGGCGGAGGATGTTGAGCTTGACGGCATTGGGCCACCTGGGTAGAGGATGTGTTAGCAGCCAAGTTGGCAAACGAGATGAAGCCATTGCGCCACGGAAGGCCAAAACTCCAATGTGGAAGCTTTCATGCAAGAAAATCTGGCTTGCCAAACGGCGGTGATGCTGGACACGATGGGGCTTACCAATCGGGGTTCTTCCTGCCAGTGTCGGCAGTGTGCACGACAGGGCACTTGCCAGTGCTTTCTTGGGTCATTTTCTTGCGAGGACTTTGATCGTCTGTAGAAATATCTCTCTTGTGGGAGATAGCAACCTTGAAATCGGAGGACATGGGAGGAGGAGGAAGAGGGGAATGATGGGATGGGATGGGTGGCTATTTGGGAAGAAATACTAGTCAAGAGCAAGGAGGGGGGGCGAGGAGGAGGAAGCTTGGAGGAGCTTGGCCGTGTGATGGAGCGGGGCAACACGGCACTCGGAGCAGCACGCCGGTCTTGTCAAGTTCGCTCGCCTTTTTTTAGAGGCTTTTGGGCGTCCCAAGCAGTGAAAATGGCATATAAGGTTCGAGTTACAGGGACCTCCCCCGCTAAAATGCCCTGTACCATCTCGGAAAGGCCATGACGAATGCCCCGCCTCTGATTCGTTGGCGGGGCTGCTTCACTGCAAATTGCTGCCACCTTGTTGGCTGGCTGGTCTCGTCGCCCACCAAACAGAAAAGTGGCACCACACGCAAACGCCCTCCCGACTCCAGCAACCAAGCGTTGTTTCCCACATCACCACTTTTCACGGTATCGCCTAGTACGGCCCGCGGGCACCGTGAATACCTCCCAGAGTTATCCATCTCCTTCCATCTTGGATTAGAAATACTGGCTTTGCTCTCGGTCTCTCCGCCGGTCTTCCGCATCCGTTGTCGGCCGATGCTCGGCCATCCTCTCCCACGTCGCCGTGATGCTGCCGCTCTGTTCACCACATCACCGCGCCGCACCAAAGCGTCGATATGCAGTCAACCTACATATGCACTGCGTTTCCCCTCCCCCTCCTTTTTGTGGCTGCAACGCATTGAAGGAACCACGCCAGAATAGTACCCCCGAAGCCATGACTTGTCGGTCCCTGGAAATGGCCGCCACCTCCATCGAGCCTCCCACCGTTCTTCTGCCAGCCCCGATATCATCGTCGCCACCCATCACTCGGTTTTAGGTCGGACGCGGCCGTTTCGCCTGTCGTCATCGGTGTGCACCGCTCCGTGGAGCCGATGGACATTTTATGGATTCGGTGGCGGACAGGAGGATTGTTGGGTCTGGCCTGTTCAAAGCTCGAAATACATGATCGACCCACTCATGCCACGCCTCCAGCCTGGGGTGCTAGCTAACTACTAGGTAGTTCTTCGATTCTACGCGAAGCTTTGACTCCCGTGATAGACATGGTCGGTCTGGCCATGCACAATGCCGGGTCGTTGAGTTGTCCCGTCCGGCCGCCTTCCCCAGCAAATCATCGGCCAACCAATTACTCTCATGCTGCACGGTCAGCAGAATCGCTTTCTATCATATATACCGCATTGCCCTGGCCCGACTCTTTCTCGCCCCGTAACACGGTTTGGTGCTGATCTTAGACAGCTGGCACACCACTGCGACACAGGACACACAGCCGCAGAACTACCCCTCTTTCCAGTAGTGGCACGACCAGACTCGATTATTGCGCCAGCTTACGCGGAGCGCATACCGTTGCGGGCGAGTATTCCAATTCAATTGCACTACAAAAGTGGCCGACCATCTTCCGTGGCACCTAGCAATGGTTTCCCATACTCATCACAGGTACCCCTTACTGCCTTTCAAATCAACAGCGGGACCCAAGATCCAGGGTTGCTACCTCAACAACTGCGGGGTAATCGAGCGCGCGTTAGCCACAAGTTGCGAACAGAACGGCGAGCCAGACCCGTCAACCAGGCAAGAATCTTGACCGTGGCAAAGGGATACAACTTGCCAGGCAGGAAATTGTTCTTGCAATTATCTCATTTTCCCAACAATACAGCCCCAGCAGACACATTGTTATTCCGCTGATGTACCTCTGCTCTTCGGGCCATCCCCGGCACCGTTGCTCTTAATCGTTCTCGGAACCGGAATCATGGGTTCCGTATCTTGTTGCTTTGCAACTCGGCTCCGACGTTTCTGTTCGACTCCAAACTTGGCCACGGAATGTTCCGACTTGCTGCCAGTAATCAGTGGTGCTTTGTTGAGCCATAAGCTGCCGAGAGCAGGATCCGAGTCTCGAACGAATCAGCCTTTAACAGTCGCCATTCCGCAAGCTGCCAATATTCCTGGATGGTATCACAAAAGTGGCTCCAGAATTGTGCGAGAAACCCGGATATCACTATCTATCGTAATATGGCCGAAGGAGCGCCTCCTTGTTGAAACATTACTAGACCAGCGGCTACTGAACAGCTCTCCATAAGCACCACTCGCCTTTAATTGTTCGCGCATTTGTTAGGTGGGATAGGGCTATTCATTTGTTCTTTACGCCGTGAACCGTCCGCAGTCTCGCTTTCTTTCAAAATTGTCAAGGCTGCAGCCTCAGACTGCAGTTTTGTCCCATGTGATGAGTTGAGCAAGTCTTGGTCATTGTGAAGTTACCGGCAAACAACGGCAGCCACGCAGTTTCCCGTGCTTAACTCTGTGCTTTCTGCGCGATCTAGAGTCATGTTGTTGTTCAATCCGTCTGGTTCAATAGCACAGGGCTGGCACCTGTTCGTTGTCTACGCGACTTTGTTGGTGGAAGTGCCTCAGGCAACGGCGCAAATCTCACGTCCCTTGAGCTACCACAAGATTTCGATCGACCGGGAGATCAACCTGGGGTAACGCTACTGCAGGGGGGCTCGCTGCGGGTAGCTTGATATCGCAATTGTCTTTTTCACGGGACCCGCGGATAGAGTGCGCTGTGGAATTCGGCCCAGCGAAACCCCTACAGCAAGCCCTTGACTGCGCGCACTTGCGGTCACCCGCGGCCGATTCCCGCGTCAGAGTTGTATTCGAATCTTCTACAAGCAATATCATTAACCCCCAGGCGTTCTATATTACAGTTCCAAGAAGCGGTTCGCGGGGTATACATATCGAGATGTTGACCAAGGAGCATTGGTTTAGAAGCTATTACGTGTATCAGCACACGTTACCCGATCTGTTCATCAAATATTCCATCCCAAGGCCCTCTCTTCTTTTGCCACCCTGAATTCAACTTGGCAAAATTGTAGGAATAGGCTGACGACCCAAATCTGTCCATCACATGGCTTCTCCATAGAAACAAGCTCCCTGACCCTGGCACTCGGCTAAGCATGGTGAGGTAGCGGACAGGCAGCCTCGCGACGCCCTCTTCTCGCACGAGAGTGTTCGGCCCCGGGCTCCCGTGCTTCCACGCGAACTTGGGCCGACCTGGTGCATCAAAGTGTATGATCTACTTCGCGAAAATGACAGGCCTTGATGCCGCTGCTCGCGCTGATGATGTGCTGCAGGACAGTATCCCAACCCCCTCCGAGCATCTGCATGTACTCGAAGTGCACCCGCGCTGGGCGGGTGCTTTGCAAAAAGGCGAGCAGCTGAGCATCGCTAACTGAGAGCCCTCGCAGACAGCAGTCCCGTAGAGGCTTAGTCAAAGTCGCCGGTGCCTCGTCAGGATGCATATCATGGGGCCTCGTTTCTCGGTTCAGCGAGAACCAATGCAGGTCGAGGGTTTCCAGTTCCGGGGCCATCACTATCAAGGTGCGCACGACATCTTGCAGGATGTTCGCAGGGTATGCAACGGCCCGCCCATTGTCATCTAGCACTTCCGTCTCTTCCTCGACGAAGCCATCTCCGTCGTACATGGGAGCCTTCATCGGCGGTGATAGACTCACTTTGAGCTCCTTGACGCCTTGGAACGAAGCCATTGACGCTGGGAACTGAACCGGGATGTCGACGAACTTTTGAAGGTACAGACTACAGCCCTGAGGTGCCATGAAGAGATCCAGCTGTTCGAGGACGCCGAGGCCGGAGTCACCCAGCGCATGCAAGGTCACCGCGAGCGCCTGCTGCGCGAGATCCCAGACATACGGCCAGTGCCTAAAATCCTGAGTCGGAAACCCCGATGACTTGCATCCCTCTGATCCGGACACTTCTTCGTCTGACGGTGAAATGTCCTCCTCAGGCCTCAGGGCGACCGTGAGGGCCAATGACCGCAGAGCTCCGATCTGGGAGCCCGCCTTCAGATTCTCAAAGGCTTTTGCAAGCAGAGCACGGTGCTGTGACGTCTCGTCGAGCTCGTCGGGCGAGCTCACCGCTGCACCAACGATTGTGAGGTTCTCTAGAGAGCAAGCCGGCTGACCTACAGCCGTGAGGCGCACGAACAATTGGAGCGAACGCGTGTCGAGCCAGAGCCAGCGCTTCGTCCTGAAGCATTCCGGGTAGTTAGTGCGCAGGATACGGGCATTGGCGGCGCGACTGGCGAGACGCAGAGCACCAACGTCGGCGATTTCGAGGTTGTAGAGGATGCATTGCATGAGCTCGACGCTCAATGCGTCAAGAGAGGGGGTCATGTTGATGGTGTGGGCAAATCCTGGAGTTGTTCTGTCCTTTGCGTCGGCTGCCCTTTAACCACGATCGCGCCACGGCTGCCTCGTATTCATCACGATCTCCGTGAGGAGACACACGCATCGCGCAAGGGATGCTGCACAAGTATGTGAGCTTCTGCCTGGCGTGAAATTGCCCAACATCCAGAAGAGAGATGTGAGGGGAGAAAAAATTGGTGCAGGCCCCAGCCTTGGGCGTTGGCTGCCTAAAATAATCCCTACCCTGGAGATTCTATCATATCACAAACAGCAGTCAATACCTCCGCGCAGCGTGCACCAGAGTTATTCCAAGAGAAAATGGCCTGCCCCTCCAGATGTTACGAAAATAGGTCCAGGTTTTTAGTTGCCGCGCGCAGCTATCCGTACATGGTCCCTGAATGTCCAGAAACTATTCCTGTCCGCACGCACCACCATCCACGTAATACCCGCCCCTACGCCAAAGGTTAGTTCAGGATGGCGTGCTCCAACGACCGACTTTGGAATGGAAATTAAAGTCCTACTGGTGGAATTACGCCCAGAAAACGTTAAGCGCAGCCGCTAACGGCGCATTGGCCGAATACAGAGCCGCCGCAAAGCGAAAAGGGGATGATTATTTGTAAGCCAACGGCCATCCGTAGGAAAATGTCTTCCAGGAAACATCAGATCAGAGACTTTTTGCATTATTAAGCCCTTAGCTGAAACTCATCACGATGGGCCTCAATTTTTGCATATATATAAGTGTAGACGCATCGGGTGCGTAGTGAGGTCAACTCGCCGTTTGCCTTTTGGACCAACACACCTTCGCGATGCCTAATTCACGCCTCTGGGAACCTCTCAAGGTCGGTAATCTGACGCTGCAGCACCGCGCCGTCATGGCGCCGCTGACGCGCTACCGCAACGGTGACGACCACGCGCCGCTCGACATCATGACGCAGTACTACAGCGACCGGGCCTGCGTCCCCGGCACCCTCATCATCACCGAGGCCACCGGTGTGTCCGGCGCGGCCGAGGCGCGGCCGTGGCTGCCCAGCGTCGCCAGCTCGGCGCAGGTCTCCGGCTGGGCGCAGATCTACGCCGCCGTCCACGCGCGCGGCAGCTTCGTGTTCCAGCAGCTGTGGGACCTTGGCCGCGGCGCTGACCCGGCGTACGTCCAGGGCCGCGGGTTCAAGTACGCGTCAAGCGGGGACGTGCAGCTCGCGGGGCGCGCCGAGGCGCCGGCGCCGCTGACCGAGGACGAGATTTGGCAAAAGGTGGACGAATTCCGCCGGGCGGCGCGCAACGTGGTCGACGCCGGCGGTGACGGCGTTGAGATCCACGGCGCGCACGGCTACCTTGTCGACCAGTTCACGCGCGACAGCGTCAACAACCGCACCGACGCTTGGGGCGGCTCCGTCGAGAAGCGCAGCCGCTTCCTGCTCGAGGTCGTCGAGGCCGTCGTGCGGGAGATTGGCGCCGAGCGCACCGCGCTCCGCCTGAGCCCTTTCGCGCTGCACCAGGAGTCGTACTCCTCCGACACGTGGGAGCAGACGGGGCACATCGTGCGCGCCCTCAAGGAGCGCGGCCACCGGCTCGCGTACCTGTCCCTGGTCGAGCCGCGTGGCGATCCATCGCAACTGGACGTGGCGGTGCCGGACCCGTCCCGGCCGCAGCCGTTCACGAAGCGGCCACAGTCGCTCGACTTCATCTTGGACGCGTGGGCCGACTTCTCGCCAGTCTTCGTGGCTGGCAACTACAAGCTGGACACGGCGGCGAAGACGCTCGATGGGCCGTACAGGGGCTGGAAGGTGGCGATTGCGTTTGGGCGGCCGTACATTTCGAACCCGGACCTGGTGTTTCGACTGAAGCACAACGTGCCCTTTGCGCCGTATAACAGGGACACGTTTTACAACGAAAAGGACCCGATGGGATACAATGATTATCCCTTCTGTCCAGAGGCAATCACTGCTGGATTAGCGAAGGCATAGATAAAACAATAATGTGATGGAATGATATTCACCTCGATTCAACGAGAAAGCGGGCTCTCCACCAGGTTTGCGGTTGCCCATTGAGCGCGCAGTTGCTTGGCTTCTTCGTCGAGCATAATTCCCGTCTGGGAAGTGACAGTCCGTAGGCATTCCAGCACGGCATGTTGCTGTGCGAAATGCGTCATGTTTCTCGCGACGTACATCAGAGACGCAATCACGATCGGATCCCACTGCTCAGCATAGTCGTTTGACGTGGCGACGCCCGCAATGGCCCTCGCATGCCAGTTGGGCGACGTCAAATGCTGGCGACGACCAGGAATTCCGGCAAGACGAGGCTTGTTTTGGAGCAAAAGAAGCGCAGTGATGTGGTAGAAGACGGCCGTCTGTACGGCCATTGCGCTCGAATAGAGGTGTATCGGAAAAGACGCTGCATTCGCGGGGTCGATATGGCCCATCTCGATGCTGCCAACGTCAACCAGGGACTTTATCTCGACGGGCCGCGTGTCGTACCACGTTTGAATGCGCAGCCAGAGAGTGTGCCAGTCGGTAGGAGCGCCAGAAATCGAAATTTGTTCAGGGGTACGCGGACTCTGGGCAGCCGCTGGAGAACCGGCGCTGACGTGGAAGACGAAGTGAAGACATGCTGTGAGATGGTGGAGAGCCCAGTTGTAAGCCGTGAATGTTGCAGTCTTTTTTTGAGACTTGTCATAGTGTTGCAGTAAGTAGAAATCTGGGCTTGTCGCAGGTGGTGCTAAGGTAAGTATAGACGCTGCTAGGTCTGCGCGACCGGTTAGATAATACTTGGAAAATGGAAGCGACAAGCGGCATACCGATGCGAGATTGTTGACAAACAAGAGTTTGCAACGGCTCCTTGATATGACTAGGAGCGCTGTGCGGCAATCGGAACTGTTTCCAGGCAAGAGGGCCAGCGCAAAGCGTCTCCGTGAGGCTGATGAGAGTATCTGCGACGAGCCTCAAGTCTGGGGCCAGTTCTGGCAGTCCTACCCGGGCGTCATGCAAAGGAGCGCTTTTTGAGTGACGCAGAAGATGAGAAGCCGCGAGCTCTATGATGAGGGTTTGAATAAGCTCATGCCTCTGGCCCATTTGCAGCGCGGCGACGGCGAAGCGGCTGTCAGGATCACCAGCCTCGAGCCACGGTGCGGTGCGGTACCGGAACTGGCGCAGCAAGGCAATATCTCTTTGCGAGAATTCGGTGAGGTCAGTATCAAAGTACGCCTCCCAGCTCGACGGCGGTGCTTGATGGCGTGCCGTAGTTCTTGGCGGGGGCTGTTGCCAACTGACGCCAGAGCGAGGAGGCTGCAGAGTTGAGGCTACCCCACGATCTTCCGAGCCGGCTACTGGCTCGATCGTAGGGGACTTTTCATTGATAAACTGGCAGAAGAATGGAGTCAGCGAGTGCTGTAAAATTTTGAGCAAGGAAGAGGCCCATGCCTTGATTTCGGCGTATGTGCCAGATGGGCGATCCGCTGCGTTTGCGTACTTGCAGCTTACCCGCCTTGACTCGCAGTTGCTGCACTGCGGTTTCTTTTCGTCACCTGTAGAGGTACTTGTTAGCGATTAAGGAATCTGAAGATATTGGTGATGGGATAGAGATAAACATTTTCGACGACGCTGACGACACGCGACGCAGCCCGTCTTGACCCTTCGCTTCTCGAGCGGCGTGTTACGCGTCACGGGCATGGTGGGCGACCCCTGGACGCTTGAGTAATATGGCAAAACTCAAGCTACATCGCCTGGGTATTGTGAGAAGAAAAGACGGGCTACTGGCCAGGCATAGTGGCCCGTGATGGAAAGACTGTTCTTGAGGTTTGGTGTAGGAGGAGGCTTTACGATGTCGCGGAACTCCACTAAATAAGCCACAGTACAGCGCGCTGGTGCAGCTGGAGTTGAATGGGTGTTTGTGGAAACTCTGAATAATGACATGTATATACGAGGCTGTTAAATTCGGGAATAATCCCAGAAATCCATGCTAAAAACAAGACTTGCTACATTTTCGGTGTCTTAATTGGTAATTAGACGTGCTCAACCACAGCAACGGACCCAGACTTGTCGTGAACCATGCCTTGGCTCTCAAACAGCGCCGTAAGACCAACTTCCTGCTGCGCCTCGAGCAACAGCTGCGCGTCCCTCGCGCCAGTGTGGCTTTTAAAGACGCGATCCATCTCCTCCAAGCTCGCGTTCTTGGTCTCTGGCAGGCAGAGCCAAACCCATACGGTGCCGGCGGCCAGGAAAACGGCGAAGAAGATGTACGTGCCCCAGGCCCAGGCCTCGAGCATGGGCGGGACGAAGAAGGCAATGGCAAAGTTGTTGAGCCAGTTGCTGAAGGCGCCGATGGAGGTTCCCTTGGCGCGGATGGAAAGGGGGAAGATCTCGGACACGAGCGTCCAGGACACCGGACCCCAGGTCGCGCCGAACCCGGCAATGTATACCCAAATGAGCGCTGGAAGGAGAGTTAGTTTGGTGAAAGGTTGGTGAGACGAAAGACGGTCAAGGTGAGACATACCGACAGCGGTCCAGCCTGCTGCAGCGTGGGTGGCCCAGTCGTGTCTAAACTTGGCCACGATGATGCCAACGGCGACCATGGCAATTCCCATGACTACCGACCCGACAATTAACATGGGCTTTCGGCCCACTCTATCAATGATGAACTGAGCCCAACTGTTAGAAACAGACTTACGCCATAAATGATAGTATCGAAAAAAAAAAAAAAGGAAAAGAAAACTCACCATTGCGGGGATCGTGCTAGCCATGAACACCACGCCGGTGACGCCAGTCGCCAGCAACGCATTTGTCCCAGACGTCAACCCGAGGCTTTGGAAGATGCTTGTACAGTAGTATACTATTGCGTCAATTCCAGTCCATTGCTGCCAGAACATTGTGAGGAATCCCGTTGAAATTCTCATAAAGTTATCACGGGTTCGAAAGCAGTTGATGTACTGGGCAATCTGCTCCTTGAAGCCGTTTTGACCGGCTGCCTCGGCCAGTGACGGAAAGTCTCTGGCAAACGCCTTTCTCTCAAAGACAGATTCGGCCTTGATTTCCAAGAATTCCGCCTCGACCAATTTGTCATCCAGGGGCAGCTTCCTCATCCAGGCCAGCGTCGCCCTGGCTTCCTCGTCGCGTCCCACCTTGACCAGCCAGCGCGGAGAGTACGGCATGAACCAGATGCCGACGGCCAGGGCGGCCGCCGGCAGTCCCTGGATGATGGACGGCAGCCGCCAGGCCATGTCGGACTGGGAGTCGCCGGTGCCGCCGATGTAATTGCTACCGTAGCCGATCCAGAAGGAGAGCATGATGCCGAGGATGGTGGCGAACTGGTAGAAGGAGACGAGGAAGCCGCGCATCTCGGGGAGGGAGAGCTCGGCGTTGTACAGCGGCGCGACGCCGCTGAAGATGCCGACGCCGACACCGGTGAAGAAGCGGCCGGCGTAGAGGAGGGAGGGCGCGCCAGCCCGGGCGCCGATGTAAAGGTAGCTGCCCAGAATGACCCAAAGGCAAGCGACGAACATGGTGCGCTTTCGCGAGATGAGCTCGCTGAGGATGCCGGCGGACAGGGAGCCCAGGATGCCGCCGAGCTGGAGGATGGACGTCAACCAGCCTGTGGCCGAGGAGGAGTGGACGACGGAGGGGAAGTTGGAGGTGAAGCGCGTCATGACGAGGGACTGACCCAAGACACCTTGCTGATAGCCATATTCGAAGCCACCAAGACTTGTAGACAGGTAAGCGACAAGGTTGGAGTGGAAGTGCCTGGACAGGAGACTTACGACGCGAACAGCGCGATGAAGACGACTTTGGGGTTTGAGCAAATGGACTGCCATAGCGTCTTCTTGCCCGCGAGGGCCCTCTGAGCCGACTCCATGATGAGTTCTATAAACAATTGGTCTATTATGGAGTTGTGAGGTAAAGTCGGAGTAGTGTCCGGGTAACGGTTCATTCATCAACGGCCAAGGCATCGGTCTATATATACATGCGAAACAAGGCAAACTCAACCCCCGGATTCCTCCACACCACCCCCGAGTTTATTGTTCCCCAGAATAGCCCCAGCTGGAACCTGAAGCGCGCATGACTGGAAGAAAAAAAAAAAACGAGCTACAGATATTCGGGGTGAGTGAGCCCAGACTGGCCGAGATTAAGCGCCGCTAGACCGGATTCGGGGGCCGTAGGCTATGACCCCTCTTTTTGGAAGGGAATTGGCTTTTTGCCCCAGGCCATCGTCTTCATCCTGACTCGACAGATGAATTCATTCATGAGATGGTGTCCACCCAGCCATGAACTGTGGCGCCTTTCAGGATTTATATTGAACAGGGATATAAACAGTCTACATCAATGCCGATGACGCTCGAGCGACGGATGCCGATCTTCGACAATGGATGAACCAGACCTAGGGCCGAGCCCGGCGCAGGAGATTTCCTTCCTGTCGCCCGAGTCCTTCTCCACGCTCGACGAATATTCCAAAAATCCGCGGTTCATCGAGCTGCAGGAAGAACTGCGTGGCGTGTTATTTGCGCGTGCCTCCGGTGAGAACGCCAGCTTCGATGTCGCGGCCGACCAGCAGGACGGCGACGACGCCGAAGCAGAGAGCGAGCATCCGCCACCGCCACCTCCGCAGCATGGCTTCGACTTTACCCGCGTCAGCATACCCAAGTTGACGCTCATCCAGTACCTCAAGAACTGGATCATCGAGTGCGCACCGTACCTCGACAAGTTCGACCACGCGCGGCACTTTGCTGTGCACGTGCCCATCATGGCCGCCGGCTCGCCCGCGCTCTTCTACGCCGTCCTCGCCTTCTCCGCGCGCCAGGCGGAGCGCCGCAAGACCGGCCTGGGCTCCTCCGCGAAGAACTGCGACAGCCTCGAGCTCTACCAGGAGTCCATCCGGCTGCTGCTTCTCGAGCGGCCGGGCAGCTCCTCCTCGGCCACGGTGCTGGTGACGGCGTGCGTGCTGGCCGTCATGGAGCTCATGTCGGGCAGCCCCCGCAACTGGCGGCGCCACATCGAGGGCTGCGCCGCGCTGTTCGACCTCTTCCAGGTCAACGGCTTCTCCGGCGGCGTGCTGCAGGCTGTTTTCTGGTGCTACGCGCGCATGGAGGTCTGCGGCGCCATCATCTCCGCCGGCGCCGAGAGCACCGTGCTGGCGCTGCAGAGCTGGGCCCCGCCGATCCCGGGACGTGTCGTTGCCGGCGGCGCTGAGGGGGGCGCGGATGCGTTTGTGCGCGATGCGTTTTATCGGAGCAGCTTGGAGAGCAGCGACATGCACGCCAACTGGGCCGTGTACCTCTGCGCGAAAGCGTGCGACCTGCTGTACCGGCACACGCGGGCCACGGAGCTGCGGGAACCTGATCGTCAGGACAGGAGGCCGTTTGCGGTTCAATGGAGGGCTCTGTGGGGGCATCTACAATTTTGGCTCAAGTCGAGACCAGATGTTTCGCTGCCGACCTTGGTGTCGGAAGACAACGGCCAGACCTTTCCAACCATCCTCTTCGCGCACTATCCTGCCATATCCTCGAACCAGGTATACCATGCTACGTGTCTCATCATGCTCGACATGCGCCCGCGGCACGAGCCGGTGCCTTTGCCGGAGGGCTCGGCCGTGTGGCACGCGCGCCGCGTGTGCGGCATCTCACTGACCAACCCGCACCGCGCCAGCCTGATAAACGCCATCCAGCCTCTATACCTGGCCGGCAAGTTGCTCACGCATACCGCGGAGCACGTGGCCGTGGGCAAGCTGTTCAAAATCATCGAGGAGACGACAGGGTGGGGAGCGCTCTGGAGGCTGCGCGATCTAGAAATTGTCTGGGGATACATGCCTGGCGAGATCCTGGCCGCGATGGGCTGAAGATCTCTTGACGTACTAATGAGAAACGAATTTATCTAAACCTACATGACCAAAGAAACGGCAGTACGTGCTCACAGGGACCAAGGGCGTGCGACGGGATCTCGGTAGCCAACCCCCAGGACGAGAGAGTCTGCCCAACCTGCGTGACGGCGAGTAATGATTCAAGTATCACCTCTGCCCTACAATAAAATTACATCTAAAACAAGGGCAAGCGCGATACCTTAGAAGAATAACTCCTCGCTGGAACTTATGTACATAAGTTGTAAGCGTCAGATTTGAGCTACTGGTGCAAACCGCTGTGTGAGGCGATGGTTCGCACTTAGCCAGCGCTTTCTGGTAACAGTGTCTCAATGATGAATTGATTGTCAAATTTCCTGCAAGGGAGTTCCCTCAAAATGGCAAGACTACTTCGCAAGATCCAAAAGACGCAAGCCAAGGATGTGCCATCTTCGGAGACCTCGGCGGCTCCCCCGTTCAGCTTCCTGAGCCGCCAGCCCGCTAGCCAAGTCACATTGGAGGTCACTAGGCGGCTCGGAATTGATGAATGCGAAATCGAGGATATATATCCATGTACACCGTTCCAAGAGGACTTCATCTCTCAGACAATACGAAAACCTACCGAGTGTCTAGCACGAAGACATATGCTTTGTCACGAGCCTGCGGGGTAGACCAGTTCAAGGCGGCATGGGAGCGAGTCTTCCAGGCACATCCCATTTTGAGGACGCGTATCATACAAACAGACATTGGACTCGTTCAAGTGGTGCTGCGTGTTCATGCGCAGGTTGCAAAGGGGGGCAACTTGACGGCATACCTGGCTCATGACCATGCAAGCGTCATCGCATTGGACGAGTCACTTCTGCGCCTAGCTCTCATATGCGAAAGGGACGAAGAACAGACACACAGCACAATTCATGAGTGCTACATGGTGATGACTATCCATCATATAATTTGTGATCGCTGGTCAGAAACATTGATACTGGATCAGCTCGAAGCTGCATATAACGGGGCATCGCTGCCAATAAGCCAGTTTGCGACTCTGGTCAGGTGCATCCAGGACAGCAAGGAACTTGCCGAAGCTTTTTGGCGGACGGAAATATCCAAACTCGACGGCACTGCCGCGGTCTTACCTCCAGCCCCCTCGCCAGGCTACCGCCCAGCACCTGATGCAGTGGCAAGCTGCATCCTTGACTTCGCGAGCGAACACAGGTCCCCGAGGTTCACTTCATATTCGCGGTTGCAAGTCGCGTGGGCGTAGTGGTGCATCATTTCACATCTTCGGAAGCCGTCGCGTTTGGGGTCCATGGTGATGGAAGAGGCTCGGCGATTCCAGGCATCGCGGCTGTAACTGGGCCAACTGCGACGACAATCCCCCACTACGTGCTTTAGAGACAGAAACTTCCAGGGGGGGGGTCAGATATCTCGAATGTACAAAACGGGCGATTTTGTGCAGTATCAAGAAGATGGCACGCTCCTGTTCAGGGAGGAAGGATGACCAAGTCAAGCGGCACGGGCAGCGCCTTGAGCTGGGCGAAGTAGAGCATCATCTTGGCAAAGCCTTCCCCGAATCGAGAGATGTGGTCCCTGCCGTACTACATTCATCTACTGGGCGACTTGTGGCATTCATCGTTGTTGATGAGGAAGTGAAGATGCCTGCGGAGAATACGCCCAAGTTCAGCGGACCGGGTCAGATGCGAGAGCACATCCACACATCTTCACACAAGTTTAGGCATCAAATACGTGACGCTGAGCAGACCTTGCGTCAATCTTTGCCTGCATATATGGTTCCAACTGCATACTTCCCCGCCCAACAGCTCCCTCGAACGTCGTCGGGGAAAGTCGACCGTGCTCGATTAAAACAGACTGCATCAGAACTTACTCTTCGTCAAGGCCTGACGAACTTTACAGCTGCGCAGGAGAGGAGGCAGCCTTCTACAGACGCTGAAAGAACTTTGCAGTCAATCTGGGCGCAGGTGCTTGGCATCGCGCCAGCAGCCATCAGCACCGAGGATGGCTTTCTGGGGTCGGGGGCGGACTCTATCAGAGCGATACGAGTCGCTGCAAAAGCTGCAGCATTTGGCCTTCACATTTCTCTCCCCAATCTCATTCGGAATGCGCCTCTTCGGGCCTTGACGACCAGTGTAGAGTCACCTCGGCCTACGAAGCCGATCATCTGGGAGGAAGAAGTCGCACTCCCAGAGGCCATGCAATGTACGCTGGCCCGCGCGCTGAAACTGCCGCTCTAGATCCTCCCCGACTGGAGATGGAGGTCCTTTTAACGGGTGCCACAGGACGCCTTGGACGCGAAATTCTGAAGCAATTAATTGAATGCCCATCCATCGGCAAGGTCCAGTGCGTTGCAGTGAGACACCCCGAGACCCTGCCGGCGCACCAAACACTACGCAAAAGCGGAGCATACCTACCCTGTACGGCACCGGCGATGACGGACATCAAACCTTCCACTTCCACTAGTCGCGACAATGTCGGGAAGCGCCGAATCAAAACACCCGGCCTCTACCCCGTACCATGAGCCCAGCATCTCCGTCATCCTCATCCAGTCGTCGTTCCTACTACTCCTCAATGTCGTCAACGCCCTTCTTGACCGGGCCGTCTACTGCGGCCTCTTGGGCCAGGTCTTCGTTGGCGTCGCCTGGGGCACGCCGGGCGCGAATTGGATCGGCATCCGTGCCGAGGAGGTCATTGTGCAACTAGGATATCTCGGGCTTTTGCTGCTCGTTTATGAAGGTCAGTCCGTTCTGCTAGAACATGACCTGCCGACTGACAGAACGCAGGCGGCCTCTCGACATCGTTGCCCTCCCTTAAGGCCAACCTCTTCCTATCCTCCTGGGTGGCGATGACGGGGATAGTATTTCCCATAGGCCTCTCATTTGTTCTGCGATACAGCTTCGAGGCCACGCCGCTGCAGTGCTTCGCTGCCGGCGCGGCCTTGTCCTCGACAAGCCTAGGGACTACATTCACAGTGCTCAGCACCAGCGGCTTAGCACGGTCTAGGCTCGGCGTGGTTCTCACGAGTGCCGCTATGATGGACGACGTCATCGGACTGGTCATGGTTCAGATTATATCCAACCTTGGACAGAACAGCAGCTCCTTCGACTCCAAAGTAGTGGTGCGCCCTCTATTCGTATCACTAGCCTTTGCTGTCGTTGCGCCTCTTATTTGCATGCTCGCCGTCTCGCCAGCGACGAGGTGGCTCAATCAGCGTCGACAACAGAGCCCGGAACGGTACTTGAACCGGCTCTTAGAGTCTCGCCACGCACCATTCATACTTCATACATTGATCTTGCTAGCTTACATTGCAGCTTCCAGCTACGCGGGCACCTCGAACCTATTCGCGGCGTACATTGCCGGAGCATCAATAAGCTGGTGGGACGCGAAGTTTTCCCGTGCTCCAGTACAAAATCCGCGAGAAGCTGGAAGCGCGACATCTGACATGAGGAGTGCTGATCATGCAGCGCACGGTAGCTCTGGTGTTGGCACGTATGAACGACTGTATTCCGTGACAGTAAATCGAATACTGCGCCCGTTCTTCTTCGTGAGTCTACCCCAGACGCAATCCTTGTCGAGTATTAACATGGCTGCTAGGCTTCGATCGGCTTCTCGATACCAATCACAAAAATGTTTACAGCCGAGATCGTTTGGAAAGGCCTGGTGTATACCCTTTTCATGATGCTCGGCAAGCTCCTCTGCGGCATCTGGCTACTTCGACTGCCTGACAAGCTCAAGTGGGTAGTACCAAAAGCCCTACACAAGCACGAACAGAAGAAGGCCATGGGAAATGCCACCTTGGAAGCCGAAACTCCCGTGACCGCAAATTCGTCGGCAGCTACCGAAGACACTTCCGGAGATACCAGTGAAGATGCTCCTGGAGCCGGTCTAGGTGATATAAGTGCAGAAGTAGCTCGGGGGGCTAATGGTGAGGCCTCCGAGGAAGCTGCTTCTCGTGCTGGTAGCCACGATGTCTCCAAGTCCGTTCCAGGGACGATCAGTACAGATACGCCTGCCAGAACTGTCCAGAATACCATGCCGGCTGGCGTTAAGCCGCGATCGATCTACCCTGCCTCCATTCTTGGCTGCGCCATGATGGCCCGGGGCGAGATTGGTTTTCTAATATCGTCCATTGCTGAAAGCAGAGGAATATTTGCCAGCGGGACAGAAACGACGGCTGATTCGAAGATCTTCCTCTGTGTTACTTGGGCGATTCTGCTGTGCACAGTCATAGGTCCGTTGGCTGTCGGGCTGCTTGTACGAAGGGTGAAGAAGCTGCAGAGGCGCGTAGAGGCGAGTGGTGGCCAAGTAAAAGGTGATGTTTTGGGCGTTTGGGGGGTTGAATGAGGGGAAAGGTCACACTACCAGGTGTACATGTATGCGCGAGTGCACCGGACAGAGGCGAAATGGCATATGCATTTACTGCTATTGTATGCTTGGCAGGCGTAGAAGGGACAGGTGAATACATGAAACTAACCCAGTCAATTATGGCCAATTGGACCGTCGACGCAATTTTATCATGCCTGAGAATCTGTCTCTCTAATTCAGTTCGGGCCTCGCGTCTTTGAATTGTCAAGAGCATCCGCGTTTTGTTAACGGACCTTGATCATAAACATAAGATTCTGGAAGCTATGTCGGCGAGGATCGGATGCAGAGGGCAATGCCGTTACCGTGCCCCGCAAGTTCAATCAGAACAACTGTCATGATGCTGGTTTGTGGGCAAAACCCTGGCCCTTGGCATTTCCATTTTGGCGCGTAGCAAGACCGGCGAGAACGCCGTAATGGATATTGCGATTCCTCACAGCGGGCAGCGACCGAATTCCGGATACTTGGCCGATATGGAAAGTGATTTTGAAGAATCTTTGAGCCCTCTGTAGGATGGACTTGCATCCAGTCGCGAGTCAAGACCGCTGCAATCGTTCTTAGTGGTAACGATTGGGGTTTCTGGCTTTGGCGCTAGGCAAGTTGTGCGGCTGCTGTAATTCGACGCCTCATGGGATAGGTTAGAGGTGGGAGACCCATTCTTGGCAGACCGCAGTATACCTACGTTTGAAGCTCTATGCTGGCTGTTTGTCCAGGTAGACGTGATGCTGTGGCGGGAAAATAGCGGCAGGCGAGGGACTAGTCCCAGCCAAGACAGAGAGAGATCAGGACAAAAAAAAGGATAACAGGCGTCAGCTTCTTGTCCCTAAAAAACCCTTTGATCAAAACAATCACGAAATCACCCATTACCAAGTGGATTCTTGATGGACGAGGCTGAATGAGGCTCCCCTGTTGGCCAACGTGCGACAGGGCGGTTTTAGTTTTAGCAGTGTGGAGGCAGGCGCAACGTTTTTCCGCGTCCACCAGTCGGCGAAACTCGGGAGTTCAAACTCCTGGCCAGAAATCGCGATTCTTGGTTATTAAGCTTGCATCCAAACGCCCATACACACCTCTATCCTTTTTTACCTCACCACCTCCCCGCTCGCGACTCCCGCGATCGACCTCCTTTTCCGTCCTTTGTTCTTTGTTCTTCCAATTGGCCTCCGCCATCTCCTCACAATGTTCCGCAGTCGCGCGCTCGCTTCGGTCGCCAGAGCTGCCAAGGTACGCATGTCAAGCTCACCCTGTTTTTCTTCCCTAGCTGCTGCTAGAAGCCAAGCTCCCCGAAGCTTCCGCTGACCACGACCACCCAACAGCTCCAGGCCTCCCCCGCTGTCAGACTCCCCGGCGCTACTCAACAACGCAGAGCTCTCAGCATTCACGAGTACCTTTCTGCCGACCTCCTGAGAAAGGTAAAGAAAATCTGCTCCCTTCGGACGACCGAACGCTATGGCCCCCAATAGTGAAACTTACATCGCAATAGTATGGTGTCGGTGTCCCCAAGGGCGCTGTCGCCCACACTGCCGAGGAGGCCAAGGCCGTCGCCAACAAGATTGGCGGCGACGACATGGTCATCAAGGCCCAGGTCCTTGCTGGCGGCCGTGGCAAGGGTACCTTTGATAATGGTCTGAAGGGTGGTGTCCGCGTTATCTACTCTGCCCACGAGGCCGAGATGTTCGCCCAGCAAATGATCGGCCACAAGCTCATCACCAAGCAGACGGGCGCTGGCGGCCGTCTCTGCAACGCCGTCTACATCTGCGAGCGCAAGTTTGCCCGTCGCGAGTTCTACCTCGCCATCCTCATGGACCGCGCCTCGCAGACGCCCGTCATCGTCTCGTCCTCGCAGGGCGGCATGGACATCGAGACGGTCGCCAAGGAGAACCCGGAGGCCATTGTCACCACCTACGTCGACATCAACAAGGGCGTCACCGACGAGATGGCCCGCGGCATCGCCACTAAGCTCGGCTTCAGCGACCAGTGCGTCGAGGACGCCAAGGAGACGATTCAGAAGCTCTACACCATCTTCCGCGAGAAGGACGCCACTCAGATCGAGATCAACCCCCTCTCTGAGACCTCGGACCACCAGGTCCTCTGCATGGACGCCAAGTTTGGCTTCGACGACAACGCCGACTTCCGCCAGAAGGAGGTCTTTGAGATGCGCGACCCCAGCCAAGAGGACGCCGACGAGGTCCGCGCCGCCAAGAGTGGCCTGAACTTCATCAAGCTCGACGGCGACATTGGCTGCCTCGTCAACGGCGCCGGTCTCGCCATGGCCACCATGGACATTATTAAGCTCAACGGCGGCCAGCCCGCCAACTTCCTTGACGTCGGCGGCGGTGCCACCCCTCAGGCCATCCGTGAGGCGTTCGAGCTCATCACCAGCGACCCCAAGGTCACCGCCATCTTTGTCAACATCTTCGGTGGTATCGTCCGCTGCGACCACATCGCTACCGGTCTCATCAACACTGTCGAGGCCCTCGACCTCAAGATCCCCATTATCTGCCGTCTGCAGGGCACCAACAACGAGCAGGCCCACAAGATCATCAACGAGTCTGGCATGAAGATCTTCTCCATTGACGACCTCCAAAACGCTGCTGAGAAGTCTGTTCAGCTGTCCAAGGTTGTCAAGCTTGGTAAGTCATGCTTTCTCGCCGTACACCTTCTCTGCTAACATCTTCTAGCCCGTGAGATTGACGTCGGCGTTGAGTTCAACCTGGGAATCTAATTGATTAAAATGTACTAGATCACTGTAATATTTTTTCTGCGGAAAAGGAGGGAATAGGGTCTGGCCTGGGACGGCTGCATTTGTTATAGCCTGCATCACCCTACGTCGCAGGGTCAACATGGCAGGTTCTGCTTGTGCCGTTCTGTCCGTATGCGATAATCCAAATTCAAGCAACAACCCTACCGCGCTCGAAGTGATTGCGAATCGATGAACCCCAAGTTGCACTAATGCAGGTTGTATCATCGTGCAGATACCTAACCCAGGACCTACTCCACGCTCGCAACAGGACCGGGAGCCTGAATTCTCAGCTATCAGAACCGTGCCGGGAGATGACACCTGAGAATGGGCTATGTACGTACATAAACCCCGCTGGAATCGGCAGACGATGCAGCGGACTGTATCGACAAACGGGCATATCAATCTGTAGCTGAGAATCAATCAAGTCAGGGCAAGGGGCCGGGTATTCACTTTTTGCCACCTCGGCGAAATGGAAACATTCTGAACAAAAAGCATTTCAGTTAATACCTGTATCCTTCCCATTGAAATTCAATTAAGCGAAGAAAATGTATGTGAGATGCACAATGTGCAGATTGCATGGGATTTCACGTTCTGATACTGTGTGGCCCCACACGAGCTCCAGGCCGAAATCAGGAGCTGGACAACTTTTTTTGCATCACGACTTTTCATCTTCACCCTCGCCAAAACCAACATCCGCATCCAATTGCGACTACAAAATCCTCCCACACTCTCGTCATGTCGTCAAGACTCACCTCCATGGCCCTGCGCGCGCGCCTCGCCCCCACAACAGTGCGCGCCGGTCCACGACTCCTCCCCCGTGCCACCCGCCCGTACTCCTCAACCGCCGACGACCTCCCGACACCGCCGCCGCTCCTGCAGAAGCTCAAGGGCGACCTCAAGACGGCAATGCGCGCCAAGGACGCGAACCGGCTCTCCGTGCTGCGCGCCGTCATGGCCGGCAACCTCAACGCGTCCAAGACGGCCTCGCCGATCCGCACCGACGTGCAGCTGGTCGCGCTGATGCGGCGCCTGGCCAAGGGCGCCGAGGAGGCGGCCGCCGAGGCCCGGGCCGCAGGCCGCGCGGACCTCGCGGACAAGGAGGACGCGCAGGGCGCGATCCTGGCCGAGTACGTGCAGGGCAGCGGCGTGGCGGCGCCGGACGAGGCGGAGCTGCGCGCGGCGGTGGAGGCGGCGGTGGCGGAGGTGGGAGGCGAGGCAGGCAAGACGGCGATGGGTGAGGTGATGAAGAAGCTGGGGGTGGCGCTGGAGGGCAAGGACGTGGATAAGAAGGCGCTGGCGGAGATGGTGAAGAAGGCGATGTCGTCGTGAGGTGACGATACGTGGGAGAGGAGAAAGGGAAGGGAAGGGAAGATTGACCTGTATAATACCTGCAAAACGGCTTATACTTTGTACTATTGCATCGCCGCTTCATGTATAATATAGACGCACCGAGGTGCAATTCACCCGTTGCCGATCAGCCTCTGCCCCACCTCAGCTCGACTTTGGTGACTCACGACAAGCTGCAACTTGCCATTGACATTGACACAGGGAAAAAGCAGATTCGCTTTTCGACGACAACTGACAAAATAGATTTTGGATATTTCAACAAGATGCCTCGACAACACATTAGCGGCGGCTCCTCGTTTGAGGACCAGATCGGCTACTGCCGCGCAGTCGTCCTCGAAGACGGCTGGATCCACGTCTCCGGCACCACGGGGTAAACCACATTCATCGATCTATCCCACCCTGTTTGACTAAAGAACTGCTCTCCAGATATGACTACGCGACGGGAGAAATCTCGCCCGACGTCGCGCAGCAGGCTGAGCAGACGCTGCGCAACATTGACAAGGCGCTGCGGGAGGCCGGCTCGAGTATGGCCGACGCCGTGCGCGTGCGCTACATCCTGCCGGACCGCGACGACTTCCCCACGACGTGGCCGGTGCTGAAGGCGTGGTTCGGGGACGTGAGGCCCGCGGCGACCATGATCCAGGCGGTGCTGATGAAGGAGGAGATGAAGATTGAAATTGAAGTGACCGCCAGGAAGGGATCCGGCAAGCAGTGACGGAGCAACGCACAGAAGCCCTCTCCCGAATTATTCTCTATTGAAGCTTGGAGCTGGGGGGTGGGATATTTAGGTTTTAATATACAAGACTGGCCACCGCGAAGCCGGACGCAAACGTCGTCGCGATCGTGATCAGGCTCGACGTGGACAACAGCGAGATGCCGCTGATGCCGTGCCCGGAGGTGCACCCGCCCGCCATCCGCGCGCCAACCACCATCAGCGCACCTCCCAGCACCGCCTGCGGTGGCGGCACCTCCCACGGCGCCGCCGCGACGAACCCGGGGACTAACGTGGCCAGCGCCAGCGCGCCCGCGCCGGCGGACGCGGCGAAGAGCACGTTCGGGTAGCCGGTGGGTTTCGCGGCCGCGTCGCCGGTGAGCGTCGCCCACAGCAGCCCACCCAGCTCGCCGTACGACCCGGAGATGCCGATCATGGAGCCGCGCGTCAGTATGGACAGCAGCTGCGACAGGCTGATCAGCAGGCCGCCGAGCGCGCCCGGCAGCACCGCGCCCGGGAAGCGCGGGGTGTACAGCGCCGTGGCGGCGACGACGGCCGCGAAACCGGACACGTAGAGCAGCATGGCCGCGGGCTTGGACACGCCGAGGTACTCGTTGACCGTCGTGGTGTCGGGCTTGCCGGCGGCGGCGGCGGCGGCGGCGCGTTGCCGGGCGACGGCCTTGCTGAGGAGGCCGGTCCAGAGGACGCCGCCGGAGAGGGCGCCGGCGAAGGCGTAGAAACCGGTGCGAGCGCCGGCGGCCATCTGCGCGAAGAGCGTGCCGGGGCAGGAGCCGGAGAGGGCCATGCCGGCGCCGAGGAGCGCGCCGCCGAGGATGTTGCCGTCGTAGGGGGTAGGCAGCAGGCCGATAGGCGCGGAGGGTCGTGGGGTGAGCTTGGCAATGCCGGTGCGGTCGGCGACGGCGTAGTAGACACTGCAGGGGTGAGTTTTTTTTTTTAAAAAAAAAAAATTGCTAAGGGGAACGGGGAGCGTACATGCTAGAGGCGGTCGCGGCGAGAAAGGCCTGCACCATGTGCCAGTTCTCGAATCGCAGCTGGGAGACGACGACGGCGGGGTTGTGGAAGCCAGCGGCGATCATGGCGGCACCAAAGGAGGCGCCGGCGAGGACGGTGGCCATGGAGGAAGGAGGCGAAGATTGCTATTTGGCGTGGGATGATGAAGGGATGAAGGGGAAAGAAACTTGTTGGTATGTAGCTTAGCGAGGTTTGTAGTGAGGCTGGGAAGTCACGACATTGGGAGAGAAATTGACGCCAGGTTGGCGCGCGGAGGGGCTTTTATAAAGGAGAAACCCAAGGGCAATCCACGATATCGAGACACATTGGGAACATTGGGAATTACAAACTGACCAATAAGCAGCCTAGCGACTTGGGGCTGTGGCGAGAATTACCAACTTCGGCGAGGTTCAAGACTCGGTTTCGCTGACCAAGTCGCCGAACTTTGGTGTTCTTAGGGCATCAATCCACTATAACAACGCCCTGCCAGCCACAGCAACAAGATGCGGCACGACCATGGCAAAACAGTAGTGGTATAACTAGTCTCTTTAAACTAATATCTTTGCCATTCGTACTGAAATTCTGACCAACAGTTTGACCACCTGTGTTGCTAAAAACAACCGTCTTCGGAACGATCCTGGTACCATTATTTATCACCTCCGTCTCTCCGTTGGTCCGTCTTGGTCGTAACGTCTAGCATCGACGGCAACACGAGCGCAGAAGCTCAGGGACGCAGCATAGCTCATAATAAATGGACCGGCGTCACCTTAAAGAGTATACGAAGGTATTCAATAACTTTCATCTCTGCACCTCACAGAACTCCGTCATTCCGCTTCCGGGCCTGATCCCCTACCAACCTCCGTACTAGCCGAGGTAGCCACCTGCCGCCGACGTGGGGCCGGCCGTCTGCCGTGGCCGGCAACGTCATGTACTGTAGCTCTCTCCGCATCTATATAGCTCCAAGTCTACCCCATACTTTTCTCTCCTTCCACCATAAACAAGCAATACTCCTACCGTTCAATTGGAACCAGCCATCATGCCGCGCGAACTCCAGCTTGTCAACATCGAGGACGCCAAGCCCGGCAAGGTCTATTACCCGTATGCATCTCACCCCGCCACTCCCAAAGCTCCAGCATTCTAACCCCCAACTCCCACCCTCCAGTATCCAGATCAAGCAGGTCCCCAAGCCGACCCCCGGTCCCAACGAGGTCCTCGTCCGCATGACCGCTGCCGCCCTCAACCACCGCGACCTCTTCATCCGGCAGCATCTGTACCCCAACATCGACCCCGCCAAGCCTCTCCTCGCCGACGGCTGCGGCGTCGTCGTCGCCGTCGGCTCCGCCGCCTCCCCCTCCCTCCTGCACCAGCGCGTCATCCTAACCCCCAGCCGCGGCTGGGCGCGCGACCCGCTCGGCCCCGAGGACCCCTCTCGCTTCGTCATGCCGCGCTGCCGCTCGTCGGGCTGACCGGGTGGCGCGCGCTGGTCACCAAGGCGGGCGTCGCCGGGCCCGGCAAGAACGTGCTGATCACCGGCGTGGGCGGCGGCGTGGCGCTGCAGGTGCTGCAGTTCGTGGTGGCGATGGGCAGCAACGCGTACGTGACGTCGGGCGACCAGGCCAAGATTGACCGCGCGGTGGCGATGGGCGCCAAGGGCGGCGTGCTGTACAAGGAGCCGCGCTGGGGGGCGACGCTGAGGAAGACGCTCCTCCCCAAGGAGAGGCCGTGGCTGGACGCGGTGATTGATGGCGCGGGGGGCGCGGTGGTGGCGGAGACGGCGGGGGTGTTGCGGCACGGCGGGGTGATTGCGCAGTATGGCATGACGGTGGCGCCGAAGATGGAGTGGTTGATGAAGGCGGTGCTGGCGAATATTGACCTGCGCGGGAGCACGATGGGTTCGCGGCAGGAGTTCCGCGACATGGTGGCATTTGTGAACAAGCACAAGATCAAGCCGGTGATCAGCCAGACGGTTCACGGGCTGGGGAACTTGGACGAGATCAACGGGCTGTTTGACGTCATGGCTGCGGGCAGCCAGTTTGGGAAGCTGGTGATTGAGATTGATGATGATGAGGAAAACGCAAAGCTGTAAATGGTTTCGATAAGTCCTCTTCACCATGTCATGTGGTCCAGTCCGCTGACAGCTACTGTGACAAGGTGGTAGTTGCGGCTAGATTCAGCTCTCTCTACGTAAAATTGATCTGCAATATATCAAGATACGGAAAGCGGCAGACTTTGTACATCACCACGCAAAACATAGTGTATTTTGTAACTTCTCTCTCGGCGCCATCTGACCTTCCAACATCTCCTGGCTGACTGAGCGCACCGCCAGCACCGACTCGCCTCCAGTTGTGCGTCTACACCACCCGCGGTATAGAAACGCTAGCTTGATCTTGGCTCGCAGCCTCTCATCGCTCGCGTTGCTCTCTTGAATCTAATGACGCGGGACGCAATAAGGCAAGCTAGACTGCATGATGCACATATTGCCCGGCAGGCAGTGACCCCCAAACTATGGTACCTGTCAGCAAATGGCCGTTTCATGAGGCGCAACAACATGCAACCTACGACCCAGTCGCCGGTGGCAGTGCATGCTTCCCAATCTTGGTTGTTGTACGTGCATCGGTACGTGGCGGGCTTGCACTTTTCCGCGACGGCCGCGGCAGCGGCGGTGGATGCAGCAAGGACGATGACAGCCAGGAGCTTCATAATGTCCAATTTTGGAACAGATTTTCGGTTTAATGTAAGAGTTAATGAAGAGAAGATGATAACTGAGCTCTCTTCAGCAGACCAGTGAATACAAGCACACCTTACCATTTGACACTAGAGGGGAAGGCTGAAATATACATGTGCCAGCCGCCTTTCAACACCCCGGATCATTGCTGCCCGGCCTCGGGGATCACGAGTGATACCTGAGTAGCGTTTCTCGTATAAGGGCCTTGTGACTGAAAGCACGCAGCCAAATTTGGGACGAAGTACGTCGTGTCACCCTGCAACGCCATGTCTCTGGCCTCCTGGTATTCCGCAATACCGCCAAGGCACGGCATCTCGCTCTGCGGCCCCACGTTGACGGATATCTTATTTCAAACCTTACAATGTTCTTCACACAACATTGGTCTCTGATGATACGAGACCACGTTGCAGACTGTTATGCGGCTGTTGTGCGGCGCGCCGATCGAAGGGAGCCCTGGCCCCCCCGAAAATCGGCGCCACGGCGAACAGTATGAGCACATTGTATCTGCACCTGATCCCTTGAATTGGTGTGATTTCTATGCCAATTATCTGAAGCAACACCAGGAAAACTGTTAATTGCCGTATTCCAGAGAGCACCTCGCCCACCCATGTTTGCCTTTGGAAGGCGTGTGTACGCTTCGCCCCGGAGCTCATCCAGAAAAATCCGAAAATGCCCCGGAAAGAATTCTCCAAAAGGTTCTGTTTTCTATTCTCTTCTATTCAACAAACTCGCAGCTAGGTTCGCCACTGGATGGGTTTATTTTGCACCTTCTCCCGTCCTTGCAGCGACGTTCAAACTGCACGAGCATCGTCAGCAAGGAGCCTCGCACCAATCTGGGAAGAGACCTACCAGCCAGTATCCTCTCTCATTGCACACCTGCCAGCCGTCTCCGGACGGTACGCATCGATATGTTCCGGAAACGCACTGAGGAGCCGGACACGCCGCCACGCGGGTCGCCCGAACTGTACAAATGATCACCCGAGCGTAGGGGTTTTCGCAGACGGTGCCGTCCGGGCAGCAGCCGTCAACCTATGAGCATTGTGAGCGGAAATTTGGCCACATCTCATACCATAAGCCGTCTACATACCTCCCATTCGCCCTTTGTATTGCACAGGTACCATTCTTGGCCGTTTGGCGCGCAGTGATTCGTGAATGGCTTGCATTCCGCCTCGACCACCGTCGCGGCGATGGATGAAAGGGCGGCGACGACGACAACAGGAAACTTCATGGTGCTATTTCAAAGTCCGTGCCGACTGTGAAATCTTGAAAATGAAAGCCTGAGTGAGCTAGTATGGTTACAGAGTAGGTATGTTTGCTTCAATTATCCGATCTTGGAGGCATGCTCTTTATACACGTCTAGCGCCATCAAATCCGGGGAACATCGTACAATCGAACTCGCTGGATCATGTGCAATTCAGACACGAAGCTGAGTGCGCTTTCTGCGGAACAGCGATACTGAAGCTACAGCTTCCCTTACAGATGCTCGGAAACTTTACTTCCTTGGAAAGCCCTGCTTCGGCTTTCTTCGGTTCTAAGCCGACACATCGCGTGCGTCATGTCTAACATCGACGGAGGCAGATTTAAACGAAAGGAGGGCCGGCTTAGTGCTATCATCTGAGAAGCTGACATCCTCCTTGGTACCGGTTTGCTTCGGACGTAGGCTGAGAAACGCCACCGCCCTGAGTTTCTTCCTTTGCAATGCTCGGACGATCTCAATATTGGACAGAGTCCGGCCAATCCGGCATCATCAATGCCAGCCGGTAGCTAAAATGTAAGCATGCCAAGGTTCGTATGAAAGCCCTGCGCTGCGAGCTGAAGGTGAGGTTACACACTCTTCCTCAACGTAGCTCATCAGTGAAACTCAATAGCCTTCCAGGACTGGATTCTACTACACCATCATGCGCAAGCTGTTCTCACGGGCAAGCTACAAGTTCAAGAAAGACTTCACACCCGACCACATGCTGCCATCTTATGGCCGCAGCTGAGGTTCGCTTCTTACATCGTAGTCTTGCGTCGTTCGCACTGAGGTGGAGCGATTCGGTAATCAAGTGTATAAGAGACGAGAAACGCTATTCCTAACGTACAATATGCACCCCATAAAACGCCCAATTGTAAACAAAGTATCCCAATTTTTTTCCCTTCCACCCACGGCACCGTTCACTCGGCCTTCTTTCTCTTCTTCTTGGGCCGCTCGTCGCCCTCCTCCGGGGGCACAAAGTCGGCCTCGCGCTCCTTCGCCTTCTCCACCTTTCTCGCCTTTTGCTTCTCCGTGCGCTCCGCGCGCGCCGCCTGCGCCTTGGCCTGCTTTCCCAGGAAGTACTCGCCCGACTCGATCTGCTTGTCCACCTTGCTCTTCTCCGGCGCCGGCGGGAACGGCGTGTACGTCTTCTTGGACTTGTCCGTGACGTTGTGCGGCGTGTGGCGCTTGCTGAGCGTCTTGCGCTTGAAGTTGGGCAGGAAGCGGCCCCAGCTCTCGTTCTTGAGCTCCGGGTCCTTGGCGAGCTCGCGCTTGATCATGAGCTCCTTGATGTGGTAGATGGGGTGCACGTTGGCCATGCAGTCCTCGACGATGCGCCGCACCTCCTTGAGGCCCTTGTAGGGCCCCATCACGGAGACGGTGTTGCCGTGCACCAGGATGTACGTCTCGGTCAGCAGCTCGAGCGCCTTGAGCGTGGAGCCGTCCGGGCCGAGGATGCGCTGCCGCCGCTTGACGAACCGGTCCTTGCTGCCGACCAGGTTGCGGATCTTGACAACGTCGCAAGCGACGCCGTCGTCGAGGATCTTGATGGCCTGCGGCGCGGGCACGCTGCGCGCCAGCAGCTTGATCAGGTCGCGGGCGTTGAGGATGGCGGCGGGGTCGAACGTCTTGCGCGTCGTCTTGACCATCATCGAGCCCTCGACGAGGTCCAGCGTGCACGCGATGCCGGTCTTCTCGAGCGCTTTGGTGATCAGCGGCCAGGCCTCCTTGAGGTACACTTCGCGGTACTTGGGAAACAGAGTCATGAACGACGACTCTTCAGCAAAGGTGCCGCCCGCATTGTCTTCGGGCTTGAACTGCTCGATCTTCCACTTGTCAATGTCGTCCGTGTCCCACGGCTTCTCCTTTTTGTGTGTCGACGGCATGGTATCGGTTGCGCGGAGGGTTGTCGATTAATGCTAGAGAAATTCTGCCACTGCTTGTGCGAGGTTCGAAAAGATCAACTTTCCTTTCTGCCGCCTTAAAAAAAAGGCGGTGGGCTTTTTGGTGGGCTTTCCTAATCGGGCGTATTAGTCAGCTTTGAGTAGCTACTACCCTGTACCTCTCACAAGATTTTTGGCGGGCTCATTTGGGCTCCAGATAGGCAGGGAGAAAGTCATCTTGACAATTATTGAGAAAATCCGAGATTGATTGCTGATAAGTGTGTTTTTATGGCAGCCATACCTGGGGCATAATGCAGCCGCCGGCTGCGTGAGATTTAAAGATACAGTCAGATACGGTTTTGTACTGGAAACAAGCCACAGATAACGGGATGAAAAGGTGTTAGGAATCGAATATATTCTCGTAAATGAAACGTCTTGAAAAATTAAAATTGTACCACGAAAGTGGCTGCTATACGCAGTAAATAAGTATCTGTCAAACGCCAATATTATCATCTCTCGATAAAAAGTTCAGCCGATTCTCACCAACGTTAACACCATGTCCAAATCATGACCGCTCGTATGAGACAGCAACGGTAATATCCCGACGGATTCTGTCAGCATCTTGAAATGGAACCTCGTCGCTGTGAGACACATTGCTCAGTTGGTAGGCCGAATTGTCAGAGTCTCCCTTTGTTTCGACAGTGGCCCCGTGCAGCGCGTCATCATCCAGCTCCTCAAACGGAAACTGGATGTTTCTACGAATTTTTGCGGAGCGCTGGCTATAGCTGCTGTGACTCTCTCGCTGCTTCTTGCTTTTCAGAATCGGCCGTAATGTTGGGATCGACGCGGCAATGAGGACAAAGTTTGCCTCAAGACTTGCATGGGTTAGCGAATAGCGCGCTGCAGTGATCGTAGTGGTACTTACGTCCATCCGATGGCGAGTTTGGCCATTTCATCTAGAAACAAGTTAGTCGTAGTCTATACTCTGCTTTTCTTCTAGACTCACATGTTACGTTCTCTGTGCTGGTGATTGCTTGCAGCTCTACCGTTTTGAAGATGGACGCAGCCATGGCGCTAAATGCATGTTAGTGAGGACCCGAAACACCGTCGACAGCAACTTACAAGACGCCGAATCCCATCATGGCACTCAAGCTGATTCGCTGCTTGAGAGACATTTGCAGATTCCAGAACAAGCTGGCCGGAAAAGCCGCCAGTGTCAAATCCACCGCCGATCCGTAGGCTGCGAACGAAGCAATTAGTCTTGATCAAAGCAGCAGCCAAGCCTGTCGTATACGTACACCCTTGGAAAAAACCAGCGTCTCGCTGCACCTGCTTCGGCCAGCAGTCCGGGTTATCGCGGCCGTCCCAAAACGCGGCGATGGGTCTGCACTGCGAAAAGCTGATGATGAGCGTGCCCAGGTCGATGACGAAGGCGGTGATGATGACGGTCCAGAGGAGTCCGCGGCGCGTGACGGTCGGCGGCGTGAGGGAGAGGAGCATGAGGGCGAAGGAGATGCGACCGAAGCACGGGCACATGATGGAGAAGAACTCGCAAAGGTAGACGTATTTGACCGTGTTGGAGATTCGCGCGGGGTCTGCGAGGCTAGTGATACTCTGACCGAGGCCATAGTAGCAGGAGATGGACAGGAGTATGGCGTTGCCCAAGGACAATAGCTAATTTCGCGAGTTTTTAGGTTAGAAGATGACGGAGTGCAGTTTTTAGAATCATTGACGAGATTAAAAAGGGCCTGCAAATGGGAGCGACATACTAGAGTAAAGACAGCGAGGTAGTCGTCAATGGTAATCCGCTTCAGCACGCGGCTTCGAGTATAGATGCGCCCCAAAACAACAGCGATAGAAATGGTGGTAAATATCCACGTCACGCACATGACGGATATTCCGAGTCCTTCAATCGCCATGTTGACCGTATCTCAAAATGCAAGTGTTGTAACAAGATGGAAACAGGAGCCAGTGCTAGTTTGACATTGGGCTGCTGTCGTACGCATGTGCAAGGTGTTGCAAAAGGGAACCGAAGCGGTCCTATATCCGACAAAACTCGACACACAGCTAATCTTACAACATGCAGATGGCGACAAATGATTGCCGAGCCAAGGCTGACAAGCTCGCCCCGACTCTGAACTCTCAGCGAGTCCCTGGCATGCTGAGCATCGCGAGTGCGAGGTGCCGTATTTGCGGCCAGAAAAGCCACGAAGCGGCTGGGGGGGTAATCCCCGCAGGGCCTTGCCTGCTTGCTGGCATGACCTGTCAGCGTAGCATTACATGTAAGAGCAAGACACGGAGGATACCACAACTGGCCATCGCCATTCGCTGCCGCCTTCTCTAGCCTCTCACTATCGTGTGGGGGCAAGACAAGGCGGCGATCGCTAAGATCTCACCGTGTGGAGGTGAGGTGGGGGCCTAGAGGGCGTGTCTGTATGGAGAGCACGCTCACCTCACCGTTATCCTCGTCGGTTGGAAGCTTGCCGGTGAGATGCGAAGCCATGATTTATCGTACAGACGGATGCCGAGTGGGCGGCGATGACGGACAGGACAGGGACTAGATCTGGGTACCAGCAAAAAAGGTAGAAAATAAAATAAAAAAAGTACCGCGCTCAACTACGGAAAAAGAGCATCACAAACTACAATGGCAGAGACAAGTCAAAGTGTCGTTCTGATTGAGCAGCTGTCAAAGCTTGCGCCGCAGCTGGCGGATGGCGACAACTCAGATGCCAAGAACCAGGCCATCCAACTCAGTCGGCAACTGACTGGTAGCTTGTCTCATCCCGCCAGCTCTGCCGTCGAGCTGGCATTTGCGGTATGTGACCAAGAATTCTAGATGATGGCAAGGTTGCTAACGGAGAATGAACTGTAGCCTTTTATCACGGTAGCGGCCCGAATCGCGATTGGCATGGGCCTGTTCCAGCTGATTGCCAACAACACCGGGCCAATCTCGTCTAAGGAGCTGGCCGAGAAATCAGGCGCTGAAGAGTTTCTAATCAGCAAGTAAAACATTCTTGAAAGTTGCTGGAAAGAGTTCTAACAGCACTGTCTCAGTCCGCACGTTGCGTCCCTTGGCTTCAGTCGGCGTCGTCCACGAGACGGGAGAGCGACAATGGGCGCCCACACCAGTCACGCATGCCATGGCGACTGAAGAAATATCCGCCGGTCATAGAATGATGTGAGTCGTTGCCCCCTAACCACCGATATCAAGCTGAAAAAAAAAATATACTGACAAAAAATGCAGCGGCGAAATGATTGTCGGCGCGGCCCAAAAAGCGCCCAAGTACCTCAAGGAGTACGGCTACCGCTGTCCGACCGATCCCCGCGACGGCCTCATGCAGTTCGCCTTCCAGACCAAAATGAACACCTTTGAGCTCTTCAGCTCCATCCCGCAGGTAAACAGGGACTTCAACCTCTTCATGGGAAATACAATGGGCGCGCGCAACTACTGGGTCGACTGGTACCCCGTCGAGCGGCAGCTGCTGGACGGTGCCGGGGGAGACGCGCCGCTTCTCGTAGACGTCGGTGCAGGGAAGGGCCACGACCTACTCGCCTTCCACGAAAAGTACCCGGGGAGGGGCAAGCTGGTGCTGCAGGACCTGGCCTCCGTGACGGACAGCCTCAGCGGCGCCGTGGACCCGGCCATCGCCGTGATGACCTACGACTTTTTCACCGAGCAGCCCGTCAAAGGTACGCGCCTCTACAAGTTCTTGTAGAAGAAGGGAAAATAGGAAGAAGAATTGCTGACGGAGATTGCTTAGGCGCGCGGGCGTACTTTTACCACCACATCCTGCACGACTGGTCCGACGACAGGTGCCTCGAGATCCTGGCGGCGCTGAGCACGGCCATGACGCCCGGCTACTCCAAGGTGCTGCTGCACGAGATGATCGTGCCGGAACGGGGCGCGTCCACGTTCCACGCGATGCTGGACATGACCATGATGGCCTTCAATGCCGGCATGGAGCGCACCGAGACCCAGTGGCGTGAGCTGCTGGACAGGGCGGGCTTTGAGGTGGTCAAGTTCTGGGCGCCGCTGCAGGAGGACGCGGACGGGATCGTAGAGGCGATGCTCAAAGTCTGAAGTCGATTCTTCTTTTAGATAGCTTGTTGGTTTAGTCGGTCTGGTGGCATTCTCCTTATTATAGAAACGGATTAGAAACTCTTGTCTTTTACTACGCTCGTCTTCCTTAGGTCATGACAAATTAAAACGAAGTCATCTAAGCGGCAATGCCCGCAATATTTACTCAGGCATCGGTCGGTCCAGCTTCTCAACCTCAAACAGATTAAACGCCCGCTGCCCGGCCCACGAGTCGAGCGCCTCCCAGTTGGCGCAGCGGTGCGCGTCCACGTCAAAGTTGGTCGGCCAGAAGCCCGACTTGTCCGCGTGCTGCGCCGTGTTGTTGATCCAGCGAAACGTCACCAGCGACAGGTCCGGCTGGCACATGAGCGCCTCGCGGATGTACTCGACGCAGTGGTCTGAAAGCTGTCAGCTCATGCTAGCGCGGTTGGATGGGAAGATTCTTACCGACGTGCTTTTCCTCTCGGGCCATGGCGTCGCCGGTCTTGTCCTTGTGGTAGTGCTCCTTGAAGAGCATGCGCTTGACTTTTTTCTGGCGAGTTGTTAGCTGTAAGCTGGAAGGCTGTGGTATCTCTCTTCCATACCAGGCAATGGAGCGAGTGGTAGACGGCGAGGGACGCAACTCCTTCGTCCCCGTCCTTGGTGTATACTGAGTGGAGGCTCTTTTCGTCCAGGTAATCCTTTGGTACCAGAATGTTGTCATCTGCCAGAGTTAGCGGCGTCGCGAACTAGTTGCCGTAGACCGTACTCTTAAGGAGTTTGTGCCATGCCTCGTCCAGCTCTTCGCGAGGCTCCCCCGTAAATGGGTTATCGACAATGTCGGTCGGAAACCTTCGTTCCTCCCAAACGAGACCTTCCCTTGACGGTACTGATGAAAATTAGACGCGCGATTCGTATCAGTGTTGCCAATTTGCAGTTCGGCACGACTTACAAGGAAGATGGCTTCCCGATTTGCCCTCCGGCCGACCGTACAATACTAGAAGTAAGAATCCTATGGTGTACAAGGAAAGTAGTATCCCATGAGCCCATAGTGGGATGTGGAATGAACTTTTGTGCGATTTCTGGAGGGGAAGAATGTGTCCATTTTCGCTGTCTGAATCAAGAAGCCGTTCGCGAGCGCCGTCCGAGCTGGAGTCGGTGCTCCCTCGTGCAGTCTTCTCTGATCCAAACATTGTTAATAGTGACTGTGCTGCAAATTTCAGAGATGATTAAGTGCTCAACTTTAATATTGTAAAGCGAGTTGAGTTTCCAAGTGTGTTGTCGAGCTTGACCCTGCTGACGGAGGGACTCGGCCAAGTACACCGACGGGTCGCTCTGTGGAGGGGGTGTACGCAGTGAAGCTTGGAGTAGAGACTATGTGGTGAAGAAAAGCAGGGAATTTGAGAATTGGTAATTTTGGACCGGTTTATTATGCATACTATATTGCACCAGTTTTATATATACCATCTGCGCTGAGTTGCCGGGTTTCTGCTTGGGCACAGGCGCATCTCATACACTCAACATGGCATTCTTCACACAAGACGACTTCAACTACCACCCAGTAGGTGAGGATTCAGGTACCGAAAAGGCGACACGGAATCACCCGGGTATTTCAAGGCTCCCTTGGCTCTTGTGCTGCTTTATTTCTGTGTTGGCATTCGCTGTCGGCGCTCTTGTTGGGGTCTTTGTCCTGGCACCACAACCATCTCGCCTCGCGACGAGCATGCAGCAACGTCCCTCCCGCATTCCAACACCCGATATCGACATCGACGTCATCCCGCAAACTTTCCACTATAACCGGACGTTTGGAGAAGCCCCCGACCACAAAGGTACTTTGGAGGCGTGGGAGTCTGTCGTGCCCGGTAAGCACTAACACCAAGCGATAACGCCCACCAACCCCGAACCAACCAAAGCTAACCTGCTAACCCGAGGTTGCAGTTGGGCAGGGCACCGTACGATTCCCCTCGGAGAGCCACAATCTGTACACCCTGTCGGTGGTGCATCAGCTTCACTGCCTTGTAAGCCGTCCCAGTTTCCTTTTCCCCTCAGACCCCCACTCGACACGGCTAGCAGATAACCACCTGTCTCGCGGTGATTCCCCGATTCAGAGCCTCACTTGCTTTTTTTGATCACATCGTTGCTGACGGGACAAAATGGTGTCAGTGGTCGATTCACGGCAGCTACTACAGCAAGGCGAACGACGAGTCTGACGCGGGCCACGGTGCCGCGCATATGCGCCACTGTTTCGATTATCTGCGACAAGGTCTGATGTGCGCCAGCGACACGTCACTGGAACCTGTCGACCCCGATCTCGGCGGCGTCACGGGCTGGGGCAGCGAGAGGGTTTGTCGCGACTACAGGCAGGTTGTTGCCTGGGCCGAGGATCACAGGGTGAGCAACCTGCGAGGGTTCCAGCAGACCCCTCATCACCACCATGGATGAGCCGCGAAGAAATGGCGCTAGTATGCGGGTTACTACATGCTGAATTGAAAATTACTGTGATTGAGATAGACCGAATTATACGGCCATTGTCCGTACACCATGAAAGCGTCGTAGCCGACCCAATGATGTGCTGTTCGAGGAACCAACCTTATGTGGCTTACCGACGATCCCGCCACTAGCACTACTACGATGACCTGAATTGTTGGAAGGATACCAGAGTCCGTAAATTTGAGAACTTAGGTAGTTGAAGAAGATGAATGTCATCAATATCACCACTACTATCAGCATCATCACGTCTCATCGCCATTTGATACCGCAGCGTATTAATGTGGTAGACACCTTGCTACGAAGGTATACTGTGCTTGATCGAACACCCCTCAAATTGTCGATCCAAAGCGCCACGTCTTTTTACAGACCTAGGTCAGCGTAGGGTCAGCGATTTGGGGGCGACTCGCTCGCTCAGCGATGGACGCTGCATCGGCAATGCGTTGCCGACTCTTTCCCAGCCCACCAACCACTTACACGGCCACCCATCCTCCCTTGCCCCACGCCGCACATCACCGAGAAATGCACGTAAGCACAACCAAACCGAACCCTACCTTCCCTGCAGGGCGCATTATCACGAGGAAGGATCAAAGGGTTGCATTGGCTAGGGCTTCGGTCGGTGAGCTTGGCGATTGTCAAGGGCTCGTCATCAGGGGGGTCCATTCCAAGGCAGACTGGCCAGTGATGATCGAGGCTGCCGACTTGGAGGGCAGGCGGGGAGTAAGCGGTGACGACCGTTGCAGCTTGACAAAGACGGTGTCGGAGATATGTGTTTGGGAAAAGTAGTGGCAATTGCTCTGTGGTCGGAACGGTGTGGGGATCGGAAAGCTGGGATATAAGAAAGTCGCCAGTGCAAGCTCGCCACTCTGCACCTGCAACCTGTACCCTGAAATATAATTTACTGGCAAACAACATCATTCAAAGTATCCAAAATGAAGGCCGCTTTCGTTGTCGCATTCGTGGTTGGCGCCGCCATGGCCGCCGTCATTCCCGCCAGAGGTATTTCGGACCTGCCCATGGCTCGCGACAACCTTCCGCCGAAGCAAGCACTAACAATACGCGACTCGATAGCCGTGGACTCTGACGAGGCCATCGTGTACCCTGCGCAAGTCGACCAGTCTTGGGTAGATGCTCAAAAGAGGTGTAAGTGACCAAGAGCCGCACACGATGACCAACAACGCGGCTAACCAAGTTGCGAGCAGCGCAAGATTCGGATGAGGCGGTCGTATATCCCGCCCAGGTCGACCAGTCCTGGGTCGATGCTCAGAAGCGCTCTTGTAAGTCGGATTTGTAGTGCAATGTTTGCGAGAACGGCGGGCGGCTAACATGCAGACTTGCAGCGCAAGATTCCGACGAGGCCGTCGTGTATCCCGCCCAGGTTGACCAGTCTTGGGTGGACGCTCAGTAGGCTACGCGTCGATTATGAGAGATAGTTTGACTGAATGCCATGATCTTTGGCTTTTGAAAAGGATGTAAAGGTTAAAATACGAGGCTCGTCAATGAATTGATGGACTTGATCTGCGCACACTAAAGAATCTGCTTCTGGTGACTCTTGCGCCTAAACGAACTGTGTCTGCTGTGACCGCGATTTTCCCCTTGTTTGAAAGAAATGATCACGAAAAAGAGAGAATTGATCGGTGTATCTAGAAAATATACTAGCATTTTTTTTTTAAATGAGAATGTGAGTGAGGCTGGCCGATGCGCATCTGTTTATCTAACATCCCTCCCTCTGTGGTCAACTTGCATCCTCCACCAACACCTCCAGTGCCGCAGAGAATAAAGCTCTGCCACAACTGCTTCGATAACAGCAAGGGGCATCTTCAAATGCCCATTAATAAGAAAACCAAAACGGCGTTGAATATTATTTATTGCAAATATGCACTCAAAAACCGAAGATTATGAGCCTCTGCGCCGAGACTCCTCCGACCGATGGAGCGACGAGAGCAAGGAGACACTCGCCGTGTCTCCAACAAAGCAACGGAAACTTTCACAGAGATCACTCTACGTTGGTGGCTTAGTTTTGTCACTGGTTCTTCTGGCAATGTCTCTTTTCGTCAACGTTGTCTTTATCCTGAAGCTTGACCCGAGCCAGACGGTGGCCAGGTCATCTCTGGAAGAGGGCGACTGTCCATCCACGTTTGGTACGTATGCAGGCTACGCAAACATTTGCAGTATTAACCAAATCACTAGCCGGGTTGAAGCGAGACGTGCCGGTAAAAATCCAGCACGGAACCGAATACACAGGGGACAACCTCACCCAGGTGACAGCTCTGTGGGAGGAGCTTAGCGGCGACCCGGGCGTCGTCGCCTTGCCAGAGGCCTACATCCAGCAGCAGCACCTGCCACACGCGCTACGATTCCCTTGGGACGAAGACAAGGGCGTCTATCTCCTCCAGGGCTTCCACGACCTTCACTGCCTGGTACGTCCCACCACCCACTCTCTCCCCTAGCCAAACCGTCCACCGCTAACTTCGTCCGCCCAGCGCACGCTGTTCCGGTACGTCATGTACACGGAGACGAAGCAGCCGCAGCGCATCGCGCTGAGCCACGCGCTGCATTGCCTGGACCAGCTGCGGCAGGGCGTTGTGTGCAGCGCCGACGACACGCCGCGCTACGCGGGCTTCCAGGACCCGCCGGGGACGGGCGCCGGGCAGGTGCGCATGTGTCGCGACTGGGGTCGGCTGGAGCGGTGGGCGGCGGAGCGCACGGCGTGCTTCCGGCACGAGGACGAGGTGCCCGGGCCGATGATTGAGCGGTTCAAGTCGTGTCCGGACGGGCGGGTGCTGTGGCCGACGACGGCGGCGACTACAGGAGGCCACAATGAACACGCTGCTCGGCAGACTTGATGGATGTGTGCGTTGGAATACTTGGGACGCAAATGCGGTTTCTGCGTGCTTGTCCGCTCACCTGAGTTGCGGGCGAGGTACCGGGGGGGGATGTTGGAGACTGGGGGATGCATGCAGCGGGCAGAGGGTGGCTGTCGCTGACGCACCGTGGCTGGAGACGCTGGAGCAAGAGCGTCAGCAGAAGCGGGAGGGGAGGAGGGGGGATCGTCGGGGTGTGCGTGCGACGCTGAGCTGACGGCTTGTGATGCGCAAGGGGGCGGAAGAAATGTGATAAATGAGACTTTGTCTAGTTGTGATTGCAAGATGACGTTAATAAAGTGCAAATACGCAATCTCCAAATCGACCTTGGATGGCAAGGGGGGTTTGTTTGAAATGTGCGAGTTGGTTGTTTGGACTGTGCCAAGCGATAAGATGGCCAAGAGATATGGTGGCTGTCGTCTGCAGGGGTATCTTATTCCACCTTTATTTGTATTTTTTAAAGATGACAACGTAAGCAGCTGTATTGCCAAGTCGAGACGTTACCAGCAGATATATGCCAAGCTCTAATCAGTTGGCTGCCTCGGCGGCAGAGAGAGCGCTCCTTGCCCTCCCTTTCTAAGGATATCCCCGACGTTCAATGTTAAATACCATTACATGTATACCAAGTCGTTGGACAGAGTCCGTGATCTTGTAGGGTGGGTATTGTCTCGGGTTAAACCCAAAGGAGACTTGGCCGCAGCGAGGGCCGCCCGTCTCGTGTGTGTGTAACCCAAAAACGGCAGCCTTACTAGCCCGCCATCTCCAAGTCCCTCCCGGCTGCCGTTTGCTACCAACCCGTCGCCATCTCAGCATGACTTTTTAAATATCTTCTATTCTCCCGCTTCCAGGGCTGGCAATTACTTATTTCACGTCGCGCGACTCGTTGGAAGCCATCCCCATCGCAGAGATGGCTTCGGAAAACCCCACGAAACAGCCAGCCAGCGACGCCGTGACCGGCTCCTCCTCGCTGGTCCCCGACGACGCAGCTGATGTTGGGCCAAGTGTCGACTCGTCATCGCTATCGCAACCGCCCAAGGAAGACTGGCGCGCCTGGATGCAGGTCCTCGGCGCATTTTGTATCAACCTGAATACCTGGTAATTTCCTCCCTACCCGTCCCCCTCATCTCTCGCCCTCACGAGCTCACCTCCATTCAAACAGGGGCATGATGAACTCGTACGGCGCGTTCCAGACATACTACCAGCTCCATCTCCTAAGCGGCCACTCCGCCTCCGACATCGCCTGGATCGGCTCCACGCAGGCCTTCCTGCTCTTCATCGTGTCCATGGCCGCCGGCGCGCTCTTTGACGCTGGCTTCGCGGGCGCGTTGCTCTGGGGCGGGGGGGCCCTGGTCGTCGCCGGCGTGATGCTGCTCAGCGCCGCCTCGCTCTACTGGCACGTCTTCCTCACCCAGGCCGTCATGGTCGGGCTGGGCTTCGGCCTGCTCTACCTAGTCGCCCCAGCCGTCGTATCCCAGTACTTTAGCCGCAGAACCGCCCTAGCCATGGGCGCGTCGTCGGCCGGTAGTGCAATCGGTGAGTTCTACTTGCGCGAAGTAAAATTCGAGTCCATTTTATATCAAGCCTTTTTGATTTGTGTTGTCGGAGTAGATACTGCCGTGAAAATATCTCCCGAACTGACAAGACTAACACTTGAGTTATAGGCGGTGTCGTCTTTCCCATCGCCTTCTCTAGCCTGGTTGAACGGCTCGACTTTGGCTGGGCCTGCCGCATCCTTGGCTTCATCCTCCTAGTCACCTCTGTCATCCCCGCGCTCCTCATGCGCTCTAAGGAACCCCCCAACCGCGACCGCAAGCTCTTCGACGCCACCGCACTGCGCGACGTCCCCTACTTGCTCCTCAACGCCGGCCTCACCTTCGGCTTCATGGGCCTCTACATCGTCTTCTACTACATTGAGCTGCTCGCTCGCGATCGCACCCACGTGTCCGACTCCCTGGCCCGCTATCTGCTCGTCATCATCAACCTCAGCTCGCTCCCCGGCCGCATCATCCCGGGCTACTACGCCGACCAGGTCGGCTCCATCAACGTCCAGACCGCCGTCGCCCTGCTCTCCGCAGTTCTGACCTTTTGTTTGTGCGCCATCCGCTCCGCTGCCGGACTGGTTGTATTCTGCGTCATCTACGGCTTCTTCTCGGGCGCCTTCATGGGCTTGCCCGCCGCGGGCATCGTCCGCCTCTCCGACGACAAGAGCAAGATCGGCATCCGCATAGGCATGACCCTCGGAACGGTCGGGTTCGGCGTGCTGATCAGCAATCCGATTGCGGGTGCGATCGTCTACCCCGGCAATGACTGGCTGGGACTGATTTCGTGGTGCGGCGCGCTCCTCTTTGCGTCTAGCTTTTGCTTGGTGGCCAGCCGCGTTTCCAAGGCTGGCTGGGGGCTGACGACGGTGATTTGACGATATTGTTAACGCTTGTATACCTAACTCTGCATTTTTAGCTCGCTCTAATCGCTCATTTACTAAATGGCGTTGTTTACGCGGGATATCAGTTAACTCTATCAGTTCATGCCAAAGAATGCCCGTAGGTATTGAATACTATTTGAACTTGTTTTCTCGATTGTATGCAAAACGGTCTTTCAATAACTCACGTTCCAATCACTCCGCCTCTTGTCCTTTATACACTCTTGTAGACTGGGAATAGCTTGAGCGAGGCAAGCATCACTCCTCCAATCTCGATCTGCGAACACCCGGCCGCGCCCACCACCACCAAGCTACCTGGTCCGAACCGAAAACTCATTCCCCTCCTTCTCTCCGAACTCCAGCGGCAGCGAGAGGTAACCGTTGCGCGGGTCCCGCACGTACTCGAGATATGCCGGGTCCTCCGCGTTGTCCGCCAGCACCACCGCGCCCGGTCGCAGGTGCGGCTCCATCAACCTCAGCACCTCCAGGTACAGCGACCACGCGCCGTCCAGCAGCAGCACGTCCACCTGCTCCCCATCCACGCCGCCCTTCAGCGTCTCGCGCGCGTCGCCCACGCGCACCTCCACCAGGCCCGCCAGCCCCGCGGCGGCCACGTTCTCGCGCGCCCGCCGCGCCTTGCCCCCCTCGAGCTCCGTGGTGACGACGCGCCCACCGGGGACGCCGGCGTCGCGCAGGGCGGCGGCGGCGAAGATGGTGGACACGCCCATGGAGGCGCCAAACTCGACGACGAGGCGCGCGCGGGCGGCGCGCGCGCACATGTACAGGTGTCGCCCGAAGCGGGGCGACACGCACAGGAAGTTGTCGGCGAGGTCGTGGTAGGTGCCGCGCAGGTCGGCAGCCTCGGAGGCGAGGACGGAGGCGGCCACGTCGGTGTCGGCGGTGCCTTCGGCGCGGCGCATGGGTGCGTCGGCGACTTCGGCTTCTTGGTAGAGCCTAGCGAGGACGTCTGCGACGGGGCCGGTGCTGAGGGAGTCCATGTTGTAAATGACGAAAATGAGATGCTGCGCGTTGTGGTGCGGTGATGAAGTGCGTGAGAGTCTCAAGTTGGGCGTATAAGTGAGTGCGTTGCAGTTCTCTTTCACCAACATCCAGGTTGAACGAGGCGTCAGTTTTATAGTATTTTCAAGTGGCCAAAAGAAGAAGGTCGGCAATGGGTCGGCCATTCGGCCACAGGCAAGATAAGAGTCATAAAGCAAACTTTGAAGTAACTACGCGCGCAAGTACACCAGCATCTACTCTTATTGCAATCGCAAGCCGGGCTCGGCTTTGGCAGCCGATAATCCACCCGGGTCGCGCGAGCCAATGATATCCACGCTATCGTGCTTTTTGCCGTTTTGAGAAATGGCCACACCTTGACTCTCTCAACAATCATGGCAAAATGGTACTGGGCGAGAAGCGGAGTGTAATTTTAGGCAGCTTCAATGACGAATGTACGCACGTTATGTACTTACTATCGTTGTACTTTACTCGGCAGAGACTCGGATTTCCGGAATGATATGCTGTCGTCAGAGAAGAACTTGGCTCACTCCAAGGCAACTATTTGACTGGGGCTGAGGAAGAGCTGGATGCACTTCAAGTGAGCACATCACGGTTGGGCCAAGGCAATAAATCCGTTGAAAGGCAGTATGGATAAGCTAGAGGAGGAATTTGCAGGTTCACTTTCAAGCTTGAAAAAATTCACGGCGGTTGTGAATTTCGTCCCTTCCAATGTCAACTTGCAAGTCAGCCAACCCTGCAGGTACGTACCATTGTTGCGCACGGACCAGCCGTGCCGTCCTTGCAGCCAAATATTTCGTCGCCAAAAATCATCATCGCAAGAGCTTCACATTGCCAATTCAACACCACCACAACCCACCCCTTCCTTCCGAGCCAAAAATGTCAAAAGCCAAAGGCGCCGGCGCCGCAGCCGACCAAATCGTCAAACTCATCGTCGGCGCTGGCCAAGCCTCGCCCAGCCCGCCCGTCGGTCCCGCCCTGGGCAGCAAAGGTGTCAAGTCGATGGATTTCTGCAAAGTGCGCCTCTCCCGCCCTCCCCCCTCTTCCTCCCACCCTCTGACATGGTTTCTTTTCTTCGGCAGGAATTCAACGCCCGCACCGCCAACTTCGTTGTCGGCACGCCGATGCCGTGCCGCGTCACGGTGCGCCCCGACCGCTCGTTCGCGTTCGACATCCGCACGCCGCAGACGTCGTGGCTGCTGCTCAACTGCGTCGGGGACGCGGCGCCGCAGAACAAGAAGGGTCAGCGGAGAGGCGCGCAGCGGCCGGGCACGGAGACGGTGGGCGCGGTCAGCCTGAAGCACGTCTACGAGATTGCCAAGATCAAGCAGTCGGAGCTGCGGCTGTCGGGGCTTTCGCTGGAGGGCCTCTGCCGGTCCATCATCTTCCAGGCCAAGTCGATCGGTATCGACGTCGTTGCGTAACGGCGGGTGAGGGAGTCAACAAACAACTATGGGTTTGGAATATGGGTGGCGGCGTGGTGCTGTCGACGGAAACAACCTGCGAACGATGCGTCGTGATAACTGTACAATACTACCGATAGAGACGACTCTGTGCGCGGAGTCCTGTACAAAACAAATAAGCGATTCTTGACCATGAGAACATTACAATTATACACTAGTTATCGTATGATGCTGTTTCCGTCAAGGCTCCTCCTCCTTTTTGACGTTCTGTGCATCCTCCAGCGCTTTCCTGTCCTCCTCCTGCAGTCTTGCCGTCTCCCGCTCCGCCCTGCCCAGCGCGACCTTCTTCCTGTCCGCGGCCCTGCAGAGCCCCTCCAGGCCGACGTCGCACGAGCCGCAGCGGCGCCCGACAGGCAGGCAGACCGCCTGGCCCAGGCCGACGAGCAGGCCGTTGATCTCGCGCCAGCGGTCGCGCGGGAGCCAGGCCTGCAGCGCGAGGCGCGTCTCCTCAGGCGTCTTGGTCGCGTGCCACCCCCACAGGTTGGTGATGCGGTGGACGTGCACGTCGACGCCGATGCCCTCGGTGCGGCCCCATGCCGCCGACAGGCACAGGTAGCCCATCTTGGGGCCGACCCCCGGCAGCGCCGTCAGGCCCTCAATCGTGTCCGGGATGTCGCCGTCCCACTCGTCGCGGAGTATCTCGGCCGCCTTTTTTATGTATCTGCAGCTGCGTCAGCGTGGGAAGGATGAAGAGGACGTCGGGCGGCCGGCCTTACTTGGTCTTGTTGTTGTGGAATCCCACCGCCCAGATCATCTGGTTCAGCGTGTCCGGGTCGACGGCGAGCACGTTGTCCAGGTTCAGCCCCGGAGGTGCGCCCGGCCTGCACGCCGCAAGCTCCGTCTGCAATCGCCGCATGACGACCGCGTTGACCGTGTCCTTGGTCTGGCTCGACAGCATCAGCGCGATCAGCGTGTGGAAGCGCTGGTCCTTCTCGGAGCTGGTCCGGTCGGCGAGCCGCTCGCAGCCCATGGTGTCGACCGCCGCGCCGTGCGCCGGGCCGCCGGGCGCCCGCATCACGCGCACCAGCCCATACACCTCCTCCCAGTTCGACGGAGGCGCCACCGTGGTCGCGCCCGTGTCCGGGTCGACTGTCTTGCGCGCGGGCTTGCGCGGTTGCTTCGTCTTCTTCGTCGGCGGTGCTCGGATCGGGCTCGTGTCGTCTAGGAGGAGCTCCTGCTTGATGGGCTTCGCGGGCGACTCGCTTGAGAGCTTCCGTCGGCGCTTAGCAGCCGGTGGGGGAGATATGGCGTCCTCGATGTCGGGAGGCGCTGCCGTCGCGCGGGCGTTGCCGCTCACGGGGGCGTAGGCGAAGCGCGACAGCGAGCGCGTCGTGCGGCGCGGCGTCGCGCTGACGGTGGCGGCAGCGGCTTGGTCGAAGAGACGCGCCGTGTCCTGCGAGACTCTTGACGACCTCATGGCGAGATTGACGTCTGCAATTGCAGCGGGCAGCTAGCTGTCGTCTTTCGTGAGAAGAGAGTGAACTCGAAGCTCTGCGGGTCCGTTGGAGAAACATGGGCCAATGGTGTTGGAGACGATGACCAACAGTTAAAAGATGGGAAACGCTGCCATGATTAATTTGGGCCATCCATATTTCGCTAAAATATCCTTTTACTGCTGTAATTTTAAATGTCATTATTTGACAGAATAAAACAGATAAGCCCCAAGTACAGGAACAGCTGGCTACGAGTCCTGTTTCCATTATGAAACTCGATATACTTGCTAATACCTAGCCAAATAAGCTACCAGCAAGAAGGTGCCATGATCATTTTTCAGCAAAACAAATTCTAGTTGCCAACGATGGTTTGAGCGGAAGCCGCTCCCCGTACGTGGCGTACCAGCCCTCGCTGCGGACATTTACCAGCACCGATGGCGGCGCTTGGCTTTGCCATCGCCCGCTCCTCGGGCCAACGCATACCGAGCAATGCCAGACGCTATTCGCCGGGCACAACAGCCTCATTCGGTGAAGAGTAGGCTCGATGGCTGGCGATACTGGCCCAGCGCACTTTGGGTCGAGCCAGCGGGTGCCGGCACTGCTCGCTGTCCTTCAACCTCGGCGCGCCGTGGCTGAACAGGTTCCCGTCACACCAGCGCTGAGGGCGTGATTATGAGTTTCCAAACTATCTAAATATAGGGATTATTAACGTAAGTTGACTAGGGTAGGTACCTCTACTAGTGAATTATATAGTAGAAGTACCTTTTTCTACCCCCTATTCTTAATTATATAAGTAGTCTACTATATTTTAACATCTAACTTATAAGGTAGCTAGAGACTCTCTTTATTATACTATATTATATATTATTAGACTTATTAAGTTTAAATTTATTATCTTTAGTAGACCTTATAGTTTAGAAATTACCTCTTAAAGTATAGAGTAGTTAGCTTTAAGCTAGACTTTAATAGTAGTAGAGACTTTAGAGTCTATAGAGGCTTTAATAATAGTAGTAATAGTAGTAATATATTTTAAATACACTAAGGTACTATAGATAAAGGGTAAGTATTATAAACATATAGGATATATAAGTAGGGCTAAGTAAGTTAGACTAAGTTAGACACACTAGTATCTAGAATAGAATATAAGGTTATATAACTTATAAAGTAATTAATAGATTACTTATTAATTACTATAATTAGAATAATTAATAAATAGATAAATAATCTAACTATCTAAATAATATAGTAGAGAATAGAATAAATATATAAAGAAGGGGATTCTAATAGATAGTTAGACTAGATCTCTATTAATTAATCTAAGTAATAACTCTATTATTAGGAGATATCTCCTAATATAACTTTTACTATAATAACTACTTATTTATACTCTATACACTTAAACTAACTCTCTTCTTAAGAAATAGGTTATCTATAGATTAGGATTAAGCTACTATTATAGGGGATTTCTAGTAGATAGTTAGACTAAGTCTCTATAAATTAATCCAAGTAATAGTTCTACTATTAGGAGTAATCTCCTAATATAACTTATACTATAATACTACTTATTTATACTCTATATATATTTAACCTAACTTACTTTCTAAGAAATAGTTTTAGTATAGATTAAAGAAGAGCTACTATTATAGTATAAAATAAGTCTATATAAAGTGTTTCTATTATAGAAAGTGTATTTAGATTCTTCCTATATATATAATTAATAGTATTATCTATTATGAATTTTACTAGGAAAATATAGATATAGAAATATTTAAAGGCTCCTCCCATTTTATAGTAGATTTCTACAGCCACACTCTATAATTTTTATAGATAATGCCTTAGTACACTTTTCTTAGAGGATTAAAACTATAATTATAAATACTAGTATGATCCTAGAATACTTATCGCCCTATTCTCCTAACCTTATACTGATTGAATACTTATTTAGTTCATTTAAAAACATTCTTAGATTAAAAAGATAAGAGGATTTAGACCTTATTAAGGCTAATTTTAAATTATACATTAAAATACGTATAGTAATAATAAGGGAGGATAAAGAGCAGTCTAAGAAGATAGCCTAAGGACACTTCTAATTAGTAGGTTTTTTTATTAAAGAGGAGGTTTAATAATAGTAATATACTCTCTTTAAATAGAAGATATATAATAATAAAGTTATAGTAAAACCTACTGAGTTATCCTTCTACACGCCCATCCCACCACCCATCCAACTAGCCGTCTAGCCTAAGCTATACTATAGACCTAAGCGCCGTCAAACCATCTACATACACACTTAATCCAGTAGAATCTTCTAATATTCTATCAATATAGGCTCCTACAGCGGAGAAATGAAGAATGTGGGCGATAGCGCAATGCACTACAAGAAGTCGGGGGGAGGGTGGTTCGATCGTGCGTTCGTCTGTCACGAACAGTGTGCGATTGACGGGTAGCATATTATTGAGAGCAGCGCGTGGGAGAAATGTATCAATCCTATACGTGTTCCGCGTCAAGAGACGCCACGCCTGCAGCCATACTATGCTTGAGGTATCTATGTGTGGAACTTTTATTCTTGCTCTTTCTTATGTCTTGATATAAGGTTGGCTGGCTTGCCCGACTAACCTGAACTACGTTGAGAAGTGCGTAAATTCTACTGGCCACGAGACTCACAAGACTCCTGCGGCCGAGCACATATACGCAGCGGTGTGTGAGAGAGGCCTACTACTAGTGATGCATGTCGCACATCTAAAGTGATGCATTGCTTGACGAGTCAATATGTGCTGTAGGACCTTATGATGTGACTGTTGACTGGTAGGAGCGACGAACTAACAACCTTTCCTAAAGGCTAAGGCATGATAAGCACGCTATAAAATTTGCATCCAGTCACTGTGTACATACCTAGTAAAGCGCATCTCCACGGAGCGGTCCTGCCGTAGCAATAGGATGCAGGCAGAATCGGTTCCATGTGGTACGTGTGAACCGTAGAAGTTTATGGCAAACTAGACCCGGCGATTAGCGGCCTCGTTACTCCGCTTGAGGATGATAGGGATACTGGACTGTGCGTATTCTGTCAACCACTGTGATACTTTCTTGTAGGAAATATTTATAAATTAGAATGGATAAAGCTTGGGTAAAAAAGGGCTTTATATGCATGTAAAGAGGGTCACTAACCTTTGCCTACCCGGTCGGTGAATGAAGCGTTGTTGCTAGTATAGCTCCTTATAAACCGTAGTTTTATAGGATTTGAGGAATGTCACCTTTAAAGCTCACTAATATAACCACACTCTCTAAAGCTGGTCTTAATCTCCGTATGCGCCTGTATATAACTCCACAGTGGTGATCTAACTGGAGGTTGACACGATGCTATACATGCGGCAGGCGTTGCCCTATATGTAGACTCAACGCGAGTCGCAGCAGCATCATCATCATAAACTGGTCCAGGCGAGTCTGTGTAAATGATTGATATGCCTTATATGAGAAGTCAGTCATGTATAACCCCGCAAAAAGGCGTTAAGCTTAGCCCTTTATAGACGACTAGAGGTGTAATATATATAAGATCACTAGACCCTAGATTCAAATGTAGTGTAATGTTAGTAATGTAGTGTAATAGACTAGATAAAAGAAGTAATATTTGACTTAAACGTGCGCACTAAATACGCGATTATAAAAGGTTCCCTTTAGACTCATATTTTTACTAGAAATTATTAGTGTGCTTAAAACACTAGACTATAAATGGACTTTTAGATGGGCCATAGGTGCCGCTAGAGGCCATGAATGCGAATCTGGTTAATATGGAAGCTAAGATTAGATTTAATTATAGAGAAAGTTATTACCATACTTTCAGAACGACGGTTTAGAAACGTTTACTTTTATTACAATGATTAAATCACTAAATCCAGTAATTAATCTGAATCCAACAGTATGATTTAATAATTTATCTGGATCCGCTGTTAGACTCAGCTTAATCGAATTAATTATATATCTGCACTTTAGGCCGCCTAACTGTGTATAAGAGGGGGCATACAAACAGTGGCTGCTACTAAATACATCGCCCTCTCCTCGCTGAATTAAACGCATTCCTACATGTGAAGGATTAAAGTGTGATGGCTCCCCGCCCCCTTGTTGCTGCCTGATTCCATCGGCGAATCGATTTGCTGACGGATCCTCGGGCCACTGAGGTAGGGCGGTAGGTAACACAATGTCGGAGGGGGAGCGTGATGGTGTGAAGCTCTGCTGAGTAACTAACTTCCGCCTGATTAAAATCGCGGGGTTATGAAAAGATGTAAGCGAGTTGCCCGCGCTATTTTGATTTTCTGCCTTAGTAGATTCATAATAAGTTTAGTCTTCCGTCACTCGCATCCTAATTCATAGGATACTTTCGTTTTCATAGGATACTTTCGTTGTGCATCCGCCTTAACGTTCTTCTCTCCTACTAGACCGTGCTGCGCCGTTAAGATCTCGTCCACGAATAGTATTCTTGTCACCGTGACTGAAATATTGCGCGCTAGTCTAAGCTGCCGTTGCACTAGATAAAGCCGAGATTAGCTAGGTCAAGCACCTCTCGTTGTACAACTGGATCGAGGCACCGACGCCCACAATCGTCGTCCTGGGGGCCCTGGCTCGTTGGAGACCCCGAGAGGGTGCGCACCGCGTCTCTAAGGATTCTGGTTTCTAGTACATTGCCTAAAACGCCGCCCGCCACCTAGAGAATCCCCTAGAGCCTCTATTTCGATTATTGTATGCTGAAAATCCTCTCTTCAGCCTTACTGACGTCGGTGTTATCACCGACTGAAATAACATCCGTAAGCTCCTCGCGTTTGTAAGCCCGGAACCTAATAAGAAAGACGTCGAAAACTTCATAATCGATATCGAGATCGTTAAGGACACTATAATCTTCTGCCGCGTGGAAACGGCGATGGTGAGAGTTATTGGCCCGTATGAGTTCCGTGGTCACGGGCATGAGTTTGAGAAGGTGTACACTGTGCACGTGGTGCCTAAGAGCACGGGACACTATTGAGTCATTTTGTATCGGTTTTATGGGCTTAAGTTCATTGTGCGCTACGAGACGGACGGCTACGTTGAGAATCTCGCTAAAGACGACTTAGGTGATGACGACGTCCTGCGTATGATGTAAGACCTGGCCCTTTCTAGCCGCCTAAAGACGACGACGGACTATACTCCCATTAGCGGCTCTAAGCTTAGAATCGGCAATGGCGGCTAGACTGTGCCGCTTCGCTCCACGCTGGATCAAGACTCGGACCTTACGGAAGCCGCTTCCCTTGAGCGAGGTGGTGGCGCAGCTCTGGGCGTCGTAGACGCCGAACCTGGTGCGGGCGTACTACGACTGGGGCACGTTCTAGAAACCGTAGGTTGAGAATGTGGCTGAGCGGATTCGGCAGTGGGAGGCCGACAACGAGCCGGGCTTGCGGAAGCTCGCGTGGTTAATTAGGCGTATCACGGCTCTGGCGAAGGAGTGCGGCGGTAAGGCTAGGGTTAGGTACGATGTAAACGCGGATAAATTGGTGGTTTTATAGGATGATGGGAGGAGGGATATGCTGCCATAAGATTTGTACGCTAAGTGGAATAATGGCGCTGCTTGAATGGGCGCAATCGGCCCGTTCTGAGGAAGAGCACCTACAAATATCCGTTTAAGGGCGGAAAAAAACAGGTGTAGATTAAAGAAAGTCTACTGTATGTAGGTACCTGTATAGGATTATTTCTAGTGGCGTTAAAATACGGACACGTATGATTAAGAGATGAGCCGAGATAAATCCTCCCCCTTCCCGCAGAATCACCCGGCAGCAGTGCACATAGGTATTTATTACGTTATGGAACTTTAGCAGAAAGCTCCGGTTTATATATACCAACCTGGGGGTATCAAAACCGTTCCGTAAGGGATGGTTAAAGTTAAAAGCTACTCCTCGGGTTGATCTAGCAGCGGACGCCGGCAGTATATGCGCGGGACTAGTGCTGCTCGCGCTGTTTCTGTCTCTAATAACATTAGGCCCACAGGCGGGTCCTTTCTGACGGCTAAGGGCGTTAAGTTGTCGCCGTTGATGGGCGGTGGGCTATTTTGAACTTCGTCTAAGGACTTACGCACAGCGTCTGCTTTAAAGAATACTGGCAAAGCGGTGTCGATCGTATAGTGTACAGCGTGGCCCGAGTGACAGAAAGCAGCTCCTCGTGTCTTAGGATGGCCAAAAGCAAGAGAGCGCGGCCATGACTATCCAGCATTGGGTCTACATAATGCCCCACCGGACGACTGGAGTGGTAGGCAGACACGTAAGTGGGTTAGGAGAGGTATGTACCTCAGCTAGCGAATTATACAGCTAAAGTACCTTTTTTGCCCCCCCTGCCTGTCTTATATAAGTCATCTACCTAGCCACCTAACTTATTAACTAACTATAGTCTTATCTCTAATAAGAGGTTATAGCTTAAATTCATTACTTTATAACCCTACTATTTACCTTATAAAATTTATATATAAAAAGTATATAAAATACATTATTAATTATATTATTACAATTATTATTAATACTACTTTTTAAAACACTACATACTACTATAATCACTTTATTACTAAGGTTAGAAGCTATCTTTTTCTACTAATAACTAAATTTCTTACTTCTTTAGTAAGAAAAGAATAGGAAAATAGAAAAAACTATAATTTTTATATATATTTACTAAAGTGTGTAGATTACCTACTATATTTAGTAAAGCACTAGCGTTAGTATATTAAAAATTTATATAACTCTAACTAGGGTTATAATTTTTTTAAAAAAACAATCGAAACCTTATCTGTTTATAGGTAAGCGCTATATAAAAGACCTAACTCTGGATTCTAATCCTTGAATTCGTGGATTTTTTGGTAAGTCTTGCTTAGCGTTATGTCCAGCGCACGCTAAATTCGAACGATATGGCGGGAGCTGAAGCTGTTTTTGCACCAAACAATATCATTTCACAAATATTGAATTGATCTAGAAATGTGCCATGCCCAAGCTGCTTCGTCAGTCCAGCCGCAAGAAAGCCGCCATATCTGCCGAGACTCCCCGGCGCCTGAAAAAAGAAATGCGTGTCTCATGTATGAACAGCCTAAAGAACTGCCAAAGAGACTTGCCGAGCGGCATTCAGCAGAGCCAGCAACGGTTTCAGCCAGCCACTGTCACGACCCTGCACATGAACGTACATGTGCGATTATATCTTGACGCAGTAAAGTGCATTTGCTTTACACGACAGCCTGTGGGCATGAGACATGACAGATCTGATGCTTTGTCACGCGCTGAAAAATGCTGGCCGGAGGATATCTGCCTTCAGATATAAGATCTAGAGAATGACCACGGCCACGCCTTTGATGCACTCCCTCCGTCGGACATATAGAGTCCATCAGCACGAGTTTGACTTGATGTTAGCCGTATGAACTTATGGGATGAGAGATGTAATCGCTTTTGACCTGACAAAATTCCATCTCCCTCGCGCCAATCGGATGGATTACAGCTCTTCTCTTCCGGCCTGTACGGCAGGCTATGCGCAGATAAAAGCTGAGCTGAATGCAGCTGGTGTCTTGGACTGTTCAGAATGTGAGTTGATAAATGATTCAGCTCTGCAATCCCTAGTACGGCTCCGCGCCATGCGTCACTTGGCGACAACTTGTACCGCACAGTAGTGCTACATTGCTGATAATCCATTGTCACCAGTTGAACGGTTAATATTGCATACATCCTGTATATTTGCATGTCCAAGTGTTACTTTCACGGCCTGATTGTCACTCCGCGGCGAGGAGAACACACGGCAGCAAAGAGAGTCCAAATATAAATAGAACGCCAATCTCTCGTCAATTAGATTACCACTCTTCTATTTATCAACATCTCTCCGTTAATCACCTATACTTCCTAAGCTTTTTTGTTCTATTTCCAGCACATCAGCATGGTTCGCTCTGCCTTTTTGGTTGCCGTCTTAGCGGGTCTGGCTTCGGCCAGCCCTGTCGCTTCCGACAACCGCGCGACTCCTTGCAACGACATTGAAAGCTGTGACTTTGACCAGCAGTGCGTCCAAGGTACTTGCCAGGTTGGCAATCCATCCCAATCTGGCAACGCAGCCCGGGATGTTACTCCGCAGTCTGCTCTTATCTGCACCCCAGAGATATGCCTCACTGCCACCAACTACATCTACAACTCGGACCTTGCTGTTCTGGGTACATACTATTCTCCTTATGTTGGCGTCGGCGTTGGCGGTGCCTGGATTGAAAGCTGGACCATCGAAGGCGTGGCAGGCGTTGTGGTGAACCCGCTGCTGGGTGCCGGAGGTGTCGGCTGGAGGACGAATGAAGTCGCGGTGCGCGCGTACTGGGCTGATGGCGGTTTCTCATACATTCTGGAGGACCTTCCGGTTGGCAGGTCTGTTACTGTTCAGTTCATGGTGAGAGACTCACAGGGTACATATGTGTGCACTCAGCCGAGCGTGTATGTCCTGTACCTCGAGGTCGACAACTACCCAAAGCAGACATTCCGTGTGACCCCCCATGGGGGCAAGAAGCGCCAGTCCTTCCGCTTCATTGCTACGGATAGCATAATGAAGATAAGGTTCTCGGCTGAGAAAGATGCCTATGATGGCTGTGGACCATTCTTCACCAACGTTCAGGCCATTGCTTAGAGCGTTGCTTCCATGCTTAAGGCAATGATGCTATCATGTCTATATAGTTTGTCAATTGCAACCGGCCAAGAGACAACCAGAGCCACTTGTATAGCCAGAAAAAAAAGTTTGCATCAAACTCAAATTTATTCTGCTGTCACGAAGATTGCTCATTTAGCTATGTATGTATGTCTCTCATTGCCCAGGAATCTTAACGTCGGCCACCCACTTATGGGCCACCTATCGTTGATATAAGGTATAGTGGAAAAGCTTTATAATAATTATAATTAAAATTTAAAATATATAAATACTATATTAATAGATAGCTTAGAAGCTAGAAAATTAATATATAGTTAAGTTAATAATTAGTTAAATACTATTACTAGTTAAGTATTTATTAAGCTATTAGTATATATTCTTTTACCTTTATAACTTAAAAACTTTAAAGTATTAGATTTTACTTTTAATATATATTATTTAAGTTTATTAGTTATTATAATTAGAAGAAAATACTACTAAATAGTAGAACCTTTAAAACCTAAGTCTCCTATAAGTAAAATTAAATAATTTAATAATATATTAAAGTTAATAAAGGTAAAAAAGTTATTATTTTTATAATATTCTACTAAAGGACTTTTTAATTAAAATAAAGTATTATTTAAAAAGAATATTTATCTTTAATTATATTATTAAGAATAAATAATGTAGTTAATAGTTTAAGTATTAAAATTAATTAAAGTTAATTTATTATTCTAGGATTTATAAAGACTATAAAATAAAAAATAAAAAAGATTAAAAAAGATTTTTATTCTTTATCCTAAAAGATAAAGGCTATTTAAATAATTAAAGTTAATTAGATTTTTCTAAAGTTATTCTATAAGGTTTTTAAAACCTAAAAGAGAAATAAAAGTCCTTAAAATAGTATTAAATTACTTTTTAACTTTCTATTATATTAATTATATTATATATTTATTAGTTAACTACTTTATAGTTTTAAAAAATAGATAGTAAAGGTCTTTTATTATTAAGTATTTTATATAGTAGAAGGCCTTTATTTAATACTTTTATTACTTATAGAAGTATTATTTTTAGTATTAATTTTAGTAGTTTAATATTATAAATAGTTAAGAGTAATATAGGGTGGTCTAAGGAAGAAGCTAAGTAGGACGCCTAAGGGACGCTTAATTAGGAAAGGAAGTTATATAACTATAGTAGGCTTAAAAGAGTACTATAAGCTAATAAGCTAAAAAGGGATTATAACCTTAGTATAAGCTAATAATCTAAATAATATAATAGAGAATAGAATAGATATATAAAGAAGGGGATTTCTAATAGATAGTTAGACTAGATCTTTACTAATTTATTACAGATGCACTAAGGTGCTACAGATGAGGGGCAGGGCGGCCTAAGGAAGTGACCACAGGGCGCTTATAGGGGCGTAGGAACAAAGGAACTAGTCACGTGACTAGATCACTAGGGATTATAGTGATCTAGCGTTAATCTAAGGTCACTAGGATTATAGAGTGAGCTAAGTGATCTAGGTAATATAGTAGAGGATAGGATGGATATATAAGGAAGGGGATTTTTAGTAGATAGCTAGACTAGATCTCTACTAATTAATCTAAGTAATAGTTCTACTATTAGGAGTAATCTCCTAACGTGACTTATATAATAATATCTACTTATATACACTTAGTATATATTTATCTAACTCTCTACTTAAGAAATAGACTTACTATAGATTAAGGATAAGCTACTATTATATTTTAATTAGTCCTATTTAGTAAGTTATTATAAGAAACCTTAAGTAGAATAACTAAAATATTAACTATAAGTAACTATAAGTGAACCTACTAATAACACCTCTAAAACCCTTTAGAAACTCTTAGTAAGAGTTAAATAACTTAAAAAAGATAATAAAGAACTCTAGAAGTATACTAATAAGCACTAAGAAGAAATTAATAAGTTAAATAAAGAAAAGGATTAACTTATAGAATAGCTTAAGAAAGAAAGAAATAAGAAGCCTAAATTCCTAAAACTAGAAACCTATAATAGGTATAAAGGTAATATAAGAAACTTTTTTATATAGGCTAATACCTACCTTTAAGTTAATAAGGGCACTCTTACTACTACTAAGGATAAGATCCTCTATATTAGTAACCTCTTAACTAGAAAAGCTATAGAATAGTAGGAACCTACACTATAGGCATACCTTAGGTATAGTATTAAAGCTAGAGCTAATATAGTTTATATTTTCTTAGACTATAAAACCTTTAAAGAAAGACTCTTAAACGTATTTAATAACCTAGACGAATATAAAGAAACTACTTAATAGCTTACCTACCTTAAGTAGACTAGATCCACTACACACTATATATAAGAATTTAAATAGATTATAGTTAAGCTTAATTAGGGTAATAAAGCTATAATAGAGATCTTCTATTAAGGATTAAAAGAAGAAGTAAAAAATAATATCTACTAATTAGATTAACTAGCTTTATTTAATAGTTTTATTAAAGAAGTTATTAAGGCTAATAATCGCCTCTATAAATAATATTAAGAAAAGAGGGGAGGAATAAGCTACTAAGGTTATATAGGACCTAATAAAAATAAACTAAACACTAGTAAACTATAATAAACCTCTACTACTTATAGTTATTATATAGGACTAATAGAACTTAATACTATAAATAAAGAGAAAGCTAAGACTTACTATAACTATAGTAAGAAAGGACACTTTACTAATAAGTATTAGGCTCTAAAGAAGTAATAGAAGCCTATAGGAGAAAGGAAAAGGCTTAATATAGTAAATTATAAAGACATACTTATATATAATATTAGTATAGCTAATAGTAAGGAATACTTCTCTAATACTAATAAGTAGGCTTATTATAATAAACCTATATTAGATAAAGACTAGAACTTTAGTATATAGCTACTACCTAAAGAAGAAGACTAGGAATATAGAACCTAGCCACTAGTATATACGTTTATATTAGAATTAAGAATATAAGAAAACACTAAGTATATTCCTACTATACTAGAGGAGGGACTTACTTATACACTAGAAAGCACTATAAGAAAAGAAGGACTAGAACCTA